CACACATCAGAAATCTACAGTTGCATATGATGATAAAACACCATGTCAACCATATTAATTTATTTAACTTGCAAATAGAAAATTATACCAGTCTATTTGATAATACATTATCTTCCAATAGGTTCATCCTTAGAGATGCCTGATAAACACTCTACCAAACTAATGACATCCAAAACTAAATTAAAATCATTTGGTTCTTCCATCAGCTAAAAAAAAAGTGAGCTATTCAACTATTATTAAATTGGAAACTGGTTTAATTTTCCCTTATTTTTTATTAAAAAGTCATGTGGTAAGAAATACTGATTAATTATCCTCTTACAAATCGATCCTAAAATTTATAGACATTGCCACAAGAAATCATTAACCAAGGTGAGAAGAAAATTTTACTATTTTTAAGAGAGGTGGGGAGGGGCAGAGGGAGAGGAAGAGAAAGAATCTTAAGCAGGCTCCACGCTGGAGCCCAATGTGGGGCTAGATCTCACAACCCTGAGATCATGACCTGAACTGAAACCAAGAGTCAGATGCTTAACTGACTGAGCCACCCAGGCACCCCTTAAAAGATTTTATTTTTAAGTAATCTCTGCACTCAACGTAAGATTCAAACTCACAACCCCAAGATCAACAGTCCCAACTGAGCCAGTCAGTCATGTCACTATTTTTTTTTTTTTGATAAGGCAACTTTTGAGGATGTGCTCCTGACACTTGAGTCACTCCATAATTCCTGCTTTATCAAAATTTAACATAGTTTGGCTCCTCACAGCATCTAACATCAACTGGGGTATATTATCTCAAGATAGGTATGGAAAAGGACAAACCAGCATTGATACTGTAAAACAGTAAATTTCAAAGTGTGGTTCCCAGATCTGTACCATTAGCATCACCTGAGAATATGTCAGAAATGCAAATTATTAGACCCATCTCACACCTGCTGGAATCAGAAACTTGGCATGAGTCTTTGGGTCCTAGCAATCTGTATTTTAACATCTCTCCAGGTGATTCTGATGGATACTCAAATTTGAGAACTACTGTCTAAGGTACTAACAATGTGAGAACCTAGTAAAAAGATATTAGATTTTTTTTTGTAAATAAGTTGTGTTGAGAAAAATATTAACAGACTTATTAGACAGCCTTATGATTAATAAGACAGGAAAAATGCATCCAAATCCAATATAAGTATCGACTAACCAAGACCCTTCCCCTCCCAATTTAGAATAGTTGGTAAGGATTATTTATATCCATAATTACACTTCCTTTGCTATTTTCATTGCTTCAACAAATAGTACTAAAAGGCACATGTGCAAGACAGGAAGAAGGAAGAAAACGGCTGATGATACCTGTGTCTGTCTCCTTTTATAAACAGAAGCTTTTCAAGTACAACACTCCACTTAGCAGATTTCTATGGCTCACTGGCCAGAACCACTGCTCAGGACAAACCCCTACCATCAAGAAATAATGGGAAAGCAAGTATAGAGTTTTGTTTTCCCACTCTGTAGAGTTTATTGTTCTTTAAGAAAGAAATCAGATAGGCAAGGAGGTATTGACATGGGTCATGGGTCAGTCTATAAGATTATAAATAGGAGATGTCAGTCCGGTAGCCATAATAAAGTATTTACAAGAATGATCTTTAAGCTGTAGTGACACTAGGGCAAGGAAATTATATAAAGGTAGAACCCTGAGTCCCATGTCCCCAAGTTTCCAATGTGGGGCTTCCCCTACATCCAAAGAAGAGACCATATTAGAATGTACACTTGTGGGGTCCCTCAGTGAGGGAGGAGTGATTTCAACTGCCTGTTGACATTTGGAAGAGCCTGACATTCATGACACCATTTTGCAGACAGGTTACTGTTTAGAAACATAGACAGTGTGGGTCTATCCCTCTTTCTCTTGGAACTGTGGGTCCCTAAGTGAAGTATATTCTCCTCCTCAGTTACTTCTCCCTGTGGCAAACACACTGGACAGCCCTCCTCAGAGTGGAGATTTAATGCTTCCTCTCTGATGACTGAATGAGAAGATTTTAATTAGGATAAGAGGGAGGCTGGCTTGCCAATTTCTGAAATTCAACTTTTCCATTATTAAACTAAATCTGTATTTTGACTCCTGCTTAGTGTTTTTGTTTTTAATTAAATATATCCCAGAGAGAAGAAAGGGTGCATGACAACTCCTCGAAGCCTCTAACAAAGAGAATACAGTTATAAGGAGATCTTTCTCTGCAACCCACAGCCTATGAGGAATACATGAATAATATCTAATAAAATAAAGTGAAAATGTTAGAGGGATCAGAAATAATTTCTGGAGGTAGAAAGGAATATGAGTGTTAATAGTCAGGATTCCATCTGGAAGGCAGAACCGAGTACCATGTAATAAGAGATCCACTGTAGGAATAAATGGAACCGTTGTGGAAAAAAGGGAAAGTGGAGGGAGGATCAGAGACAAGCTACTAGCTAACCTCCTGAAGCACCGAAGCAAGTTGGGAGCTTGAGAGAGAATATGGGTAGCTGCCAGGGGGGAGACTATGAAGAAAAGGAAGTGATGTGTAGGGAAAGCTGCAGTCTCCATGTCTGGTGGTGAGCCTGGGCTGCTGTGGATCAGTAGGACTACCAAGTGGGAAGAAGAGCGGCACCCAGAGCAGGAGAGAGTGAAGAGAATCTGGAATCACCTCGTTTCTCTGCATCTCTCTTTCACTACACCTAACCAATGAAACCTTCAAAAAGTCATGACAGCTGCCTTGTCTCTGCTTTCCAAATCTTATGCAGTTTCTCTTTGGACTAACTCACTTAATCGTAAGCCTTAAGAAACAGTTCTGGGAAATATAGTTCCAGCCATACTTAACTTCCAAATAAAGACAATAGCAAAAACATGCCTCTACTCTATCCTTGTACAACCAAAACATACTCACTTCTCCCCAGAGGACACACAGTTCCACATGTCATCTCGGTCACGAGTGATGCCCATTCTTCTTTGGGCTGAATCACACTTGCCCTTTGATGTCTCGTAACCTAAATACTAGGCTGTAAGGTTAACCACCATTAACACATCTTATGTTAGAAAACAGGTGAATAGAAGATGGGAGAAAAGCAAAGAAAAAGAACTGAGATTGAAAAGAAAAGAATACACACATTTATTTCACAGTTGGGATGAAATACTCGTAACTACTACAGTTCCTGTTTTTGAAACTGGACACGTAGTCATTGCTGGTATTTCAAATTTCCTTCTAACACTAAGCTTTTCATATTCCTTTGCCCTTAGTAAACACTTTAGCTGGTCAGTTTGTTGCTTGCTAAGGTGGTGCAAACTGTCATTCCTGAGTCATGAGCAGTTATTGTAGTTTTTCATTAATTTTCATCACAGATATAGGAGTACTAAGAGAAACCTCAGAAGTCCTCCTGTGTTCCAGACATTCTTCTCCCTGCCTTCATTGGGAATTGTACAGAATTATCATCTCAGCCAGTACAGTTACCTCTTCTTTTCCTCTTGGTTCACTGGCATTAGAAGCTCAGAGTGGCCAGGTGCTAGTCTCAACTTCCAGTTTAACAGAACATTTTTGTATCTCTTGGTGAAAGAATTGTACTCTGGGAACCAGAAACTTAAATCCAATAGAGCTTAAGATTGCAGAGATAGGAAGCTCAAATTCTGCTGGATCGATGGGAATAGAGAAGCCCATCCTACTTATATCCCTTGCAAAGAAAACACTTAATAAAAATTTTAAGTTCTTTTGAACTAAAAATAGAAACTTCTTAAGCCTTATAAAGCATTTCTAAAACAAACAAAAAAACCCCAGTTACATCAATTATATGTACTTGTGAAATGTTAACATCATATCCTTCAAGATTGGAAAAGAGATAAAAATGTCCATTCAAAGCAACATTTTATTAGAGGTCTTAAAAATAAATAAATTGACAAAGTACAATAAGATGATAAAGAGAAATGAAAAGTATAAGAATTGGAAAGAAAGAAAACTGTCATTTCACCCCCTGACAAACTGGAAATGTATATAAAAATTCAAAAGAGTAGATGAATAAATTGTAAGTAATTTTAGCAAGTTGGCTGGATACAAGGTTAATATACAAAAATCAACTGTGTTTTGATATAACAGGAACAAATTTAGACACGAAAAAAAATTTTTAAATCTCACAATGTTGAGTAAAAGAAGAAAGATACAAATGGATACATACTGGGTGAGCTTTTTTTTTTTTTTTTAAGATTTTATTTATTTATTTGACAGAGAGATACAGAGCAAGAGAGGGAACACAAGCAGGCGGAGTGGGAGAGGGAGAAGCAGGCTTCCCGCTGAGCAGGGAGCCCGATGCAGGGCTAGATCCCAGGACCCTGGGATCATGACCTGAGCTGAAGGCAGACACTTAATGACTGAGCCACCCAGGCACCTATGGGTGAGTCTTTTTATATAAAGTTTAAAACCAGGTAAAACAACTGTGGTGTTAGCACTACAGTAGTTACCTTTGAGGAGGAGGGAGGACAGAGATTGAAAAGGAGCATGAGGTAGACTTTCAACTTGGGTAGTTGTTCACTGGTGTTATATTTTGTGCATTCTTCTACATGTGTATATTTTTCAGAATTAAAAAATTTTTTAATAAAATGAGAAATTATATATTAATAAAAAGAAAAATGATAGAAGTAATAAACACATCCAAGACCCAGGTTCTTTAAAATAGATTAATAAACTTCTGGTTGATCAAAAGCAGAATAAAAAGTAAAAGATTAAATACATAAAACAGGAAAAGATAATTGGGTGATAATTATAGATGCAGAGGAAATCAAAAGCATATCAGAATACTTCTTTGTTCAAACACGTGCAAAACAATTGAAGACCTGGAGTTAAAATAAATGATATTTTTAACAGAAATAAATTATTAGAATAACTCAGAATAGAGAGAAAAACAATTCTGAACAAACCAATTAACATAGAAGAAATATAGAAAGCCATCATGGCACTAACTCCCCTCCAAAAAAAAAAAAACACCACATCACGCCTAGATGGTTTCACAGGTCAATTTTATTAAACCTTTAAGGAACAAAAAACTCCTATTCCACTTAAATTATAGAGGAACATAAGAAAATAAGTAAAATACTTATTTTTTTTTTAGGTAATCTCTACACCCAATGTGGGGTTTGAACTCATGACCCCATCGACAGTCACATCCTCTACTGAACCAGCCAGGTGCCCCCATATTCTTAATTTTTTTTAAGCTGGAATAATGATACCAAACCCTGACAAAGTTAGCACACATGAGCACACAAACTGAAAACCATCTCACTTATGATTATCATTGCAAAAATTCTAAATAAAATGTTACCTAACAGAATCCATTAACCCATTTAAAATTTTATGATGAAGTTCTGTTTATTTCAGGAACTTAAGGAATATCAAAATTAAGGAATATATTAATATACTTCATCATATGTTGATCCTACTTCTTTTCCAAGGCACTTGGTAGGATGTCTCTCCCCTCTCTTCTTGCAGTTCCATGTGGTCATATAATTTGCGTTCGTTAATAAAGTGAGAACCAAGGTAATGTGTGGAAAGTTGAAAAGTCAGTGGCTCCATTTTCCTCTACTATAGAGACTCTCAATGCCCCAGATGATGGCTGCTCTATAAGCCTGAGTCTGGGGGTAAGGAAGACATGCAGCTCCTCTGATGTGTAGTATCAGCAAGAAATAAACCATGTTGTTTTAAGCTACTGAGAATTTGAGGTTATTGATTACTGCAGTATAAACTAGCTTGTATTGACTGATACATATTAATACATAAACAGAGGGAATAAGCCACATTATCTTTTATAGATGGCAAAATATATGATAAATTTTGTATCCATTTTATTATAATCCACTTCCAGTTTTGATAAATTCTGAATAAAATAGAAATGCCTAACACATTAAAACATATATATCTGAAATCAAAAGTTAGCATCATGCTTAACAGGAATATACTAGAAGCATTTCCATTAAAGCCAGGAATAAACAAAGTTCTTTATCACCATATAGTTTTTTTAAATAGACCTGGATAAGAGAAAGAAATATATGATTTAAAATTTGGAAATGAGGATATAACATTTTTCTTATTTATAGATGATATAAATGGCTTGTTATTATTTATAGTAGCTCTTAGGTGATTCTCTTAAGTAAATTTAGTGATGGTTTAGGTACAAAATAAAACCATTGGAGAGGCATTATTTGTTTTAAAAAAGATGATTTAACAATGTAAAGATGTCAATTCTCTCTAAAGTAATCTATAAATCTAACATTAATCAAATGAAAGTGTCATTTTTTTAACTAGATAAAATGATTCTAAAATAATATGGGAAAAATTAATGAACAAGTACATTCAGGAAAATTCTCAAATAAAAAACAAGGAAACACCAGTTCTATGAAATATTAAAATATTATCAAAGTACAATAACACAAATTATGGGTGATAACACATTTAAAATGAAAAAAAATTCTTCATACAAAAAAATACAGATGGTCCCCAATTTACAAAGGTTCAACTTAACTATTTTTTGACTTTATGATGGTGCAAAAGAGATATACACTCAGTAAAAATCATTCTTCAAATTTTGAATTTTGATCTTTACCTAAGAGTGACGTGAGGTACGATACTCTCGTGATGCTGGGCAGCTCCCAGTCAGCCATGGGATCACAAGGGTAAACAACTGATACACGTACAACCATTCTGTTTTTCACTTTCAGTATAGAATATAATAAATTAGATGAGGTGTTCAACACTCTATTATAAAATAGGGTTTGTGTTAGATGATTCTGCCCAACCATAGGCTAACATAAGCGTTCTGAACATGTTTAAGGCAGGCTCAGCTAAGCTATCAAGTTTAGTATGTTAGGTGTATCAAATGCATTTTCAACTTAGATATTTTCAGTTTACAATGGATTTATTGGGACATAACCTTATCATAAGTTGAGGAAGATCTGTACACCATAAAGTCAAAAATCAGTCAAATAACTGGGAAAGATCCTTTCAACTTTTATCATAATTGGAAATTTTACTTAAGACTACTTGCAATCCAATCAGGAAAAGATGGATAGCCCCAGAGAAAAAAATGGAAAGGGATTAAATAGTTAACAAAAAAGGAAACAGAAATAAGTACTTTCTACATGTGGCAGTCATGAAAAATTTAACACCATAATGAGAACCCTAGAACATTTTCCTAGGCATCATGTAGTGAGAAAGGGAAGGTACAGAACAGTATGTATGCAATGCTTTCATTTCTGTAACCCACCAAAAAAAAATATGCATACAATACATGTTTGTATGTATTGCACATCTCCTTAAGGCTACATAAAGAAATGGATAAGTCAATGATTCTGTGGAAGGGAACTAGATGGCTAAGAGAGAGGGATAAAAGAGAATAATATCACCGTGTATTTTCTTTTTAACATTTAAAAAAACACTTTTTGTGTGTGTGTGTAGTTTCAGATTTAGAGACTAATTAAGCAGATAGAGTTCCATATACTCACCCCACTCCCTGGCAATTAATGCACCAATATATGACATATTAACCATAGTTAATTGCAGAGTTCCATGGATGTTGACAAATGAATGCCATGTACCCACCATTACAGTATCATACAAAATAGTTTCACTGCCCTAACAATGTCCTGTGCCCCACCTGTTTATCCATCCTCCCTACTATCCATGCTCACCACTTCCCCCTGGCTACCACTATTTTTACTGTTGTGATAGTTTTTACTTTTCCAGAATGTCATATAATAGGAATCATACAGAGTGTAGAGTTTTCAGACTGGCTTTTTTCACTTAGGAATATGCATTTAAGTGTCCTCCATGTCTTTTCATGGCTTGACAGCTCATTTCTTTTTATTGCTGAATATTCCATTGTATAGATGTAACAGTTTATGAAATCACACGTGGCTAATGTTTATCATTCTTTTTAGATGTTGTTGGATTCAACTTGCAAGTTTTTGCTGACAATTTTTCATTTTCTTTCCTTTCATGTAATGCCTGGTTTTGGTATTAGAGTAACGATGCCCTCATAGAATGAGAATTGATTCGTAGAATTCATCAGCAAAACCATCTTGGCCCGATGCGTTGTTTCGGAAGGTTAGTAATTATTGATTTAATTTCTTTAATATAATTCTATTCAGATTATCCCTGTCTCCTGGTGTGAATATTAGTAGCTCGTGTCTTTCAAGAAATTGGTCCATTTCATCTGAGTTATCAAATTTGTGGACATAGAGATGTTCATAATATTCCCTTATTATCCTTTTCATATTCATAGGCTCAGTAGTGATGACCACTTTCATCTACTGGGCCTGTGCCTCAGGGCAGTAACCTTTACAAATACTTCTCAAAAATTTTTCTCCCTTAGTTTAGAAATGAAGGTTCGAATGGACTGGAGTTGGGTAGTTTTCTTTCCTCTGAGTCTGATAAGGTTCCAGAGCTTTTCCTTGTTGGGTAAGACTTGTTAGCTCTTAAAGTGTCCATAAATCTGTCAGAAGAGCTAGGAATATAACAGCATCCAAGTCTTAGACATACTGTTTTGTTTTTAAAATTTGGCCAACTTTTCTCAACTGTGCCCCTTCCTCAATCTCTTCCAGGAAGTTTAAAAAAAAAAAATAACGTACAATTTCATAATGAATTTTGTAGGTATATTCATCAGTTGGAAAAGCTATGACACCCAAGAGAAGGCAGAATTAAAGTATGAAAAATGTCTCTTTCAAAGAGAAAAATGTTTACTTAACACCGCTTAGAATAGCTATTTCATAGAAATAAATTAGTTAAGAGGGCAACCTAGACTAGCTTCGGTCAATAAGTCACCCTAGAATACTTTGAAGATTTATTTAACACCTCGTACTAAACTTGCCACCCTGTACCACTCTTGAAAATGCAGAACTTTTTTTTTTTTTTTTTTAAAGATTTTATTTATTTGACAGAGAGAGAGACAGCGAGAGCAGGAACACAAGCAGGGGGAGTGGGAGAGGGGGAAGCAGGCTTCCCGCCGAGCAGGGAGCCCGATGTGGGACTCGATCCCAGGACCCTGGGATCATGACCTGAGCTGAAGGCAGACGCTTAACGACTGAGCCACCCAGGTGCCCGAAAATGCAGAATCTTTACTGTTAATTATTTTCTACAATTGGTCACAGGTTTGATGAGAAATCAAGAAACCAAGGATAAAGGAAATAAAGGTTTCTACCCTATTTCCTTCCCCAAAGGGAGATACACACTAAGAAATTACTAAAAGCCATCAGCTTTATTTTGTATTTAAGATTTTATTTAACTTATTTATTTAGAGCGCATGAGTTGGGGGGAGGGGAACAGGGAGAGGGAGAGAATCCCAAGCGGACTCCATGCTAAGCATAGAGCAGGGCTCAGATCACACGATCCTGAGATCATGACCTGACCTGAGCTGAAACCAAGTTGGATGCTTAACCAACTGAGCCACCCAGGTGCCGCCTTATTTTGTATTTCTAAGAAAAATAAAAAAATAAATCTATCAAGTATGCACTATCATTTTACAGATGAAACTTTCCTTAGGTAAAGCTAGAAGTTAAATTTCAATGTAGTTACAAAACTCATGATTTAAAAATTTTAAAGTAACATTTAGTTACAAATTTTAGAATGTAAATAAACAAAATCAAACAACTTCATTACTCAATGGCAACCATTGTTTACCATTTATATTTATGTATTGCATATTTATACACACCTATATATCTTAAAGAGACTCAGGCATGTGAATCACTGCTTACAAGTAGTTTGGTTTCATGCTTTTTCCACATAACACACCAGGAATCTCTTTCCATGTGCCCATATATTTCAATATATTTTTTAAAAAGGCTCTGTTATTTTAATTAATGTATTTTACACTGTATACATGGGTTGTTTCCAATTTTGTGCAAAAATAACGTTGAAATGCACATCCTAAATCTTAGTGCACATCCTTAAGATAAATTCCTAGAAGTGAAACTGCCATAACCCATGTTTATTTTTTAATCATGTAGTTTGATCAGTATGTTTGAATCACCAGACTTCTTTTCTGAAAATGTAATATAAAGTTTAAATCTTTTTGAAACACAGAGGGCCTGGGTTTACTGTTCTTTAAGAATCCTTCCAGCTCTAACATGCTCTGATTAACTGTGGGTTTTATACAAATTAGTGTGTAGTAGTTAATACCAGTCTTTATTTGTGGGTAAATGAAAACCTGCCTAATTGAACATGAACAGTGTTGTCTTTTCCTAGGGCTAATCATAAGCCTTTTTATTTGAAGTTTGAGAAAAGCATAAGGCTACTCTAATACATTGTATCTTTTGGCTCTTTGAGATTAGTGAGATGAAATATAATTCTTGGAATAGTGTAGATAATGTAATGGAGAGGGAGAATCATATTCACTACTAAATCCCTGCCAAATGCCCAGCTACTTAGTGGAAAATTAGTTTTTAATAACATAATGAAACTGTAACCCAACCTACTCTATTGACTTCGAAAATGTCATTTTCTTATGCAGCACTGGCTAGACCTTACATAAAAAGCCCTTTGCTGTATATCCTAGGATTATCCTTTTCTTTTCTTTCTTTTTTTTTTTTTTTTGAGATACCAAGAGCATATAAACACTAGGCCCTTGGGGAATTAAGATAACTAAAAATATGCATTTAATTGGGAGGAAAGTTACTTCTCGCATCTAATGACGTTTATGATGGACTATTTGTAGTTCAATGTGAAGAAAAGCTGGTTTCTGATAATTATGGTACCTCTCATTCATGGTGATAATTAAGTTTTCTTAGGGTATTTTTGAAATGTTTAGATGAACACAAGCATAAACAAAACAAGCCTCAGTCTTTGCATGACAGGAAGAAAGTCAATTAGCTACAAAATGCTGCACAGAGTAAGACTAAGATTTCAAAGTGATTTGCAGATTCAAAGAAACCCATGATTTTTTAAATTTTTGTTTCATCTCAATGTATGGATTACAGAAGCATACAATTTCAAGTACTTATCATGTTCATTATCCATATTATAAAAAATAAACCATCTACCTTTTAAAGGCATAAGTCATATTTTTATTTGTTCATTTTTTAAAAATGATCTTGAATGTAAACTCAGTGAATGCTTAAAATAACAATTTGTTTCTTAATCCAAAAGACTTATTTATCACTATGAGTAATATGTGTTTAATATTTACTGGTGACCATTGAGAGAGCCAAGGCAAGTGAGCAATTCTCAGATTGGGGATTTTGGAAGGAAAATAAGATCCAAAGTGCCCTGTGGTTGAAAAAATATTCCATATGCTTAACATACTTATTATTTATTTTCTTAAACTATAGAAAAGCAAATCTCAAATTCTTGGCTTGTGAGAATATGCACACAAAAAAGTACATACTCTATTAACTGTAAAACTATAAATACTATAGTTTTGTCAATGATGTAATACATGATGTAATTTTGATCACTATTCCCAGCATATCAAGGTATTAGCAAAATGTTCCATTTTCTTCCATTAAAAGTTTAAAAAAAAAAAGTGGCAACCATGAGTAATAACTGATTCAAGCAAGAATTATTAATGGATGCTGAAACTAGTGGGTGAAAGGTGGAAGAAACAGGGTATTTGCAGTATCTCCCTACAAATTACTTATTATATCAAAAGAGAAAAATAGTGTTATAATGAAGATACTACTTGTGTGTATTGTTGTGTATAAATAGGTAAATATATTATGATGTTGAGAGCCAGGATATTTCCATATAATCATTTAGAGTAAAAATTATAACATTGTTTTGGGGTTTAATAATATATATAGATACATGTGTCAGCTATAGCATAAAGGATGAGAACATAAAAGGACCAACACAGTTACAGGGTTTCTACATTTTATACTAAGTAGTACAATATTAACTTCAAGTGGACTGTGAAAGTTAAGGACTTGATTGCCAAGACAGATTAAAAAGAAAGCAAGACTGAACTATATGTTTTCTACAATCTTAAGTTTTATATATAACAACACAGGTTAAAAGTAAATGGATAGAAAAATATACACTAGGCCAACAGAAAACATAAAAAGGCTGGAGTGGTTATATTCATATCAAATAAAATAGACCTCAGACTTCAAGACAGAGTTTACCAGAGATAAAGAGACACACTTCTTAATGAGATAGGGCCAATTAATCAGTAAGATATAACACCCAATAGCAAAGCCTTGACTGTTTTTGTAAATAAAGTTTTATTAGAATACAGCCATGCCTATTTATGTGCTGTCTATAGCTGCTTTCTTGCTACTGTTGTAGAACTAAGTAGTTGTAAGAGAGAGACAGTATGACTCACAAAGCCTGAAATATTTACTATCTGGCCCTTTACAGAAAATGTTTGCTGACTCCTATAAAGTGAGTAAGTCACAAACAGGGCATGTGTTTGGTTCATCAGTAGGTATATCAGATGCAAGGCCGTAAACACAATTCGTAACTATTTGAAAAGAGGAAAAGAGTTAGATTAAAGGTTATGAGTTTAGGAAATATAACTTGATTAGAAGTACCTTAACATATGTGAATGAGTCTCAGGTAGAAGTTGAAAGTCAAACATTCTCATTTAACTAAGAGTCCTAACTCAAGACAGAGTCTCATTATATCCTTAACATAAATAACTAGACTTTATAACAAATAAATAAAACTAAAAGTATACTAATCTGACAATTTCCCCCCAAAACACAGCATTAAGTTTTAATGAGTATTTGTTTTTGCCCTGACATTAGATAGTTTAGTATATAAACTTCAATCAGCCCAATTTTAAGAGAAGTCCGTATCTAGTCAAGGGGCATATGTAAATGGCAAAAGGAACTGTGCTAATACACTTGGACAAACTCTTCATAGCAAGATTTTTAGAGAACTTGAACAATTCTAATATAATGATACATTTACTTAGTTCTACTTTCTCTAATAGGAAATGGTCATACACACATAGAAATCATTTGTAAAACTCTATAGTGGTGGGTCAAAGATTTTTTAAAAAGAAAATACACACACACACACACACACACACACTCTGTTATATTAATCTGAGGTACACAAACCTAAAATGCAAAAAAAAAAAAAAGAGGACTCAACATACTAAGATTAAGAAAAATAATACCGACAATATGAAAGATGCTGTAAGAGACAGAAAGACTAGGATAAACAAAAAATGAAGAGGATGATGATTAGTACTCACCTCTAAAGCTAAAGTACATTTTTTTTTCTCTTTAGAGAGATCAGGAATAACGTTAAATTTGTATTAAAAAAAGGTTGCTAAAAAAAATATGGAGTCTCTGTCTATATAGATCTTTAAGAATAGGCAAATTTAGCGTCTTAAAATAAATGCATACTTGCAAGAATGGACTAGATCTGCACTGTCCAGCAGGATGGCAGTTAAAATCTAAATTCTTCAGTTGCACTAACCATATTTTAAGTGCTCAAAAATCACATGTGGCTAAAGGCTATAATATGGACAGTGTAGAGAACATTTCCAACATTACAAAAAGTTCTATTGGGCAGCAGTGGGCTAGGCTCGTATCTTCTTGAAAGTGTCTACATTGTAAAGATAGTTTGATTTTCCCTAGAGGTTTTGGTTTATTTATTTATTTTACAGAACTTTTTGTTTCATTTTACAGAGCCTTTTGTTCTTCAGTCATAGCTATCCATTTAAACACTTTTTCATGTAAAATTGAAAATGATTGCAATTTCAAAAAAGAAATAGAATGTACCCCTTATAGAACAAGTAGCAATCTAAAATGTGTTACTTGGTATAATGCTTTTTAAAAAAATTTGCAGAACTATGCAAAATGTATTCAAGTATGTGAAACCATGAGTTTGATAATTAGCAAATTATGAAAATATGTCTAGTTTCTAAACATAAATTCAGATATACTATAGTTGAAAAACAGAATTAAATCTAAGTTCACTTAAGTCACATGAAGAGATAAATAGGGAAGAAAACACCAAGCAAAATTAATGGTTGGAAACTGTAGCAATAAAACCAACTAAAATATTGATACAAAAATTCTTCTTAAACACTACTTACAACATTTGATTCAAATGAAGAGTACTGAAAAATTCCTTTGTATTAAAGAAATACATAAGGATATTTAACCTATGCCTTAAAATTAAATGGCCAAATTAAAAACTATCTAAACAAAAGGCAATATATTAAATGCAATTCACATTTGAATAAATAAATAAGAAATGTCTGAATATGTAGCAAGGCTGGAATCCAAGTTGTCCTTGGGCAAATCAAAAGAAATTCATAATTGATTGGAAATGATATGGGCAGACCAACAGGGTACTTTTAAAAAGAGTCAAAAACTAAGGCTATCTCAAACAAGTCTACAAATTATCGTTTTTTTAAATGTGACAATGTATTTGTTTAACACATCTGATATTTTCTAATTTTTTCACATTATTTCTGTAAGTATTCATTGCATTTTTTTCAAATTTAGAACTTATACCATATATCTTACTGCATTTTAAATGCAGTAATAAAATTATTTTAAATTCACTGAATTTTCTTTTGTGCTATTTAGAGAAAAACTTCTCGGGCAATGCTATGCCTTCTCTTTTTATACTAAATAATTGTATTTTCAATTTCTTAATCTTTAGGATTGTATATCAGGAAAGTTTGATTTTAAAATCTAATCACAAATGAGAATAAATTAAAAAGCAGAAGAGAGTGGAAAGCAACTAAGGAAAAGGGAAAAACCTTAGAAAAACAATAATGGAGGTCAAGAAGAACATTCTAATTAAGAACCAAAGAAAGCTTTAAGCAATAAAAGCCAGAAACAGGAAGTAAAACTTTTAAGACCAAATAAAAATATTTATCAGATCAGGTTCTTTACTAAATTAATAATTAGATAATAATTTGCTATTGTTCTGGAGTCACAAATTACCTTCCCTACCACACCTCCCCCGGAAGATAAATACATAGCATCTATATACTGAGATTCACAGTTTCTGGACTTATTTTTCCACCACTTAAACTGTGGATCATTGCTATCATATGGGAGTGTTTGTTCAACTCCTCTTGCTGAAGTTTCACCAACGACTCTTTCTCTTCCAAACGACCTTCTAATTGGGCCTTTTGAACCTCTAGGGAGGAAGCCTAGGAATGGGGGTGGGGGAGGAATTGAGGAAAACAAATTTAGCATGTCTTCCCTTCACAGATATTTTAAAATGTCTTATTTTTCATTTGTAAAACCACCATGTCAAAAGACACATTACAAATATGTATTATATCTTAGTTAATTAAATTTTATGGTAAGGTTAAGATAAGCAATTATTAAACAACATAATACAAATTGGAAAGACACATTCAATTTGTCTTTTTAAGTCAATATTAGCAGCTGGAAATTTGCAGAAAACACTACACATCACAATTCAGAATCACTATTAAGATGACCAAATTAAAGCAGAACCAGGAAATTGGTAAATATGGCATTAAATTTTATGCCTCCTCTGTCACTTGTGCTCTGTAGTTGTTCAAACGGTCATTTAATCCTGGTGTGTCCCCATCTTCCTGGTAGCAGATGGGCCACAAAGTGCTCTTCATAGCTACCACACACAAACAACCATGATAATGTGGAATGAGCAGTGGACTTCGATTCAGAATACTGAATACTTAGCTTTGCGACAGACCCTCAGTAAGTAACTCAAGACTCAGTTTCATTTGTAGGTTGAAAATATTTGATACTTATATATTAATATATTTGTTAAAGAGAAGAGGATTGAGAAAAATGTTTCAGAGTCCTTTGCAAATTATAAAGTTCTAAACAAATATGAACTACTATTATTATTCCCATCCCTAAAAGCTGGGAGAGGCAGCCAAATACAGCCACCTGTATGTGACATTCAGAACTGGGAACCCCTTTCTGTATTCTTGGCCCACTTAAAAGCAGTAAGTGCTGGTACACAATATATATTTAATAAGTTTTTCATGACTTTAGGAAATACAGGTTTTCACATTGTGAGAGAACCTTATTAAAAAAAAAACTGTCAATTTTCAGATTCGTCATTTTATTTAGAAGATATTACAAAGAACCAGAACTTTAATTTACCCAAATTCACCTTTTCCACAAAATCAGACTTACTCATCTACTACCAGTGAGAACTCAACAAATTCTTACCTTAATGCTCAATTCTTTTCTTATCTGTTCTGTTCTGTTTAGTTCCTTTCTAAGGATATCAATGGTTTCTTCCTTATCTTCCCTTTCTTTTTGCAAGATTTTAATCTTTTCTTCTTGTACTTTTGTTTTTTGTTGCAAATCTTAAAACAAACAAACAGTCAGCTATATGCTCAGAGGTTGGATACTGATGTTACCCTGAAAAGGTTTATTAGCCACTATGTAATTAGAGCAAAAGAACAACTGTAAAAGTTCTACACTATTTGATGAGTAAAAAAACACCATGAAACTCTTCCCCTAGACCAGTATTCCATAGAAAATGCCAAATCTCCATGGCTTTCCCTCTTCTTCTGTTCCTGATATTATATGTATAGTTATGAGGGGAAGGACAATCCTCAGGGCTTAAGGGTTAGAAGGATATAGAAAAGTATGAAAAATTATATAGGCAGATGTCTGTGTTCTAAGGCAAGTGAGTTAGAACAAAAATGTTTTTGTGAGTCATTTCAGAGCTACTGCCATTAAGCTGGTAACTAAAAGTTACCTAGCACTGCCACCTGCTGTTAAAGTTCTTTTAAAACTCTTTCTTTTGAAAAGAATCATTTTCTCTAATTCCCAGATTTTAAAAAATATATTGCTTTTTCAATTTAATCAATCTAACTAAACTGCTCTGGAAAATGTTATGGCAAGAAAAGGGAAGCTGTTTAAAATGTGATTTAAGGTTCAAAAAAATGAGAGAAGTAGAAAATAAAATCATGCTTTGATTTTTCTACCAACATATGTTAAAATATAGACAATATATTAAATAAGAAGCTACTTACTTGCTAGCTTACATTCTCTATCTACTAGTTGGTTCTGTACTTCTTTTCTCTGTTCTTCTTTCTCTATTAGTTGGGCAATAGTTCTGAAGTTATAAAAAATATAGAAGAAAACATCAAGGAAATATTTCTTTTTCTCCCCAAGTATTTTAAGAGAAAATTAATAATAACAGAAGTACCTTTACATTTTGCCAAATATGTATTTTATGACTAAAATAAGTGGCAATTCTATTAATTTTATCTGTAAAAAACAATGCTCTGTATAAAGAGAATCACTGTTTTTGAAAAATCCAAAATAATTAGAATTAAGAACTAGATACTTTACTTTTCATTTTGCTGCTTGAATGACTCATTCAACTTCTTCACTGTCTCAATTTGTTTATTCAGAGAGTCACATGTCATCTGCAAATCTTTATTCTTCTTTTCAGTGGTTTCATTCCTGAAAAGACAAGATGAGTTGATATTTTTATCGAGGCAAACATATGATGGAGATGGAGAAAAGAAACTGAAGAGGAATGTCATGAACAAGCAGAACATAAAGTTAGACTAATTCTAAAAGACATTAAAGATGTATTTTGGCTGACTTAGGAGGTAACATTTACTATAAAAAGGAAAAGTGCAGGGCATTTACCTCATATTTATGGATATAGAGCTTTACAGATAACATTGCTCTACATAATTTGCTATATATATTATAGTTATTTTCATAGTTAGATCTAGAAAATTTTTAAAAACTTCTGTAAAAGGATGAAGTTTATTAAAAAATAAAACTTAAATCTGCCATCATTAGCCTCTTGGGTATAATGTATGTTTAATTAAAAATGTCAAATTAATGAAGTAGTTGAGGATACTAAACTTCTCTTGCCTCTTTAGAGCTCTGCATCTAACAGTCCTGCTTAGTTTACTGGCAAAGTAAACACAGAAATACTTTCTAAAGTGATAACTTTGACACCCAAGTATCTTAAGCATAAAATGTCCTTTTTACTTCACGAAGTACAAACTGGTAGCACTGGCCAAATTTGCCTAGAAGTGTTTTATCTGTCACACACGGTTTTTAAAATTCTGAATTTGAATGCCTTTATATAGTCCCTACCTTTACAGATGACCCTTCTTTCCCCAGCCAACTTCATTATTTGCTACTTTTGGCCCTGGCAGGCAGGAGTTTTACCTCTTTGGCCCCTCACTCACTATCTGGAACATCAACGGGATGTTCCCATGGTTCCTGGAAACCACGTATTTCCGTGAGACCAATGCTTACTTTTTCTCGCATCCTGACTTAACACCCATAGTCCACTCTATCAGGGTTGCCTCAAACAGACTTTGAAGAAAATTGTTGTTGGGAGAAAGTATCCTGTTTAGGAAATTTTAACGTCACAAATTTTCTAGATGCTATACATTTCCCACCCTTTATTTTTATTGATGGGAAAATAAGCACATGGACCTTGCAGAATTAAAATTTTCTAGATCTCTATATTAATAGCATAGATAGAATATTTTTTCAAATCGAACCAATCTTAAATTAGAAATTAAAACAAAGAACAAGTTAACCAGAATGTTTTAATTTTTATTGTTTGGTAGAAAATACATAATTGTTCTGGGTCTTCTTTATAGCTCAGAAGTTTTAAAGTTGACCTAAAAGATAAAAAAAATTTGACAAAGGAGGAAAACATGATTAATCTCCTATTTTGTTAGTAGGCATGTAAGTTAGTGTAGCCTTTTGGGAAGAAAACGTGTCAATCCATCAAAAATTTGAAAGCACATACCCTTTAATCCGACAATTCATCTATAAGAATTTATTCCACAGATACAGTCACACATATAAATAAACCATATTCAATGACTTTAAGGAGAAGTACTGACCACAAACTTAGAGATGTTTTAAACACTAACACCTGAATTTCCATGCTATAAGACTGAATACTATGAAATTGTTCATATTCAATGCATTTGATGTACAGAAATGGCCAATTCATACGGCTCAACTTAACACAATTTATGACAACTAAGGTCATTCGACATTTATGGAATGCCTAACTGTGTAATGAGTACTGTTGCAGGCCCTGGGGTTTGTCAGTGAACAAAGCAGACTCAACTTGTTCTTGTGGCACTAACACCCCAAGTAACTGAGGAATGCATGAATACAGGCAAGAAGCAGAGTCAACTGGAAAGAAACAAAGAGACCTGTATTCTGTTTCCGACTTTGATCCTGAGCTTGAGTAAGCAGTATTTCATTTACCTGTGATGTAAGTTTCTTGTCAACTACTTAACTTACGGAATTATCAGAATATGTGAATGTTTACAAAAGGATTTTAGGGCCACAGAAAAGAAATGCTGTGTGTTCATTCTAGATTCCAACTTTACACAGAAACTTTTACTTTATTAATTTACCTCTGAACAAGTTCCATGTAGGATTTTGTCAGTATTTCATGTTCTTCAGCCACAGACTCTAATTTCCTATTATGTTGGAAGAGGTGCTCGATATCACTCTGGGCTCTTTCTGATTCAACCTGTTGTGCCTTCAGCAACACACCAAGCTCTTCATTTTTTCTCTCAACTTCTCTCAACATACCAGCAAGTGTCCGTGCCTAAAACAAAACCAAACAGAACAGAGACTTTTCTACTACCATGTATATAATATACTCATTTTCTACAATTTAAAAGGTTTACCAAATATCTAATAGGCTAGCATCTATTGGGTTATATAAAGTTTTATTAGTTATATTATTATTACTTAACTACTTCTAATAAATCTAACACTGTTATAGTTATTTTACTTAAGAAATTGTCCTGACTAGAATATTCTCGGTATAACCAGACTCATGGAAATGAACACAATTATAACAACAAGAAGGTAGCTCTACATTCAGTACTTAATTAAAAGGGTATGTATGGTCTTTGGGGCTAGCCATCAACACTAAAACATAAAGTTTACACAAATCAGTTTTCCCATTTCAGGTAGAAATTAAAAATAAGATTTTAACTATATCACAGATGTTTAAGCAAACACTTAAAATTAAGCTAGCCAATCAGGAATACAACCTAAAACAATATGAAAGTGTTTGTGCCAATTATAAGAACATATTATGAGCAACTCTATGCCAGTAAATTAGATAATCTGGAAGAAATGGATGCATTCCTAGAGATATATGAACTACTAAAACTGAACCACTGAACCAGGAAGAAATAGCAAACCTGAATAGACCCATAACCACTAAGGAAATTGAAGCAGTAATAAAAAAATCTCCCAACAAACAAGAGCCCAGGGCCAGATGGCTTCCCAGGGGAATTCTACCAAACATTTCAAGAAGAATTAATACCTATTCTTCTGAAACTGTTCCAAAAAACAGAAATGGAAGAAAAACTTCCAAACTCGTTTTATGAGGCCACCATTACCTTGATCCCCAAACCAAAGACCCCATCAAACAGAATTACAGACCAATATTTCTGATGAACATGGATGCAAAAATTCTCACCAAAATACTAGCCAATAGGATCCAACAGTACATTAAGAGGATTATTCACCATGACCAAGTAGGATTTATCCCAGGGCTGCAAGGTTGGTTCAACATCCACAAATAATCAATGTGATATAATACATTAAGAGAACAAGAACCATATGATCCTCTCAATAGATGCAGAAAAAGCATTTGACAAAGTATAGAATCCATTCTTGATTAAAACTTCTCAGAGTGTAGGGACAGAGGGTACATACCTCAATATCATAAGAATCATCTATGAAAAACCCACAGCGAATATCATTCTCAATGGGGAAAACCTGAGAGCTTTCCTTTCCCCCAAGGTCAGGAACATGGCAGGGATGTCCACTATCACCACTGCTATTCAACATAGTACTAGAAGTCCTAGCCAGTGCAATCAGACAACAAAAAGAAATAAAAGGCATCTGAAATCAGCAAAGAAGAAGTTAAACTGTCACTCTTTGCAGATGATATGATACTTTATCTGGAAAACCCAAAAGACTCCACCCCAAAACTACTAGAACTCATCCAGGAGTTCAGTAAAGTGGCAGGATATAAAATCAATCCACAGAAATCAGTGGCATTTCTCTACACCAACAACAAGAGAGAAGAAAGAGAAATTAAGGAGTCGATCCCATTTACAACTGCACCCAAAACCATAAGATACCTAGGAATAAATCTAACCAAAGAGGCAAAGAATCTATACTCATAAAACAATAGAATACTTATGAAAGAAATTGAGGAAGACACAAAGAAACGGAAAAACGTTCCATGCTCATGGATTGGAAGAACAAATATTGTGAAAATGTCTATGTTACCTAGAGCAATCTACACATTTTATGCAATCCCTATAAAAATACCATCAACTTTTTTCAAAGAAATGGAACAAATAATCCTAAAATTTGTATGGAACCAGAAAAGACCCCAAATAGCCAGAGGAATGTTGAAAAAGAAAAGCAAAGCTGGCGGCATCACAATTCTGGACTTCCAGCTCTATTACAAAGCTGTCATCATCAAGACAGCATGGTACTGGCACAAAAACAGACACATAGATCAATGGAACAGAATAGAGAGCCCAGAAATGGACCCTCAACTCTATGGTCAACTAATCTTCGACAAAGCAGGAAAGAATGTCCAATGGAATAAAGATAGTCTCTTCAACAAATGGTGTTGGGAAAATTGGACAGCCATATGCAGAAGAATGAAACTGGACCATTTCCTTGTACCACACACAAAAATAGACTCCAAATGGTTGAAAGACCTCAATGTGAGACAGGAGTCCATCAAAATCCTAAAGGAGAACACAGGCAGCAATCTCTTTGACCTCAGCCGCAGCAACTTCTTCCTAGAAACATCGCCAAAGGCAAGGGAAGCAAGGGCAAAAGTGAACTATTGGGACCTCATCAAGATAAAAATCTTTTGCACAGCAAAAGAAACAGTCAACAAAACCAAAAGACAACCGACAGAATGGGAGAAGATATTTGCAAATGACACATCAGATAAAGGGCTAGTATCCAAAATCTATAAAGAACTTACCAAACTCAACACCCAAAGAACAAATAATCCAATCTAGAAATGGGCAGAAGACATGAACGGACATTTCTGCAAAGAAGACGTCCAAATGGCCAATAGACACATGAAAAAGTGCTCAACATCGCTAGGCATCAGGGAAATCCAAATCAAAACTTCAATGAGATACCACCTCACACCAGTCAGAATGGCTAAAATTAACGTCAGGAAATGACAGATGTTGGCGAGGATGCAGAGAAAGGGGAACCCTCCTACACTGTAGGTGGGAATGCAAGCTGGTGCAGCCACTCTGGAGAACAGTATGGAGGTTCCTCAAAAAGTTGAAAACAGAGCTACCCTACGACCCAGCAATTGCACTACTGGGTATTTACCCCAAAGGTACAAATGTAGTGATCTGAAGGGGTACGTGCACCCCAATGTTTATAGCTGCAATGTCCACAATAGCCAAACTATGGAAAGAGCCAAGATGTCAATCAAGAGATGGATAAAGAAGATGCGGTATACACACACACACACACACACACACACAATGGACCATTACGCAGCCATCAAAAAACCCAAAATCTTGCCATTTGCAACGACGTGGATGGAACTAGAGCATATTATGCTAAGCGGAATAGGTCAACCAGAGAAAGACAAGAATCATATGATCTTATTTTTATAAGAAACCTTTCCAGTAAAATGGATAAAACATTAAATTCTCCAATAAAATGCAAGACATGTCCAACAGATATAGAATATAAGAATGTGCTATGGGAAGGGAGAAGACAAAATGATTTTAATATCACTAGTTTTCTTTGTTGGAATTTATGATAAATTCAACATGCCATCAGTCAAGACAAATGAATCCATGTCAAAAGAAGAAAAAGAAAACATACGGTTATATTTATTTGTATTTTTTCAAATACATGTACTCTGAGAAGACTCTAAAGTTATTTTATGTGTCACTGATTTTAATGCCTCTCTCAAGAGTCAAATGACTTTATTACAATTCATTATAAATGATATCAAACTGTTGAGATTCCGTTTGTATTTGCTAGGAATTTCATATTACTGCAGTAAGCTCTCGCTCCTAATGTACACATTGTGTGCATATATGCACACAGCACAGTGTCAAACTTTCTGAGCACCTACCATGTGCCAAGTACTGTGCTTGCTGGGGCCCTGGAGATACTGAGACCATCTCTGACATCAAGGGTAGAGGGCAAGGTTATACAATTTTCACATGTGTGGGAAGGAGAGGACCAGGGACAGCTTCCTAAAGAATGAGGGTATTTAAACTAAAATCTGAAGGATTATTAGGAGTTAGGCAGAGGAAGAGGAAAATGTGTTCCAGACATGGAAGAGCAAGTACAAGGGCAGGGAAACCTAAGAGTATGTCAAGCAACTGCAAAGCAATAGAACTGCATAAGAAACTACAAAGTAATCTGATATAGTCGATTGCAGAGAATGCACAGAAATGCAAGGAGATGCGGAATGAAAGTAGTTTCAGAATCCTGTGTGCCAAACTAAGGAATTTAAAATCATCTGCTGGGGCGCCTAGGTGGCTCAGTCGTTAAGCGTCTGCCTTCGGCTCAGGTCATGATCCCAGGGTCCTGGGATCAAGCCCTACATTGGGCTCCCTGCTCGGCGGGAAGCCTGCTTCTCCCTCTCCGGCTCCCCCTGCTTGTGTTCCCTCTCTCGCTGTGTCTCTCTCTGTCAAATAAATAAATAAAATCTTTTAAAAAATAAATAAATAAAATCATCTGCTGAGTAAAATGGTAAGCCGCTGCAGGGTATTTAGCACAGAAGCAATAAAATCAGATTACAGCCTCAGGAATCACTGTGGGGGAACAAGGGAGGGTGGAACCAAATACAAAAAGATGACTTAGGATGCACATAGAGGGTGGTTGAGAAGAGGGCTCCAGACTGAAGGTAAAAAAGACTAACTAGGGGCTCTGCTATGATTCATATAAAAAATGAAAAGGATTTGACCTGTAGCAAATAGTGGCAAGAAGAGACAAGGCAGAAAAAAGTAATATTTAGAAGATAGAATCAATTGGATTTGGTGAATGACTAATTGTAGGAAGTAAACTGTGTGACTTCCAGATTTCCTGTCTGGAAAACTCTTCAGAACAAGAGGGAATATACAAAAAAGTAAATTTTTTTTTTTTTTAAAGATTTTATTTATTTATTTGAGAGAGAGAATGAGAGAGACAAGAGAGCACACGAGAGGGAAGAGGGTCAGAGGGAGAAGCAGGCCCCCCGCTGAGCAGGGAGCCTGATGCGGGACTCGATCCCGGGACTCCAGGATCATGACCTGAGCCGAAGGCAGTCGCTTAACCAACTGAGCCACCCAGGCGCCCTCATCACCCTTTTTAAAAATTTACTTTTTTGGGGCGCCCTCATCACCCTTTTTAAAAATTTACTTTTTTGGGGCGCCCTCATCACCCTTTTTAAAAATTTACTTTTTTGGGGCGCCTGGGTGGCTCAGTTGGTTAAGCGACTGCCTTCGGCTCAGGTCATGATCCTGGAGTCCCGGGATCGAGTCCCGCATCAGGCTCCCTGCTCAGCGGGGGGCCTGCTTCTCCCTCTGACCCTCTTCCCTCTCGTGTGCTCTCTTGTCTCTCTCATTCTCTCTCTCAAATAAATAAATAAAATCTTTAAAAAAAAAAAAAGGGTGATGAATTCAGGATTGGTCATGCTGAATGGGAAATATTTGCTATATATTTAAACAGAGCTATACAGGAAGCATTAGTGCTTAGGGTAAAGGATCTGGGCTCGGCATATGAAATTGGTGGCATTAACATTCTAGTAATGACTGAAACCCTGGACCACCTAAAGAAGGGCAAAGGACTTAGAACATAATGCTGGGAAAACCCAACATTTAAGGGTTGAATGGAGAAAGAAGTCCCTAAAGGATATAGGAAAAGAATATCCATCAGTGTAGAAAGAAAATCAGAAGATAATAGGGTGATCAAAATTAAAGGGGGAAGGGTTTCAAGATGGAGGGAGTAATCGTGTCAAATGCTGAGAACAGTTTACTTCAAACAGTAACAAAAATAGCACTAAAATTTTGTACATGTTCTACTTCATTTATTTTTCTACTTATCAGATAAGTCTTTATATTGTACACACCTCTGTCTCAGCTTGAGTTCTTTGACAGCGATATTGAGCAATCAGTCTATCAGCCTGTGCAAGGGCTAGAGCTTTTGCTTCCAAAAGATCTTGTAGCCTGCTTTCTTTGGACTGTAAGAAAACATACCATCAATCTTTATCACTTACCAGAAAAACATCTATTAAAGCTTAACTGTTAGGTATAGTTAAAATAAGCTTGTACTCACGGCTAATGTGGACAGTTTCATCTCATATACATCCATTATGTCAGATATTCTCACATCATTAATCTGATCCTTTACCTAAGTTTTAATACAACAGTCAAAAATCAGAAAATTTTAACACTCAACACAATAAAAAAATAAATGTCTAGTGTGAAACTAAATCATTAAGACTTAATAATGAGTAACAAAGTAAAAAAATGAATGCTGTATTAGGCGGTTCACAAACATTTCACTAACCTGGCTATTGCAGAAGAGTATCTGGGTAGGACTTGATATGTTTATGGGTTATATTTCTTAAACAGGGGGATAGAGAGGATGGGGGTGGGCTAACTGGGTAAGACTGGGGGGAAAAAATGATTGCTGTGTTAAAATGTGGGAATTTTATGGCTAATTTTTTCTTTCCAAATTTTCTAGAATATTGTTATTTTCATATTAAAAGATAAGGTTTCATTGATCAAATTTGCATCTAAAGTTATTTAAATAAATGTTATAATAAGGGCTAATATTTAGTTGGTATGTACCAGGCAGAATCCCATTTATAATGGCTATTTACCACTCACCACCATTCCAGCCTGAAGTTTTTCTATTAATTCCTCAATGTTCAATCCAGGAACTCTAGCTTTCAAAAGTGGAGGAGTTAAACATTTTACTGATGTTGGAAGACTGTGATTTAGTGATTGCAAGGGCATTCTCCTGGGCATATGTTCTGTTTCCTGTTGTCTATAGGCATTGTTTGCTGCTATACTTTCTCCAAGTCTGAATAGAAGTAAAAAAAAAAAAAAAGAAAAGAAAAAAGAAAGAAAGAATTACAAAAAAATGAAGGGGAGCCTGGGTTGGCTCAAGTCAGTTGAATGTCCAACTCTTGATTTCGGCCTAGATCATGATCTCAGGATCGTGAGACACAGTCCCAACACAGGCTCCATGCTAGCTTGAGATTCTCTCTCCCCTTCTCTGTCTGCGTCCCCCATCCCACTTGTGTGCTCTCTCTCTCTCAATAAATAAAATCTTTTAAAAAAATAGAGGAAAAGGCAGTTAGTATAGACTTAGAGAATCTCTAGAATGGATCTTTGGGAATATAAGCCTTCAAATATTTTTGAAGTAACCTTGGAGTCTATGATGAAGCCAAATTTTGGAAAATACCCTAAATATTTGCCAAGGAACTGCTTTTCTACTTACAATCCTTTAAAATGACAATTCCACCTCTGGTCTGGAAGCACTAGAACTAGTGTGTGAGTATGGATTATTTGTAAAAATTAAGTACAACATTATTGCTATTGGTAAGAACATCCTTCTTACAATGGGCAACATCACTTGTCCTTTAGCTATGTCCTTTATCCTTGCCCTTTTTCACTCGGTATCTTCTCACCAACCTGACTCCCATTCTGCCCCTTCCATTTATCATGTCTTGTTCCTGCCACACGGTCTTTGAATAAGTTGTTCCCTTACTAGAACATTCTTCCCACCAGATCTGCATAGAGTTGGCTCCTTCTTATCATTAGGTCTCAGTTCAAATTCACTTCCTCAGAGAGGCCCCTCCACCCATACTGACATGCATATTATGAAACTTAATTTTTTTAACTTGTCTCCCAAATAGAATGTAAACCATATGACAGAGGCCCCAAGTCTAATTTGCCGCAGTATCTAAAATGACTAGAAGAGGGCCTGGCACACAGCTGGCCCTCACCAGACAGAAACGTACACCAAAAAACCTACTTATGTACCCACCCACCCATCTATCCAACATATAAATTTACCTTATTTAACTAAGATGATATAAACAAAGGCATAAACAGATATAAATAAATGAACACCTGAGATAGTGTCTAAAGAGAAAATTACATAACACCAGTAAGACAGGGGCAGCCCAGATACAAAGACATGGTAGGAAGATTTCATATACAGAGAGAGGATGAGACTCCCACTTTAGTGAAGCTGAAGCTTTCCGTTCTGAAACACAAGGGCTTTCCTTTATGTTAGATTGCCACAGTTGGAGCAACCAAGCCACCACAAAATGAAGCAGCTTCACAGACCATTTCTAGATTTTAACTTGAGAAGCTCCCTATTTATCCATTTGTTTAAAAATACTACTATACAATGAAGAGAATTTTGATTATTTGGTCTCTAGGTCTTGTTCTCCATAGTTCTTAATCTCTTAATTTATGACTAAATTATTAATTCTGAAAAATGAGTTTGCTAAGTCAGTTAAAAGAAACAGCAGAGGGGCACCTGGGTGGCTCAGTCGGTTAAGGGTCTGCCTTTGGCTCAGGTCATGATCCCAGTATCTTGGGATCGAGCCCCATGTCTCCCCATGTTGGGCTCATGGCTCAGTGGGGAGACTACTTCTTCCTGCCCCTCCCCCCAGTTGTGCACGCTCTCTCTTGCTCTCTCAAATAAATAAAATCTTTAACAATAACAGAAAAATAGCAAATATTCTCTTAATGTTTGAAATTAATGAGAATAGTGGACAATTCTGCCTGGCCATTATCTATTCCATTTTCTGATAAAAGCACAAAATTTTTCTTTAGGAATCCCCCCACCGCCCCCAAACTGATTTTCAGTTCACGTAGTTCTCATAGATGAACACTTGGTATCTGCCAAGGTCCCTCATTGGCAAATGACCCAGATCCAGTCAATGGAAGTGATGCTTAGACTTACCATTTAAACAACTGGCAAGGGAAAGCTCTTTGTTTTCTTTCCTGTTTTGTTTTTGTTGGCTGTTTTTTAGTCCTAAAAGCTATGTTGTTTATTAAGTGTTTAATCCTTTAGAGCCGCTTCCCATTTTATTCTCTGGCAAACTCTTAAGCTGAGGAAGTTCTTCCTCACATCTAATCTAAATTTTTTTTTTTTTAGTATAGCTGACACAGGGAAAGCTCGTTCTATGTAAGAACTAAACTAGTAAGATGTAAGCATAGTCCAGAAGCTACTATGTCAAATAGAAGAGGTGAGAGACAGAGAGGCATAGTGCCTGGAAAACATATTTAACCCACCTAAAGCTAGCTTTCCCTGAGTATAGACCTGGTCTTTTCAGTTACTGGAATCAAATTTTCTTTTAATCACTTGAAAAATTACTGTTATAATGAAGTCTTTGATTCACAAATTTTCTAATCTATCTATATCAAGGACTACTAAAGACACACAGCAGGATATTCTAGCACCACAAGAGATACACTGCAAATGACTACAACTCACACTAAAGCAGGAAAATCTGGCAGTGGAGCAGCTTCCAATAATATTCCCAGTCCAGACTGTACTTGTTCTCTATTATCTGATGTTAAAGCAAAAGCCAAGGGAGTAATCAGGCGTGGATCCTAAGCAAATCAGAAACCAGAAAACCAAAGGCACAAAGAATAAATAATGTCAGGATTTTTAGAGCAAGGTGAGTAAACAGAGCTAAATCATAAATTAATTCTAGGCAAATTCTGAAAGGTTTCTATCTGATGTTTGAATGTATTTATTAGCCTTTACTTTGTTATAATTATCTATGCAGTCAATATGAACACTAGCTTTAAAAAAATCTGGCAGAAGTTTGTTATACCTATGAAAATCACATCTTAAATATTTTGATGAATTTAAAATATCATCCACAACTGACTGATGTTTTGAATTACTGTTTTATTTTTCTAGCTACTCTTAAAAGAAAATCTGGCTGTAAGAAACAATAGTTAATCATTTCTAATTAAAGTCAAAAATAAAAATAAAATTCAAATTAACTAAAAAAATTCTAATTCAGTAACTGAAACAATTATACTTAAAGCATAAGTCCTTCATGTCAGTAAATATTTTACATTAGCTCTTTAGGCCCCAAATCATTTATTCTGAAAAACATCTCCTAATTGACGCAAAATCAGTTTGACTCAATTTTTAAGTTAACAGAGAAAAAATACTAAAATATGAATCCTTTATAGTTATCTACATTTTACAATGTTGAGTGTTTTGTAAGCACTCAAGTATAATCTTATGCCACAAAACCATGTTAAGAGCTGGGCTTTATCTCCATAACCCTCATGGTAACCCTTGTAACTGCTCCCATGGAGGGGGATTCATTATTTTCATTTTGTAGTTAAGGAAGCTAGAGCTCAGACAAGTGAAATAGCTTGCTCAAGTCTGCACTGACGTGACTGACTGATGGGAGTCAACATCTGAACCCCATCTCTTAAGCATTATGCTCTCCAAAGTGTACAAGTGGCTCCCGTGTAAGGTTTCCGTTTTGGCTTCTACCCTGTCCATACAGACCAGAGCCATCTTTGTTTATTATAGTAACTCAATTCATACATGTTTGCTAAGTATCTATTATAATCAGGTTTTGTGGCTATCAAGGTAAACATTAAAGCTCTTATTCAGCTACCATCATCGAAATTTGTTACTCAGCTATTCTCTGCACACCCTCTCTAATCTTATTATCACTCACAATCAAGTCCTTTTCTTCCAGATGTGTCCCTTATCCCCTTAATACCCTACACCATCAATCCCAACCAAAAACTCTGCACTGCAATGCTATTAGAAATAAACGAAGAAACCTAAAGTATGACATGAGAAAGGAAAAAGGCTGAGGAAGCTCTACTATCATGAACATCCTGTACGTTACAGTCAGAAGCATTTAGGTTCAATTCCTGCAAAACTATGTAAAATTACCATGTAGTGGGAACATTATAGCTACTTAAGGCAATTAACTTTCTTCTGATGGCCAATTCTAAGAGAAACATTTTCTAACGATCAAGAATATTAAAACAGAAACTCACACATTAGGAAGCATTTATTTACAAATAAATTTCAATATTTGAAGAGTTTAAACTCACCTGAAGAATTTTATAGAAGCTTACTTCCATACCAGGAACCAACTGTTTAAGTTTGTTCATCAAATCAAGAGTTTTCAAAACTACATCAGCAGCAAGTTTGCTTAAAAATAAATCATATTTAAATTAGATAACTAAAAAAATTGCTTAGAACTTTATTTCTGTCCATAATTCTAAAGAAATTCTGAAAAAATCAACACCTTTGTTTTTAAACCTTAGGAAGATAAAGTACTGTTTTCTTTTGAGAAGTAAAAATACAATAGAGACCAGGGGTGCCTGGGTGGCTCAGTCGGTTAAGCCGCTGCCTTCGGCTCAGGTCATGATCCCAGAGTCCTGGGATCGAGCCACGCATCGGGCTCCTTGCTTGGCGGGAGGCCTGCTTCTCCCTCTCCCTCTGTCTGCCGCTCTGCCTACTTGTGCTCTCTCTCTATCTCTGTTAAATAAATAAATTAAAAAAATCTTAAAAAAAAAAATACAATAGAGACCAACATCCTTATAACCTAAGCCCCCAAAAGAACAAATTGGCATTAATAGTCTAAATTGAAATAGTGTTTCTTTTTCTAATCTCAAATACCACCAAACTTCCACTTTCTGCACCAAATTACTAGCAGCATCAGCTACATGACCTATTTAATTCTTAGCTTTGTCACTGGAATATCAACAATAAAGGGCAACCTTAAGCAATACAGAATACTTAATATTTACCAAATAAATTATACTAAGCCATGTTCTTAACCTCGTACCACAAAGGGAGTACAAAAAATAAAAAAAGGTAATCCTTGTTCTTGAGGAGCACAATTATTGACAATAATGTCATTTATGGAAATTGGAACAAATCAATGTCTAGCATTCAGATCCTCAATAAAGATTTGTTAATGGACTTAATGTGGGAGGGGAGGGATAAAATACTCTATCTCATCACTGTCAGAGAAAATTCACCCTTAAACCATAAGTCTTGACATGCTTAGGAAAGTAACTGTCTTTGTTAGTAGGAACCTTCAATAGTAACTGATTTCCTAGTAATAAAAAAAAGACCCCTGTTTTTTCACGTTTTGCTTAAAAAATAAAATTACTGAGGCAATGCCAAAAAGAGCCTCCAGAAAAGGGAGTACAAAAGACCTTAGATAACCACAATATATTAAAACACAAAACAAACCTAAACAATGAAAAACAAATCACAGATGTTAAGATTATCCTTTCTCTGAAGCATGTAATCTATGACTTGAATGAATTTTTTAAAAACTATGAAAAAACTTAATTCTCTGCTACATCTTGAGTTAATAGTGCATACCCAAGGATTACCCTCCAAAAGAGGAATCACTAGATCTTTTGATTTTTATGTTTGGCATTACCATTTTGCCATCTGGATTTCATATACTCACCACAATTCAGAATCTGCTACCTTTGTTCCAAACCCCAGATCAATCTTGCCATACGTAAATTGTTGTTCTATCAGAGTGGTACATTTGATAGTAGTCAGAGTTTTTGCAACATGCATTTTTAGAGTATCATCTCCACACAGAGGTAAGTTTTGTTAAGGAATACAAACAAAAAATTCTCAACCTTGTATTTGTATAGCACTTTACAGTATTTAGAGTGATTTCATACAAATGATCATGTTACCGCACTTCCATATAGTCATTGTTACATTAGCTCAATGACAGATTAGGAAACTAGAGCTCAGAGCTTAATTAAGTGATTGGTAAGTAGCAAGAGATGGGACTGACACCACGTCTGTTACTGTGCTGGATGTTAGTATTTTGCTAGCAGGTTATTACAATGGTTCAATATTTGCTGAACTAAGGGAAGTTATTTTTTCCTATTTTGTAATATTATAAGTTAATTTGAGTATCATTTAAAAAGGGTCAAATTTGGCTCAAAATGGTACCAAGTCTGAAGCCTGCATATATTACAGATATCTTTACTACAATCAAGCAAAATAATCATGTATCTCTACAGCAGTGGTTTTCAACTTTGGCTGCATGTTAGAATCATGTGGGTAGTTTGATCAATCACCATCTTCCCCCACCTGCCCACCAGGGTTTCATATTACTCCAATTAAATTAGAATTGCTGGAAGTGGGGCGCCTGGGTGGCTCAGTTGGTTAAGTGACTGCTTTTGGCTCAGGTCATGATCCCAGGGTCCTGGGATTGAGTCCCACATCAGGCTCCCCCTGCTCTGCGGGGAGCCTGCTTCTCCCTCTGCCTGCCATTCCCCCTGCTTGTGCTCTCTCTCTGTCAAATAAATAAATAAAATCTTAAAAAAAAAAAAAAAGAACTGCTGGAAGTAAGGTTCAGGTGTCAGGATTTTTAAAACATTCTCCAGGTAATTCTAATACATAATCAGGATTGAGAATCACTGCTGTAGGGAAGAAGAAAATTAAGGAGCAGAAACACCAAAAAGAGAGTAAATAGCTGTGGAATTTGTTCTAGGGCAGGATGAAGTTGAGCAAATTCTTGTTGCTGAGATATAAGGAAACTTGACCAGGTAAATATAAAAGATCTGGTTGAGATATAATGGCTCCTTGCTGATAATAATAAAAACACATTAATGAAATATTTTCAAAATGGGACTTGGGCTTCATAAAGACTTAGAATCAACTGATCTAAAAGAAAAAAGCTAACATAAGAAGAGACCTAAGAAAATCTGAATACAGAAGTTAGGCAGTGACACTAATTGAACTCAAGGTTTTCTTTTTTTGTAATGAATGAATTTGTCTTAATAATATTTGTCTTTTTTTATAACCTAGTATGGTATCATCTTTATTAAAACATTTCTGGAGGCTTTAATTTTCAGTAAAAATTATAATATAAAGCTAAAATACTAACGATTCTACCAATGTTTATTCCCTGATACACTGAACCAAAGATGGCATGACAAACCATCCAGAGATAGCAATTAGCATTCGAGAGTAACACAGCAGTTATTTTAAGAATGTATCTCTTGACCTCAAATTGCGGTAAAAATGTTCAAATCAAGTTTAAAAAGCATTCTGAAAATATTCTTTAAAGTTTTAAACAGAAAAATAAAGGGAAAAAGTCTGGACAACTTTTTTATAGACTCCACATTGAGAATTAGTTCTATAGTTTAAACTCCAATTCAGTAATTCTGAATGGATATATAAGCATGAGAAGTGACGAAATTACAAATAAAGACAAAAATGCAGTAAAGGTAATGCTAGAAAAAAATGAGTGGTTAGTTTCCATATTTTAACAGTAAAGGATATTTAACAAAACTTCAGTGGCCTTGACCATCCTTTCACATTTTCTTTTTAATAAGGCTTCATCTAGATTTTGTTCTGTGAATTGAAGTTGATCAAGGATTGTAGGCAGCAGAAGGGTCACAAAACGGTCAGCTGAGGAACAGTTAGCAGTATCTATAATGTCCTGGAGAATTAACCACCACCAATGATGAAAAATAAAGATGGAATACAGTACGCAGGCATAGTCATCACCAAGCAGCAACATTCTCATCAAATCTCTTATAATTACTTCAATATTTAATTGACCTGTGTCTCCTATTTAAAACCTACCCTTTTATCCAGTTTTGATGGCTATGATGCCTTTTTTCTTAAATGGAACAATAAGGTTTTAAGCTATTCAACTGCAAACAAGACTTTCTGGTGGACTGTGTCCATGATTTGAAAACAAGTATCCTAAACTTGCTAAGTGAAATTACAATAATTAAATAACCACCACTGGTCTTAATACTTTACAACTATGAATATTCCCAGCAAGAATCTTGAAGAGTTTTTTAAATGCTAAAACTGGTTTAACAGTCAAGACCACCATAAAACAGAAAGTAATTTTACTCAGCCATCAGAAAGGATGAATACCCAACTTTTACATCAACATGGATGGGACTGGAGGGGATTATGCTAAGTGAAATAAGTCAAGCAGAAAAAGTCAATTATCATATGGTTGCTCTTATTTGTGGAACATAAGGAATAGCATGGAGTACATTAGGAGAAGGAAGGGAAAAATGAAAGGGGGGAAATCGGAGGGAGAGATGAACCATGAGAGACTATGGACTCTGAGAAACAAACAGGGTTTTAGAGGGGAGGGGGGTGGGGGGATGGATTAGCCCGGTGATGGGTATTAAGGAGGGCACCTATTGCATGGAGCACTGGGTGTTATACGAAAACAATGGATCGTGGATCACCACATCAAAAACTTTTGATGTATTGTATGGTGACCAACATAACATAATAAAAAAAAAATTAAAACAGAAAAAAAAAAACAACAAAGTAATTTGTGCATCACCTTTGACGAATATATTTAATCACTCATATACATTTTTGTTTGTGCATAGGATCCAGTCATGAGAGGAAATACTCTAAGAAGATATTGTGGTAGGCAGAATGGGTATAAAAAGAGAGACAATAGTAGAGAATGCTAAATGACCTAGATAGTAGAATCTACCAGAATGTAATGGCTTCTAGGGAAAGAATTTTTGTCTGTATCCTAATTGCCTAGCAGTGTCTGGCATGTTCCACTCCATCTTAGTGAATGAATCCAATGTTGTTATATTAATCCACTAATAAGCTAATAAAGAAAGTAGACAGTCTCTACCAAGATGGAGAAAGAGAATGTGACTACTGCAAGAAGTAGGCAGACAACAAGAAGCTTTACAAGTCTCAGGTAATACCTTTACTTATTACACTGAAAGGAGTACATATAAGCTATTCGGTGCAAAAAAAGAAAACACCAATGTTCCTGACTTTGCCCAAAAAAAGGAAATTCAGTAGCTGAATGAAAGGGAGTTAGTTAAAAGTTTTCCTCAAGTGTATAAACAATTAGAAGTTTATTGTGGACGTTTTTGAAAGTAAACTGTTCACTGAGAATCATTAAATGTAAGTCAATTTGTCTATCATTATATTACCTCAAATATTTCCTTGAACAACTCCAAGGCTAAAATAGAACAGTTTTCTGATCCATCCAGAGGTTGGCTTGACCAACGAAGTAGAGCCACAGTAGGTTCTAAACATTTAGAACGGCTTCCCAGAATGGTGTTGCCAGATGGAGACTGTTCAAATATCATCTGAGTGAGCACGTGGCGCAGCTGAGTCACTGAACAGAAGGCAAGAAGTAATTCTAAAACCTGTGCAATATAAAGTCTTCGTTAAATGTCAATTTCATTGGCCTTTAATGTACAGAGTAACCAAGTGATGAAGCTGAAAATGACACATTTTTAAAGAAGATACTCTAAAACAAAAATTAAAGAAAGCTTCCAATTTTTCTTTCAGTAATATTTTTCAAAATGCGGGATTAGGTACCATAAGGTTACAAAGAAATTTGTTAATGGTAGTTACTCCTAGTAAGCAGGACTATGAGAGCCAAAGGAGGGCAACTTCAACTAATATCATAGGCCTTCTATAGTACTTAATTTTTTTTTCAAAGCACAGATGTTTTGTTTTTACAATGAAAGAAGAAATTAAAAAATAATATTAGAAACTACAAACACTTGCTGTCATGCTGAGATTCAAGAATTCCTATAAAGCATACTTTAGGATAATACTGAAAAGTGGCATTCCCAAGCTTTAAAACCTTAAGTATGGCTATTTCCCACATGGTTTGCACATTGTTGACTTTATACCTATTAGCTCCTCTATTCTACCTCAGTTCTTTACCTCATAAATTGGGCCTTTATAACATCACATAACATCCCACACCAACCTATTTATTAGCTAAATTAAATTCTATCTCATTTCATATACTACCAACCTAACCTATCATTAAAAAAAATTATTGGCATCTCTTTGCCTATCCACTTACTTTCTACCTTTATCTGTATTTTTATAAATTACATATAATTGGGATTTGTGTTTTGATCAACTTGATGGCATCTGATTTTAATGGAATTCAGCCCATTAGCATTTACTATGTAACAAATGATAATCTTTGATTTATTCATTTTCAAATATAAATTATAGTACTTATTTTTGAATAGGTAATACATTTACTTGGTTCCATGGCCAAACAAAGCAGCCTGATCTCTGGCTACACTCCCTGAAGGCAAGCAATGTTCTCAGTTTCTCTTTTCTCTTACCAGAGACATATTATACCCATATAAGAAAATACCTTCTCAATATACACTAAGTATAATGTACAGAAGTAAACTAATCAATCATTATTACAAAGGTGGATGGTTTTTCAAAATTGAACATACTGGTGCAACTGCAACCAGAAGAAGAATTCTACCAAAACTCCTGGAGTCCCTTGTGTCCCCTCCTAGACAATGCCTCAAACACTCCTCTCCGTCAGATTTCTGACACTGTAATTTTATCTTAGCTATTCTTGGATCTTTGCATTTCCATATAAATTTTTTAATCAGCTTGCCAGTTTATATAAAACAAGTCACATGGAACTTTATATATAAATAGAATCTTATAGTGTATATATACCCTTCCTTCCATCTGACTTCTTCAGCTTAGCATCAGGTTAGTGAAATTTATCCATACTATTGCACACAGTTGCCCTTCACTCATCCTAATTGCTGTGTAGTACTCTAATGTATAGATGTATCACAATTTATCTACCCATTCCATTACTGATGGCATCTGGATTGTTTCTAATTCCTGCCTAAAAGGAGTAGTACAGCTATACATGTCTTTTGGTGAACATATATATTTAACTATTTGGGGTAAATACTTAAGAGTGAAATCGCTGGCTCATACTCTATGCACATGTCCAAAATTTCTAGATAATACCTATTTTCATAAGTGGTTGTGCCAATTTTCAGCCCCTGAGTACTACAACCTTATGGGTTTTTTATTATTCTCATCTATATTTGATGCTATTCATATTTTTAATTTTAACCACCTGGTGGGCACATAGTAGCATCACACTACCAATTTGCATTTCCCTGTAGATTAATAAAGTTGAACAGCCATTTCATATTTATTGATCAATTCTTTTTGTTGTTGTTCAGATTATCTCTTGGGTTCAGTGTTTCTTTGATTTATATATACATGTTTTTAAATACATATAAAAAAATAAATATATTTTAGATCAGGGTCCTTTGTTGGATATATGTATTGTAGATACCTTTTCCGTGTTACCAGCGGTCTTTTTGTGAACAGAAGCTCTTAATTTTAATACAGTACAACTTAATCAACTTTTTTCCTGTACAGTTGGTGCTTTTGTTTCCTATTTAAGATCTTTGTCTATCCCAAGGCTGTAAAGATATTCTGTTAGGCATTTCTTCTATAAGTTCACTGTTTACCTTTCACATGTAGATCTACAATCTTTCTGGAACTGATTTTCACATTTGATGTGAGGTAGGAAACAAAATTCCGTTTTTTCCCACATGGATATTCAATTGACTCAGTATCATTTATTGAAATGACCATTTTTTTAGAACTGCACTGTTATCAATCAGGAGACTATATGCTATGGTATGCTTTTAAACTGTACTCTGTTTCAGGGGGCTAGCTGTCTACCCTTATGACAGTACTGCACTGTTTTAATTATTGCAGCTTTGTAGTAAGTCTTGGTATCTGGTAGTATTAGAAGTCCTCCAACTTTGTTCATTTTTTTCAGGATAGCACTAGTTATTTTTAGACTTTCCCAATGTCCACATACACCAAAACCAAAACAAATATAAACACAAAAAAACACTAAAACCTGCTATGATTTTGAAACTCTTCTAATCTATGAACTTGGTATATCTGTATTATTTAGGTCTTTTATACCTCTCAATGTTTTGTAATTTCAGAGTAGAGACTTCGTGTGTGTTTTGTTGGATTTCTCTCCTAAGCATATGACCTTTTTAAAAAAATAGAAAATAGTATCATTTTTAAAACTGCATTTTCTATTTAACATTGTTTACATGTCTTTTGATGAGCTTATGGACATGTTTGGCTTGGCTATGTGGTTTAGGAGTGGAATCGCTGTGTCACGGTATATATATATTCATTAGGCACTGTGAAACAATTTTTAGTACCAGTGAATGAAGACTTGAGAAGGGTTCTAGAGTACTGGTAATGCTCTATTTTCTGATCTATATAATGGTTATATGACTGTGTTCAATTTGTAAAAATTCAGAGAGCTGCACACTTAAGATTTTTTTGCACATTACAGTTTTCAAAAGTTTAAAACAAAAAGTCATGTTTTTACACACCTTTGAAGAAGAATCAGGATCCTTTCCATTAAGAAGACCTAATACTTGATTGAGACATGAAGAAAAGTGCTCATACCTAAGTTTAAAATAAAAATATACATCAAATGATAATCATGAAATTGATCCATCAAATAGGATTTATATACAAAATAAATATAAAATTTAAGTGTATTTTCTTTCATCTATTTATTTTGAGCTTCTATTATAGAAGTCTGCAAAATTTCTACTTATAACTTGAAACATTCTATCACTATGATATACATAAATTGGCTTTGTTATTTATTGAGCAGTGAAAAAACAATGATTCCTGTGGCAATAAATAAGTCATTGAAACTTTCAGTACTTCGATTGCTTTTTTTTTTAAAGCTATGTTCAGTTTGTAAAAATTCAAAGAACATGAAATATTCTAATAAATTAGGCAGCTATTTATTTATAAAGCACTTATAACAGCTAGGCATTATATTAGGTTCTGCAGATACAGAGGTAAGGCGCAGGGCCCTGTGTTACAGAACTCTAAGAGCTACTAGAGGTACCAACCACATTATTGTCTATGTGACTAGTGCATCCTGTGTTTGAGACAATGATGCTCTGTGAGAGACCTAAGAGTCTAAGAATGAAGGCAGAAACATAAAATATTATATAATGTAAAATACAACACTATCATGGAAAAATACATAGAATGTTAGGAGGATGAATATCAAATCCAGACTCAGTGTGGCAGGCCTAATCAGATGAGGTTTCCCACCCTTGAGTCTTAAAAAATAAACGGGAATTAGACATATAAAGCCGAAAGTATCCAGAGGGAAGAGCACATGGATACACAAAAGGCATTTCTAGCAAGTTGGAGATTCTATTTACTGTCTGAAGTGATTAGACTAAAGTACATAAGAAAATGTAAAGAAACAGGGCTGAGAGGTTCCCAGAGACCAGATTTTAGGGGTTATACTGAGAATTTGTTTACCTTGAATGCAATGGGAGATCACAGATTTTAGAAGGGACATATGGTTGAGGGAAATGTTGAAAATCAAATATAAGTGAAGGGAGTCAATGGAATGAGAGACATTGAAGAGACAAAAGATACTGTTGAAAAAATAGGACAGAATGAGATTTAATGCACAGAATAAAGGGATGTGTCTATGAGCAAAACAAGATGACACTAAGTAAGAATTGGTATAAACACAAGTAATTTGGTTTAAGAGCAAAAATTTGAAAGAACTCCAATCAGATGGGATTCAGTTTTGTTTTTTTTTGTTTTTTTTCTGTGAAACAAAGATAAGGTCATCTTCTGAGTGAAAAGTGGCAAGAGTAAAGTAGTAAGTATTTGAAAGGGCCACTGTAGGAAATGTGAAAGAAAGCTGGGAATAAATATGAGAAGTGCTGCCCAAATAAAGTTAGAGGTAGTGAACATGTAGAATACAGATTCATAAAATGTGATTTTTCTCAGGTTTTGATTAGGAACCCAGACATTAAATTAGACTTTGGAACAGATTCAGGAACATTTTGCTAAATGGTATAGCAAATAAACAAGAAGACAATACAATTAAACGTAATTTCCTTTCCAGAGGTGATTCTGGAGTTTTAGGCTAGATAAAAAGAAAACAGATAATGGAACTGAGAGATTTACAGGAGAAGTGATTAAGCAACCACTTACAAATGCTAAATCAGATTATATTTTGGTCCTCCTGCAGAGGTATATCCTTTGTTGTTTACTTAGAAGTTGTTAAACAAGCACTATTTGGTGGCCAGAATGGGTATTACACGAGAGTATATTGGGAGGACTCTTAGAACAGATAACAGGGAAGACAAGTAAAGGAAGGGCACTCTGGAAGAATGATTTCTTATCCACCTATGCTTAAGAAAAGAAAAAAAATGAAATGCTAATGTTGTAGGATTTCTTTTCCTTTAGTGCCCGCAGTTCTTGGTCCCGGCTGCTTCAAAGAATGAAGAGGTAGACCAGATAAAAGGTGATGGACAGCAAAGCAAAGTGTATTGAGTGATAGTACAAAGCTCCGGCAGAGGGAGGGAACCTGAGAGAGTTGCCACTGGAGTTTCTCAGTCTAGGGGTTTTTATGGGCTTGTTGGCGGGCTGTTTTAATCTGATTAATCCTCCATGAGCCTGTCACCCAGTCAGGTTTTTGTCATCTACTTATCACGTGGGAAAGGGTGGAGGAGCCCTTGGTGTAAAATCCTTTCCTCTTAGGTAGGGGCCCCTTGTCCCTGCCTGCCCTTTTTCCAACTATCCTTCATTACTAATGTGAATGGTTCTTGGTTCTGTAAAACATCAGTTAGCCATATGGGTAGTGGTCAACCTTGCCCTTGTGGTTAGCTTTTGTTTTTTTAATGTCTAGATTCTACATTCCTTAAAATTTGGGACTATGTTTTGTATAATTTCTGGTTCCATGTTCCTCAAAGATTAGGGGCTATGTCTTCAAATTCCTATCTCTGCTAACACTCCCACATCCCCCAGTACTTGACCACAGCAGGGGCTCCATAACTGTCTTCTCATTTGTGAATGATTAATTGAACTCTTTGAAGCAATTTCTCCAATTTCCTAACCTACGACCACAAAGCGGCTGAGGCATTGGGGAAAACTTAAGATATAAAAAGGCCAGGGGTGTCTGGGTGGCTCAGCCAGTTAAGTATCCAACTCTTGATTTTGGCTCAGATCCTGATCTCAGGATTGTGAGATCCAGCCTTGTCTTGGGCTCTGTGCTGGGTGTGGAGCCTGCTTAGTATTCTCTCTCTCCTCTCCCTCTGTCCTTCCCCTACCCTCTTGCTCTCCCCATCCCTCTCTAAAAAATAAAAGTATTAAACGGCCACAAGCTCTTTGGAAAATAGTTGCTAACTGATCTCAAAAGATGAATGATCACATGAAATGCCACTGAGATAGAATGGGCATATAAACATATGTTCTCATTTTACCTTATGACACAACAGAGGCACATAATGAAGAAAATGCTATTCATTTTTATGCAAAAAAGAAAAGACAAATATACTGACATAAATGTCCCTATAACAATACTTTTCCAAAAATTGTAATGTTCAAGATTTAAATCTGGCGCTGGAAAAGATTAAGATGTGTACATTTTAGACAGTGATACAACCTTATTTATCTAAGACAAAGACTGAAACACACCCCCTCACCACCCATGTTCTTATACTTGTACATTTTAGGCCAAAAAAGCAAAAACAATGGGAATAAAGCACATCAAAACATTTCAACTGAGTCCCTTGTCCATTAGTAGAATCCAGGTTTACTAACTCTGAAAAGGCAGTTTCATTAATCACAAACATATCTTGGTTCATTGAAAAGAAAAACAAGTCTTAAAATTTGTCAGAGTCATACCTGGTAAGATAATCAGCAATTTTAGGATTCTTAAGGAGATCCATCAATAGATCAACTGAATACTTCCTAGTCAATGTGCCATCACCGTTTATGAGAATATTAAACATTAGCTGAAAAGTTTGATGAATGTTTCGAACATGGAACAGCTTAAAAACAAATTAGGAAAAGTATATTATACAAAAAAATTTAAGGTGACACCATTCTAAACAAAGTCTCAATACTTGTAAAATATCAGAGAATATAAACTTCAGAACTATTTTCAAAAATAAAAAAATCATATTTACCTTTTCCCCCACCTCTTCATTTAATGTCAAACTGGATAATATTGAAAGTGCAAACACAACCACAGTTAAACTACTGTGGGCCAGGAAGCTTATAAGAGTTCGATAAAAAGATTTCACATTATTCTGAGAAAGAAAAAAATTTTTAAATAAATTAGAATGAAAAATTTTTAGGTTTATATTTTGGTTTAGAAAGTGTATCTTGCACAGAGTAGGTAAACTTCTATTAAACATCCTTATCAACTTAAGAAATTATTCAAACACGTCCATGGCTCAAGATAACTTCCACCTCCAAAGTACCTCCAGTACAGAACAAATGAGATAATTGTTTAACTTGAAATTAAACAGGTAATATTGGATACTGCATAGCAGGGGAATTGTTCACAAAGTACCTTAAAGAATCAATGAACTTTCTTGATTTGACATATTTCTAACGGTGGTTCAGTTAACCCCATTTGTGTGTCTTCACTCATTACAAGTGCTGGTAGTTGTTGCAGTCATTTATTCATGGATCTTTCTGGTGGAGTTGCCATTGATTTTGTGGAAATATAAGATCTGAGGTAAATGGGATTGCCAGTGATGTGTGTCCTTTCTATTAGCACAAAATGATTTAGCATTTCTTGTATTATTCAATATAAGAAATAATGGGATGCTATTGAGAAGGAAAACTTTTAGTATTCAACAGTTTTATTAATACTTATCATCTTAAATACAACATGTGCAAAGGTTGGAATACTTCTAGTTAATTATGTGTCAATCTGTTCCTTAACTTTGATGAGTCAGCTGGATAAGACATGAGAATTCTTGTTAATTTTTTTTTTTTAAAGAAAAACATGGATATAATTTTCTTTAAGCATAGAGCTCACCACAAATAAGAAAGATTTTACGCAAAACTTACCAAAGTCTTTATGTATGTTTGAACAGAAAGATTGTGCCGACAAAGATTTGCCAATAATCCTAGACAAGGCATTGTTAACTCATCTTCAGAAGACTGACTGTTGTTTTAAGGAAGATAATAAAAGAAAAAAGTATTAAATTCATTTTAAATTATTCTATTTTATAGTAACTTCCATTTAAACTCCTTTTTATATGTAAAAATGATTAACATGTGAAGACAGTCAAGCTTTGGATAACATTGACCATTCATTTCATATTTTGAAACTAAATGATCTTTTTCAATTATAGCACAGAAATATGGAAATAATTGTCAGAATGACCATGTGCTATCTCATCAGTATATTCTCCTACCAAGATTAAACATAAGCATAAAATTTTCAGTTTCAATAGTTTTTCTGTTCAAATCAATTCATTTCATAAATTTTTGTTATGAAAATTAAAGCCGCTTTATACCATTTGATCCCTGAAATCATCTAAAAGGAGTAAACAAGAATTGGAGTCTCACTCAATTTAAAAAGTTGGAAAATATTATCCAAGAAAAACTGAACTATTACAGTTTTATTTTAAAAATAAATCAACAGAGGGGCGCCTGGGTGGCTCAGTCGGTTAAGCAACTGCCTTCGGCTCAGGTCATGATCCTGGAGTCCCTGGAATGAGTCCCATGTCAGGCTCCCTGCTCGGTGGGGAGTCTGCTTCTCCCTCTGACCCTCCTCCCTCTCATGCTCTCTGTCTTTCATTCTCTCTCTCGCAAATAAATAAAATCTTTAAAAAAATAAAAATAAAAAAAATAAATCAACAGATTATTTGGTTACATGTTTGGTTGCATACTCACATATGATCTATCAGGAAGGTAATTAACTCATCTATATTGGCACCAGAATGGAAAATTTTGACGTTGTATGTTAATCTCTGCAGAAGCTGAATGCACTAAGAATAAGAAAATACTAATGAATATAAACATATAAAAACCTACTGCATGCTTACAATCACGGACTTCTAAGCATATTCTGAGCATGTCACCATTTTAGGAAGCAGAGTTTAGAGCAAGAACTTTTCTATTTCTTAAAATGGTTCTGTTCTTTAAACATAAAGTAATGAGACTACTAAGAATTTTAGGGTTCATCTCCTGATTCCACACATTTCTATACAATCTATCTCAAACAGAGCATCAACCTGGTTCACTTAAACATCTTAAACATATATGCAAGCTAAAACATATACATATTCCATGAATTCTAAGATATATTTTATCATATTTTGCCATCTTTAAAACCGCATGTCAGTTTAATTGGTGATGTTTTCCTTTCTTGCAACTGATGGCATTTTAGGTTCAACAAAATATCTGTATGAGAACTTCGAGTCATGCTAAACAGACTAAATCTATAGCTTTCATTTTTTGTGGAATGTTTCCTCAACAGATTGGGACTAGATGGCAACTCAATTTGCAATTTTAATACAAATAGCTTACATCTCAAAATGTTGACATCTGTGTTTATAAGTCTGTCAAAGCAGTTGTAACGTAGATATGCTTTTCTTCAAAAATAATGCTAGATGTGGATAAACTTCCCTTCTCTAGAAACTTTTAAACAGTAGTACATGTGTGATTGACCAGCTCATAAATTTATTAATGGTGAGAACTGTCGTATCCATGCAGGATTATGTCAGCATATATAGTATAAATTAGCAATTTACAATATATACTGTCAATTTTGATCTGCAAATAAAGAAGGAAAAACAAGTATTAAGTGAAGAGTACCGTGGAGGTGTGTATACCTGCAAAAACACCGAATCACTATGGCAAGTGCTGCTCCGGCAAACCACTCCTGCTAGCACGCTATTCAGGTTGTATGTATTCTGAAGGCAGTCTCTGGTTTCATTGTCTACAGCTGCAAGTTAGGATAAAATGGCACCAAATATCACTTTTATATGTGGTTTTCATGGATAAAAGATAAATAATTTTAAGTTTATTTCATATTAAATTTACTGTGTATAAAAATATCAAGTATGATATGGCTATTGTATTTATAATTACCTTCCAATTCAGAAGTCTAATCACAGAAATAGTATGAGATGGAAAAGGAAAGGGAGTATGAGCTTTTCCTTTTTTGTCAATAAACAAATGATTTTTCTGTGTGGACTAAATTAAAGGAAAAACTTGCTTTACATATTTAGAAAAGTTTTGTAGTTAAAAGATAATCATCTCAATTTTTTTGTAATTTAAAACTGCTCTAAAGAATAAGTCTATTAACTAAAAAATAAAACTTCAAAAATAAAATAAAAAGACGTTCATTTTAAAAATTTCTAATATATTTAAATGTTGAAAAAGACTGACATTCTCATACAAAAGGTTGGCAGATGTTAGAATTAGCATAGCCTTTTTGGAAAGTAATTTAGTAATGACTATCGAATTGAAAAATGACCTGAAAATCTGAGAATTAATTCAACAGAAATACACTAATATTTGAGCAAAAATACATAAAAATGTATTGATTCTGATAACAAAAACTTGAAAAAGAGCATACATGAGTACCCACCATTAGGAGAGTAGCTGAATAAATTATAGTACTCTACAATATGGGACAAGGCAGATATTAAAAAGACACCGATATGGAAAGATAGCTAACATATGTTAAGTGGAAAAAAAAAAATCTGATGTTCTGCAACACCATTTTTTAAAAAACAACCAAAATTATTTGTTAATTGGGCACCTGGGTGACTCAGTTGCTTAAGTGTCTGTCTTGGGCTTATGTCATAGTCTGGGGGTCCTGGGATCAAGCCTGGGAGTTGCATTCCCTGCTCCGAGGGGAGCCTGCTTCTCCCTCTCCCTCTGCACTCCCCTTCCACCATGCGCTCTTTCTCTCAAATAAATAAAATCTTAAAAAAAGTATTTGTTAATTTATTTGATCTAAAATAATTATAGCATAGAAGAAGATCTAGAAAGACACCTATCAAACCATTAAGAAATATTATCTACCAAAGTAAATGATAAGAAGAGTTGGTGATGAGTAAAGACATTCTATTTTACTCTGTATCTGTGCTTAGACACTAAGCCGTAATGACTATTTAAATTTAGATCAATTAAAATTAAAGATTTAGTTCTTCAGTCTACTATTCACACTACAAATGCTCAATAGTCCTATGTGGCTAATGACTGTTATAATGGAAAATACATATAGAACATTTCCATCATCACAGAAAGTTCCACTGGACATGATAGTCTATGTTAATATTCCTGGATCACTGGAATTTTTTTTATAATAAGCATGCATTAATTTTATCATCACACACAGAATTATCTCCCCTCCACTCTCAAGCACACATCAAGAAAAAAAGTACCCATGAAATGAAAATTTAAAAACTAAAGATAGAAAAAAGAGTTCAGTGTAGTCTATCAAAAAAGGATGATTTTTTTATCACTAGCTATGACTTTTCTGAGTGATGTATTTCATACAGGCATTATGTGTATGTATTTTTCTAAATTCAAAACTAAGCCAGCATTTCCCAAGATGCTTTCTTTTCTGTAGACCCCTGAGCCTTTGCTATGCTTCAGATTCTTTGTTCCATAATTTTAAGAAAGGATGCGTATAATATTCTTTTTATAAGGGATCCATAATGCAAAAAATTCTGAAAGGTCCTGCAATGACGAAATCTTTTGAATGTGAATCATTCTCCAAAAGATACTATAACTCAATCTGCCCCTACAAAAATATTAAATGCTACATCTTCTAAAAAATGAAAAAGAGAAAGGAAATACATTACCTAGTTGAGACAGCAAGCTGATGATACTTAAGACCAGTGGTGCAGTTATGCTTGGGTCTTCAAGTAGCTCCACAAGGCAACTCAAGCATTCACTTGGTAATATCTGATTTGGTGTAAACAATCGTGTGAGTTTCTGCCCAGAAATTACCTACAAAATAGTAATTAAATTGTGTTAGTTAAGAATTGGCAATTTCCATCCCTTCTCCATTTCAAATAAGAACTCAGTTCTTCCAAAGTGCCACTGCCATGCTTTTTTCCAATTAGGAAAGTCAAATGCTATTCCTTCTGCTGGGAAGATTACCTATCCCTTCTCTCACTAGCTAATATAATCATTCAGATCCAAGTTTTAATTTGTCTCCTCCTAAAACTTTCACTAACCCTCTTTCACCAACTAGGTTAGTTTGCCTATTAAACTATCCTATAGCACATTATACTTTTATGAGCTGGCAAACTTTGACCACCTAGCAATATTTATCCTCTTTACTACACTGAACACCCTATGAAGGTATAGGGTATAAATCAACACTCTACTGCAATATATTTATTGAGTAAATAAGTTCCAGTACATGCACTCCACCTATTTTGGGGGAGGCAATACAAAGTGAAAAGTAGTTAAATCCAAAGGCTTAGCTATGGGATTAAGTATGTGGTTACTCCTTTTGCTCCCTCCAGACAGTAGCTGAGCCCAGAAGTTAGAGATCACAAAAATGGAAGTTAAAAAAAAAAAAAAAAAAAGCTTTTAAGTAGCCAGGTCATGAATAGACAAATTTTATTTTTGGTTATTCCACTTTTACTCCTTTCTTAAAACTCTATAAACCACGCTTCCCTTTTCCATGTGAAAAGGTAAAGCTGAGATTGAAGGCCAAAAACAGTAGTTAGCCAGGTATTTTCTTTTTTTTTTAAAGATTTTTTATTATTTACTTTAGAGAGAAAGAAAGAGCGAGGAGGGGGAGGGGCAGAGGAAGAGGGAAACAAGCAGACTTCCCGCTGAGTGGGGAGCCCAATGGGGCGCTTGATCCCAGGACCCTGAGATCATGACCTGAGCAGAAATCAAGAGTCGGATGCTTAACTGACAGAGCCATCCAGGCATCTCGACAGCCAGGTATTTTCAAAAGGCTTTTTGAATGTTATTAAAAGCCTAACTTTTCTATAAAGAAAAGTATCTTTTCTATAAGAATGGAAAAACAATTAGTTACTTTAAAATTGGGTAAAATCTGTTGCAAACACTTCTATTTTAAAAAGATAAGGTCTGAACAGGCTGTTTTAGCCTCCCTATAATCTTTTCTTTCTGTATCTCTCTTTTATTTCCTCGCCCAGATGTCAGTTTTTCTTTTAAAGCTTTGCTGATATCTGGGGTGCCTGGGTGGCACAGTCAGTTAAGCGTCTGACTCTTGGTTTCAGCTCAGGTCATGATCTCAGGGTCGTGGGATTCATCCCCGTTTTGGGCTCTGTGCTCAGCGTGGAGTCTGCTTGAACCGCTCCCGCTTGTGTTCACTCTCCCTCTCTTTCTCTAAAATAAATAAATCTTAAAAAAAAAAAAAAAAAAAAAAGAGCTTCAGGATATCTGTTCCCAAGGAGCATGTTTTAACATTAAAGTCTAAAAAGACAGAAAAAACAGGTCCAATGGTGAAATTATACACTGATAGTAGTAGTATTTGGGGGTAAGGAATGTTCCGATTGGCCTTTTGCCTACTCATGAAGCTACACCTTCGAGATTAAGACATTTTCTGCTTTAAATACAATTTCCCTCAGGATGAGACCTGTATTTCAACAACGTAAATACTCTACCATGTAATAGTTATTTATTACAAGGTAAAATGTAAAAATCGCTTTACAAACTTTCTTCTTTACTTGGATGTTTTCATGCAAATAGAATTTATTTCAGTAATAACTAATATTTTAGTACTTACTTTGGCCTAAGCATTGTTCTATATATGTTAATTCTTTTCATCTTCATAATAACTGTAAGCTAGGTGCTGTTTTGCAGATGAGTAAACTGAGGCACACACCAAGACAGCAGCATAATTGAAATTCATTGTTCCTGAATCCATGCTCATAACCATTATGTAACATTAGTGCTACAAAAAACCATTAAGAATGAGACCAGCTCAGCTCTGCCAATCATAAACAAATTCAAAGCTCAGGTCCTGCATGGGGCTATAAAGAAAAAATACTGCAGAAGTGCAGCAGAATAGCAAAATGAATCATCTCATTTCACATGGTAACCATTTCTTTGTATCCTCAGATGTAACACCTATTTTGCACAAAGATATTCACCATTAACATCACCCACCAAAATGGTTAAAATTTAAAAATCTGGAAACACCAAGGATCTTTGAGGATGAGTGACAGCAAATTTCATGTGTTGCTGATAGGAGGGTAAAAATGGTGTAACCTGTGGAAAACTGCTCGGCAGTTCAGCTGAAACTGAACATCAACCTACCATAAGACCTAACAATCCCACTTCTAAGTATATAAATGAGAGCATATATCCAAAAAAGGTTTGGAAATGTTTATAACAGATTTATTCAAAATTCTACCCAGACCTAGAAACCCAATTGCCCATCAACAGAATGTACATAAGCTGTGGTACATTTATACAGTGGAATTCTACACAGCAATAAAAAAGAATGAAGTACTAGCACATGTGCAACATGAATGAATTTCACAGATTTATAGAATGGAAGAAGCCAGACACAAAAGTACGTATCTTATGAATCCACTTATCTGAACGTTATGAGAAGGGACAATTGAAAAAAACCTTATAGGGGACTCGAAATGTTCTGTATCTGGAACAGGAGGTAGCTAATTGATTGCACACGTATGTTAAGAACTCAAACTCTTCACTTAAGATTAATGCACATTATGTACTGCGTGTACTTTATCTCTCTAAATGGCAGAAGTTTTCAGTAAACCCCTTAAAAGTTCGGGAATGTAGTATCAAGGGGTCAGTCTCTAAGCCTTAAATTTCTTCGAGTCTCCTTCAATTCACTATAACAGGGCTCTCAGATTCAAGGCATATCTGTTTTTTCTCAAAGAGAAGTAATGTTTCAGATTAGTATTCAAAATGCTGTATTCCTACTTCTTAAATAAAACTGCTCATTCTGCGGCTTCTGGAGCCCACTAGCACATTGTTCTAACTGAGAAGCAAAGCCTTAGCATTTAACAGCTAACACCTCAATTATTAGGTTTGTAGGGATTTGTTGAAATAATGAATGAAAAAAGAAAATGTACTCAGGAAGGGTGGACACTGAAGTCATAAGGAGAAGCCTCAGTGAAGCTGGAGAAAACAAAGGCATATTTAATGCACTCCAGTATCACCAAAGATTGATGTTGCCCTACCATTCACAATCGTCTTCTCTCCGTAGTATGTATTTTTCTAATCTTTGGTAATTTAGCTTTTATATCATAGAGTTAATATAACAAAATATATAAGAAAAGCCGTAAGCAACTGGTTCAGATTGTAAACTGCCTAAGGGACAAGGAATAAAACAATCGTCACTCCCCATCACCTCCACCCCCGAGAATTTGTGTGTATTCTATTCTGTAAGAGTTCTGTTGCGATGGAAAAACCAAAGAAACGAAGGAAAACATAGAGCTCCGAACTTTCTCCTCTACTAATCCCCAACACAGTTTAAATTCCCCAACCTATGTCACACCTTCCCGTCTTCTTAGGACTTTGAGTAGTCACTCTTCCCTCTAGCTGCAGTCAGCTGAACGCGGAGGGACTTGGGGCAGAGTAAGAAGATGGGTGGGAATTCAAGGCTGACACTCGCCTTCCTTACTAATACAAAAAGACACCTGAGGGAGCGAGGAGCAGTCCTTCCTTTCCTAGGCTGGGGCAGCTACACCCTGGCCGCACCGTGAACTAAGGATTTCTACAGGGAAGCCCGTCTAGTCCCTCACCCTGGAGTCCCTCACCTCCAAGTGCCGCAAAAGCTGGGTGGCATTCGCCTCCGACTTAACGGCTTTATATTGACTGATGGTCAGGAGCAAGGACTTCAAGCAGGCGGTAGAGTCCATTGGCACCCGCCACAACCCCTCCTGGGGGCCACCACCTGCCAGCTCCGGCCTCCAGCTTTCGCCGCGCTTTTTTTGATTTTTCAGCTCCACCCCCTCACTCCCGATGCTTCCGGTTCCGGTAGGGCTCCGGAAGTCTCTAGGCACTCTGGGGAACTGCTCTCAATGAAGAAACGGGAGGAGTGGGGAGGGGGGTCGAGGAGGTCTGTGGGTTCACGAAGGGGGTTGAGAGCTGTGCTTCCAGAACCCCCTTCCCACTACCCACCGTGTCCTCGCTTAGCTGAAAAGCCGCGAGGTTTCAGCTTCGAGATCGCGTGGAGACGATAAATCTCGCGAGAAATGTGATTGCGCCTCAACTTGCGAAGGGGCGGTTAGGCGGAAGAGGGTCCTTGCTCGTCAGAGCTCTGAGTTTATGTTTGCTTCTTCGGCCTTCACCGTGGATGGCCGGGTTTTGTTTTGTGCGTGAACCGCTACTTGAGAAATGGTCGCTTTCCCCTAGTCTAGACACGGTGAGGAGCTCTGAGGAGAATCTTGGGCTCTAGATTTTGAGGCGGCCTGGGAGGGGCCTCTTTAAAATCTCTCCTATGTCCACCCTTTCTACCCTGGAGTGTTTGTTTTTCAGAGTAAGCCAAGACCATTGGGATTCTGTGGCAAGGTAGTCATGCCCTTAAGGTAGTCGTCAAACTTATTCCAGAAAGCTAGCTCCTGGTGACTTCTGGGCCAGGTATTGCTGCGGAGGGTGTTCTCATTAGCGTCAGTTTTTGTAAGTGAAGGTGTCTGTTTTTATCTGGCGTGATCGAATGTTTTCTAAATCTCGGTGTCTCTGAACATGGCACTGTCGTTTGCGGTTTTTGATAAGAGATAATTATTGTGCATGTGTATATAATGAACTGAGTAGCTGGTTCTGGAGCTTTTTTTGCTTAACGTATGTTAATGATTGAATTAAGCTTTAAAAACCAGTTTGGGGAAAATTGTAAGAGTAGGGTACATGTCCTCTTAATTAAACCATTCGTCATTAATCGTGTTTGGTCAATTCAAAGAAAATATTTTTACATCATTGCATTTTTAAAGGCAGGATTTCTTTTTATATTTTTTAATTAAATCTGAAAGCTTACAATCTAGCCAATTGAGACATACATGTAAAAATAATTGGGTAATGTATCTATGCATTCATTCTGTAAACAATTATTGATTGTAAAACGGGTTAGAAGTCATAAGAGAATAGATGATGAAGTATCCCCTGCGGGGAAGCAACGGTCTAATTAGGGAAATGTACTAAATAGGTAGTACATATGGAATTCGTGTAAGTTAGAGGCACCATGCAGTTATTTAAAGAGTGAAGCCAGACGGTGTACTTACAAACTCTAGTTCCATCTTTTACTATGTGACCAGTGTGGCAGATTCTTAGTGCTTCAGTTTCTTCATTAGGTAAAATCCAGCTAACAGTAATACCTGTTTAATGAGATAAGGTCAATAAATAATTCAGTAGATCATTGAGAGCCTACAGTGTACTAGGTACTTGTCATAGGCACTAGAGATTTAGTGAATAAAAAATCCTGTTACGGAAATTACATTCTGGTAGGGGGAAAAAACAGTAAGAAGTGACAGGAGAAAGAAAGGAGAGTGAGATGGAGAAAAAAATTAGCTGAATTACTTTTTGAGAGTAATGGTGATTGGGAAGAAAAGAATTGGGAGGTCAGGAAAGAGAAAGCAGTATTTGAGGAAGTGCTTCAAGCTGTTGAAGGAGAGAGCTATGCTCTCCAGGAGAAAAGGTCCTAAAGTGGGACCATGAAGTTTGTCAGGAGCAGCAAGGATGCCACTATGACTGGAGCAGAGAGCAAGAGTGAGAGTAGCAGTAAAAATGAGGTCACGTCAGGTGGTGTAAACCATTATAAAATGAGTTAATCAACTTAAAAAATTTAGAGCAGTTGCCTGGCATAATTAGTTCTCCGCAGGTGTTAGTTACATCTTGGTTCATTGGCAAATGCAGTGATAACAGTTAGGTTAGTGTTAGATTTTTCACTAATAATAACAAATGCGTTATCTTCATACTCATTCTGAGCTAAGGGAAAAGGTCCAAGCTGCTAGTTGTAAATGCCATCTTTCTTTAAAATCTTGCGTTTTAACTTAAGCAGTTATATAAAATTTGCATTCTCTTCTGTAAAATATTCACTTTAATATAAAATAATGTCTTTCTCAAAAACCTTAAAAAATTGATGTTGGAGGTTTAGTATGTACCATGGTGGTAGCTGTGAGAAGCCCTCATGTATTTAAGCAGAAATACTCGCATATCCTAATAATGAGGCACACAGAGCCTTATTTTAGGCACCAGAAAGGGGGGGAAGGAGGAGGACGAGATGAAGCTTGGTCCAGATGACTAAAGACCTTATTATTCTTGATCCTGAATTCAGTGGTGATTTCTAGTTTTATAATGGGGCCTGATCTATTTAGGTTTGTGTTGATTACTTTGGCAGCTGGGTGGGCTAGGATTTTGAGATGGATAAGGTTAGAAGTAAGGAGAATGTTTAATTTGCTGCTTTCTTTCCAGAGGATTACCAGGGTAATTGAAATGGAGGTAACGAAGAGGTGACAAATTTGAGAAATATATATGAAGTGAAATAGGCAGGACATAGTGACTCTTTATTTCGGGTATGAAGAGGGATTTCAAGTTTCTAGTTTGGGTGATTGAGAAGATACAGATATTGCTGAGGTAGTTAATAGTACTCATGTTGTGGTATGTTCAGTGAAATTTCATATAATTTATCATATAGTCTTGTATTAAGTTTCTTCCAGGGCGTTATATAATTTTTGTTAATGTGAGTGGGTTCTCTTTTTCTCCTTTAAAATTTTAATTTGTTATTGCCACTGTAATAAAAGCTGGTTTTTGATACATCTTTTATCCAGACCCTGACTAAAATCTCTTATTAATTTTAATAGTTTTGTTTACTCTCTTAGACTTTCTAGCTGCATATCATCTGCAAATAATTTCATCTCTTCCAGTATTTGTTGTCTTTATTTCATTAATGCATGCCAAAAAAATGGAATAATTATGGTGATACTGAACATCTTTGTCTTATTACTTAATTGAATGGGAATGACCAGTATTTTAACACTTCGTATAATTTGTGCTATTGGCTTGTAATAAACAGTCTTTCAAATGTTTAGGAGATTGCCCTTTATACCTGTTTTATTTAAAGATTTTCCAAAATGTCTACTTAAAAAATGATCAAATATTTGTTTATAGATCTCATTTTCCACTTTAACATGATAATGCAATGTATTGTTTTGCTTTTTTGTTCTTGGGATAATAGTAGCTAACACTGAGCATTTGTTATATGTCAAGCACTATTCTAAGAATTTTATTCTTACTAACTAATCTTCATAACAAGTTCATGCATTAGGTACTATTACGATCTCCATTTTACAGGTGAAAAAACTAAGGAGAGGTGAAATAATTTGCCCAAGGTCATACAGGTAATAGTAATAAACCTTGTATTTGCTGTGCTACAAATATTTTATTTAGGATTTTATATTTGAAATTTTTTCATTAATTTTTTTTAGTTCTCTCTTTTGGAATTTGGGTTATATGTTACTTTTGAAAAATGAGTCAGAAGTTTTTCTACTTTCTATACTATAGAATGAGAATCACATTGGAATCTGATCCATGTAGATTGAATACAACTGGCCTATAAAATCAAGCTTGATACCTTATTTAATGGTAAATCTTTAGAAAATATTTGAATTTGTAAAATGGTTATAGATCTGATTACTTTTTTCTACCTTTTCTTAAGTTTGGAAATAGAAATTTTTTTTAACGCAACTATTTCTTTAGATTTACAGATTTTTTGATATAAAGTTCCATCAGTATTCTAGTAATTCTCTTAATCTCTTCATTGTAGTTTTAAATTAACTTTTTCATTCTAATGTTACCTGTATTTTTTTCTTATTGGGGCTTTCTAGGGGTTTGTCTGTTGTATTCAGCTTTTCAAGAACTAACTCTGATTTTATTCTTGTTTTTCTTTTTTCAGAATCACTAATTTTGCTTTCATGTTTATTCCATTCATAGGGGTTTGTCTATTTTATTCAACTTTTTAAGAACCAACTTTGTTTTATTTTTGTTTTTCTTTTTTTTAGAATCATTAATTTTACTTTTATGTTTATTCCATCCATATACAAATTTTTCCTTTATGCTTATAGTTTTTAAAAGTTACAGGTTAGCATATTTACATACTATATATATTTTCATAAAGAACATTTATTTATGCCCACATATTTTAAGAAGACAGTAGCTAAGATGAGCATCTGTATTTCACTTAAAAAAAAATTAGTTTAACCAACTAGATAGTTTTTTTAAAATACTAATATTCCTTCATATTCAAAGAGCTAGGTTCTGTTAGACAAACCAGAATAAGTGCTGTTGAGAAAAATAGATGAGCTTTTTAGGAACACATGATATTTTTTAGGGCAAAATATCAATATCTTCAAGTTTGGCCTAAAATCCCTTTTCTCCATAAATTTTTATTGCTGTCCTTTATATTTGCATAGATATTTTTCTTAATTTGTAGTTCCAGAAACACATTAAAGGGAGTTTAAAAAAACTTGCTTAGGATCTTACAGCTCAGTATTAGGGCTGCCTATCTCCTTTATTTCTTCCGGAAAAACTTAATATATCTTCAGTACTGAAGAGTAAAATGGAAATTTGTAATGTCTCATGACCAGAGCTGAAGTCCTGTTAGATAAATCAGCCTGAATGAAGATACAAATTTTTGACAGAAGTGCAGAGTTTCTAGAATACTAAATGTTATAGTATGAGAATTATACCAGAAGTGTGAACACAGGGCTAATTGTTCATTCACCCACCATACATTTAATGAGTGCTTGAGTGGTTAAGTACATTTCTGAGTTCTGGGGTTATGGCAGTGAATCAAATAGACAAAAAATTTCTACCCAACTAGACCTTTTATTTTAATGCGACATATAGACAACAAATAAGACCTGTAAGTAAAATGTATGAATGTAGCAGTAAGTGCTGTGGAGGAAAAGAAAAGGAAGAAGGATAGGAGGTATCAGAGTCAGGATGGAGTGTTGGAGTTTTGGATAGTAGGGCATACTGTTCAGTATTTGCTGTGTAGCAAATCACCTCAGACTCAGTGGTTAAAACCATAAGCACTTATTTCTGGGTTGACTGCCGTTAATCTGATCCAGACCTGATTTGGCTGAGTGGCTCTGCTTCAGCCATTTTATGGGTAGAGGGCAATATCTAGAGCTCAGTTTCAGTTATGTTGCAGTGTCTACTAGACATCCAGGAGATGCTGAGTGGGCTGTCAAATAATAATATTTGTAGTTAACGGAGAGGTTAAGACTGAAGATAAAAATTTAAAGCCTTGAGCCTAAATGATAAAGGGTGAGTATGGATAGAAAAGACTGAAACGTAGGGTACTTAAATATTTAGAGGAACAAACAAAGAACACGGAGAAGTAGTTGCCAGAGGACAGAGGCCCTGTCTTTATTCCATGGTTATCTGCAGGGATCAGTATTATGGTAGTATGTGGGCTGCTTTTGACCTCTAAAGGAGAACTCTAGGTTGGCAGACTCCTTCAGAGGACTTGAAGTGTGCAGAAGGATTCTCATTCTCTAAATCAGTAGTGAGTGCTTGAAGTGTGCCAGGTGTTGTTGTAGGCACTGGGGATATAATAGAAGGATTAAAAAAAAAAATCCCTGACTTTGGGGGGCTTCTATTCAGTGGGGACATGAGGTCAAATGTAGAGTAGGAGACTGTAGGAATAAACAGGTAGAACAGAAGTTCCATTGGCCCAGATTCTCAAGATTCAAGGCAAAGAAATCTAGTGGTAGAAAATTGGCAGAGGTCTAGGCATGGGGTCATTTAAATACCTTGTCTTTACTGTGGTTAAGATGATTCAAATATTAATATTAAATCAGTTTTTCCCTTTACACAGAGCCAGAAAACAAAGTCTATAGAATTTCCACTCTCATTTTTCAGAAATGTTACCTTCAGCACAAAGGCAAAGAACCTATTAAGTAAGCTAAAATTATTCTCTTTTCAATTATTCTTCCTGTTTCTTTTCCCAATCAAGTATTAAAATTCATCTAAATCTGTAAATGATTTGCCAAACCATAAAATTAACTTTTTCACTTTTCAAACAATCCCTGATTTTTTTTATACATTTTACAGAATTCAACTTTAGTCTTAAGTACATGGTTTGGATAATTTGGATGAGTGTTTTTTTTACCCCATTTTCACATCTAATTTCATATCCTAGTATCAGAAGTTTGCCTTTGAAAAAAAAAGTATTATCCATTGTTTCTGAATCCAATTTTGTAAATAAAGATAAATGACATAGTTTTATTTTAAATTAAGGTACAGTAATCATTTTTAATTATAACTAGTATTTATTGAAGACCTACTTTGAACAGAGCAAAGTCCTTTGCATATGTCATTTTTAAATTTCTGGTCTTTCAGAAAACAGATATTATTAAGTTCATGGAAGGGGTAGATATCTGTTTCTTGAATTAAAATATGAAGCCATTTTTTAAGAAAGTGGTGTCCAAAGTGGAATATGCATACCTTGGGGTATGTGAAACTGTCAGAGTGTGGGAACAAATATTGAAATTTTTTACTTTTTAAAATCTAATTCTTTTTTTATTATAGTAATACGTGCATATAATCCATAAATGAACTGCTATTCATGTATTTTCAGTGTATTCTCAGATTTATTGCTTTAGATACATGTGATCAAAAAAATTTGAAGACTTTTCCAAAATCATTAAGCTTAACAGAGCATTTAGACATGTATTAATTATTGTTCATTTCAGTGCCACGTGTAGTACCTGGCATTTTTCTGAATTGTTTTGTTGAACAAATGGATTCTCTTAGCAAAAACTGACGATATAGTGTATTATGAAATATTAAGATGTCTTGATTAATTATCTTTGCAGTATCATTTACTAACCAGTAAGATCATGTAAATAGTTTTGTTTCTGAGTGTTTGTCTTTATGCACATTATTTAGTTCAGCTCATAATTGAACACCACACTTATATAAAGTTAAATATTGCACTTAATGGGACATAGTGGAAAGAACATGGAATTTGCAGTTGGTGAAACTTGGGCCTTAGTTTCTGCTTTTATTAATTAACTCTCTAACCCTCAGTTTCTTTTTAAAATGGATTACGGTAATGTGAGTTGTATGAAGATCAGATGTGTAGTCACTATACACATAGGAGCTGATGAAAATTAATCTTATTTTTGATGAAATCAAAGTTAATACACCCAATTAATTTTATGACCGAAAACTCTTCATAACCAAAAGCTTGACCTACCTTCTCAACTAAATCTTTCTTACAACATACTTTTTTATGAGATAATGAGGGGCCATCAGTGTTCTTACATTGGTGGATCAGTTTGGATTTGAGTATTGTAGGCTTTGTCATTGGTGGTGTGAGTCAAGTGCGTATTGTGTCCTCCTCTCCCTGCTTGATTATCATGTCTACCTGTGTCATGTCTCAATATTCTGTCTTGTTTCTTTTTTTTCATTATTGGCTAACGACAGTAATAGCAACATTACTGAAAATATTTCACTTTGGAAAATTTGCTTAGTGGTAAATGTGCTCCTTCCAAGGATTTCTAGCTACATTTCTGAAGAGCATGATTTTGGCATGACTTTGGCATTGCTACCTGTAAATAAACTGAAACTGATGGGTATTTTAATATCTGGATTTTTTTTTTCCAGGTAAATCCTAACCTATGTGTATTCATTGTAGGTACATTCCAGATATTAAAAACAAATTAATATATATTCTATAGGTTTGTTGTGTAAGTCCAGAAGTAACTGACTGGATAGATCTGAAGACAATTAAAAACCTACTTCTGACAAGAAGCTAATTTTGACAAGGGTGTTTCCGATTTTGGCAGATTTATAAGGAGGGATATTGGGTATACATTGCAGGGTTCTTGCTTTCTGATATAAGCTGCCAGACAGTGTTAGTGATTTTTGCAAAATGGCAAGAGCTGAGATAGACAGTGAATGCTCTGATCTTTTGGGGCAGGAAAGATCTTCAGTTTCTGATAACTTTTACAAAGATTTTCCAACCATCATCCATCAGTCTTTGGGGTAAAATAATGTTTTGGCTACCCTTGTCTAGGTATGTTCATTTTGGGGCCTTGCCAAGAAGTTGAACAAATACAAAAGTGGAAGAAATTAGTGGAAAATTAGAAAACCAAATAATCAGTATACTTTGTTCACTCTTAACACAGCTAGTAACATAATAATGGTATAACCTATCTTAAGTCTAACCTCATGGTCCTAGCCATTCTTGTCTACCTGGAGCTCACACTTGGGAAATAAAGACTTTTGGAGTGTTAGAGCCACAGAGCACCTACTTTACTACTTTAAAAGTCACCAGGAATGGCTGTTGCTGCTTACCTAGCAGACATATAATCAGATCAATAATAGATAAAATTTTGATTTTTAAGGAACTCCCAACCCAAATGTCTTAGCTTCTTCCTACAAACTGCCCTTTTCATATTTTTTTAAGCCTTGAAGTAGTTACTACTCATACAGATCAAAACATATCACATCTCAACTTCAAGGAATTTTTGGAATTCTTTTGATAAAATCTAGCAGAATTGTTAAGTATTATCAGAGTCTACTTTGTTAATAGACCCACGAACTTCTATTAAGTATACTTAATTCAGTGCTGATATGGTAAATCTAGCTTTTGAAAATAGCTATCAAAATTTTACCAAGTTGCATGTTCAAGGTTGTTTATTGCAGCATTGTTAGTAATAGCAAAAGAAAAAAAGGGGAAACTAAAGAGGAAGTGTTTATCAATTGTCTGGTAAAATGATATATTTATACAATGGTATATCATACACTTTAAGAAATATGAGAGATATATATGTGCTGATGTGAAAAACGCAAGGTGCCGAACGTGCGTACTAGCTGCCATTTGTGCCATGTGGAATATATTTGAAAAATGGTTTTTTGTCCCAGTTCTTAAGCTAATTATCATTCCTTTCCATAATAGCAATTCTCCATCGAGGTAGAGAATTGGAAGACAAGTGAACTGATTTTGCTACAAATTTAAACAAAATTTGATGATAATAATGGTGGTAATGATAGTAACACTTATATAGTGCTTACTATGTGCTAGGTGCTATTCTATTTCATGTTTTAAACATTTAATCTTGATAACCTGCGAAGCCGGGACCATCTTTATCCCTGTTTTTCCGATGGGGAAACTGAAGCACAGATGTTAAATAGTTTCAAACAAGGTTGCGCAGCTAATGTGTGTCAAAGCAGTTCTGTATACCCTTGCAGACTGATTTCAGTGTTTCTGTGCTCTTAACTACCAATGCTATGCAGTCTCTCAACTTTTGACATTGATGAAATCCAAATAAGATATTTTATGTCATTTCTTTCTTGTAGACAAATGATTTGCTTGTATTTGTACATGCTACATAAATCCAGGATAGTCTTACTGTTCTTCCTCAGAACAATCTGTTAGGAGTTTAATTAACCTTTTCACTTTTAATCAGGTGGTTCTCAACTGGGGCGTTTTGTCCTCCAGGGGACATTTTGCAGTGTTTGGAGACATTTTTGCTTTTTGCTTTGTAGCTGACAGGTGGGATAGGGTTGCTACTGGCATCTATTAGGTAGAAAGCAGAGGTGCTCCTAAACATCCTAAAAATGCATAGTACATCTTCCCATAACAAAAAGTCATCCAGCCTAAAATGTAAATAGTACCAAGATTGAGGAACCCTGATTTAATGGGCATAAGCGAAGTTCTCATAACTGAATTTCTGTCCTGAAAAATACAAAGTATATTATTTTGTTTTCAAGCTAACAGCATTGAGAAAAGTGAGTTTTATTTTTACCGTTTTTGCACACTTGATACTCCCTTTTTCCACCTGGCATTGTGTGATCTGTAAGGGCCAGAACTGACAAAGGTAGCAAATTCCTGGGACATCTACCCACACATTGAAATATGAACTTATTGGCCAATTAGAGCCTCTAACTTGGTCAGGTGACTTAAGATGAGCGCTTGAGTGGATTTAAAAAACTATTGGTATACTGATTGGGGAGGTGACAAGAGTGCTACAAGGTAAACATTTGAATGAATGATTAATTATAAACAAAAGCTGTGTCCGCTCTGATGTGAATAAGCACAACTTTAAAAATGGGAAATTCCTTTGCGATAAAAAAAACGTTTGCTATAATTTCAGTAGATAAGAGGGAAAGTGGGAGCTAGGAGCTCAGAGGGAGCAGTAAGAAAAGCATCTTAACTGTTGTGAAGATACAGATGGCAGTACCTTATTTTTCAACCAGTAAAATAGCCATTTTGCTTGGTGGACAAAGGTGTGCTGTAAATTGACACTGAACTTTAACTTGCCCTCTGATCAACCAGCCAGCACCTGAATAGGTTCCTGTGGTAGAGCAGTCCCTTAGTTCCAGGAAGGCAGAGTAAGTTTTTAGTTTCCTGCTGACAGGGAAAGTCGACTGAAATGAATACACTAGGGGAAACCAGATGCATCCTTTCTCCCATGTTAACCCTGATTTTAAAGATTTCCTTCAGCCTCTTCTAGAATGGTAGGAACCTCTGGATTATTTTCAGTGTTAACGTTTCAGGCTGGTACTTCCTTTCCGTTGCTAGGCACTGACGCCGTCCTTCCCCACAGAGGCTGTAAAGCGCTGCGTCCGCCGCCGCTGTTTGCAGTTGGGTGTGCCACACGTGGTCGGCTTTGCTCCTGGGGGATGATGGGGTTGATGATACTCCCCTGGCAAGCCTTTCACCGCAGAGATTCAGCTCAGGTTGTATTTCTAAGCAGACTGAGAAAAGCCATTAGCTTTTCTTAACTTTTAATTCAGGATCCAAATATCTTTTTTTTTTTTTTTTTAGATTTTATTCATTTATTTGACAGAACACAAGCAGGGGGAGCAGCAGGCAGAGGGAGAAGGAGAAGCGGGCTCCCCGCAGAGCAGGGAGCCCAACGCAGGGCTCCATCCCAGGATTCTGGGACCACGACCCGAGCCCAGGGCAGACGCTTAACCGACTGAGCCACCCAGGTGCCGCAGGATCCTTCTGATTGATTAATTAATATTACGCCCTTTTCTTTTTCAAGCTGACCCCTGAATAGCTTAGCAGAGGCCTTCCATCTTCTCTACTTTGTTGCCAGAGAATTTTCCTCCCTTTTCAGCCTCGCTGTGATCTGTGCAAATAACTGGCTGAAGGAGAGCTTGGGGGGGGGGGGGGTTGTTAATTTGTGTCTGGGTTTTAAATTCTGGAAATGAGGGGATTGCTTTTCTAGAAAAGGCATGTGTTTGTATGTTCTGTCTGTGAGATAATGCCTAACTTTTTATTAAAAGAAGCTGAGAGGTTATAGAAAACATAAAAGTTTGATCACAATCCTAGAATTCTCAAAGCCATGTCCTTTTCCATACAGCTTTATTGAAGAGATGAAGTAGATCTGATTTAGTGGGAAAGAATAATGTCGCTCTGCTTCATTATTAGGATTAATAATTAGGTTGTATCTTTCAATGGTATTGAACAGAGAAGGCAAATTTAAATAAGTATATGATTCTGCTTATTGAGTTTTTAAAAATAAGAGTAAAACTGTAAAATAATTTACCTCGGAGAACCGGAGTCTGCGAGTTATACTGACAGCAAGAAATATTTTGTTAGGGATGGGCAAGAAACTAAGAGGTGTTAAAAAGCTCTCTTTTAAATGAGGAAATATATTTTTAAAATTTTTTTTAATTGTAGTTGATGTACAATGTTACATTAGTTTCAGGTGTACAACATAGTGATTCATCATCTCTATAGGTTATGCTATGCTCATCACAAGTGTAGCTACCATCTGTCACCATACATTATTATAGTATGGTTGACTATATTCCTATATTGTGCCTTTTAGTCCTGTGACTTACTCATTCTGTAACTGGAAGCATGTATCTTCTACTCCTCTTCATCCATTTTGCCCATGCCCCAACCCCTTTCGCTCTGGCAACCATCAGTTCTCTGTATTTATAGGTCAGATTCTGCTTTATGTTTGTTTCTTCATTTGTTTTGTTTTTAGGTATTTGTCTTTCTCAGTCTGACTTACTTCCTTTAGCATAATACCCTCTAGATCCACATATGTGGTTACAAATGGCAGGATCTCATCTTTTTTTTATTACTGAGTAATATTTCATTGTATTATGTGTACGTATATATACTACATCTTTTTAAGATTTTATTTATTTGAGAGAGAGAGAGCACGAGCAGGGGGAGGGGCAGAGGGGTAAGCAGACTCCCCACTGAGCAGGGAGCCTAAGGTGGGACTCGATCCGGGACTCTGGGATCATGACCTGAGCAGAAGGCAGATGCTTAACTGACTGAGCCACCCGGGTGCCCTATATACCACATGTTCTTTATATATTCATCTGTTGACAGACACTTGGGTTGTTTCCATATCTTGGTTATTGTAAATAATGCTGTAATAAATAGGGATGCTTATATCTTTTCAAATTACTGTTTTTATATTCTTTGGGTGCTTAATAGAATTATTGGATCATATGGTGTTTCTGTTTTTAATTTTTTGAGGAACCTCTATACTTTTTTCCACAGTGGCTGTTCCCACCAACAGTGTATGAGGGTTCCTTTTTCTCCACATCCTCGCCAACACTTGTTAGTAAATGAAGAAATTTAGATAGGAGTCTGTGTGTGTTTGTGTGTGTGTGTGTGTGTGTAAATGTTTATGTTTTAAGAAGTATCCATTGAATTGTTGGAGAATTACCCTTGTCTCTCAAGACTTATCTGTGTAATTTAGAGCTGGTGTGAGTCAAATATAGAATATAGGTACAGGCAGTATCATAATTAGGAATACTAGTTTTGGACTTCTTTTAGCCAGGTACTTGCCCCCTTCCCTGTTAAGCTCTCTAATGACAGGATACTCAGACCTCGGGGCTTATGAGGGTTCAGGTCCTGCCGATACTTTTGTGTGTTCAGTTGGCTTTTTCTGGCATTTAGGGAGAGTCAATATCAGGTAAAATAGTGTTTCTTTGAGTAAATGCAATCTGAATTCTTAATAGATGACTTGGAAGTGATCTTGTGGAACATGTTTTCTTGATTTGGGAATTACCTATGCTGAATTGCATTTTAATAATGGGCCTCCAAAAGCTCTACTGATCTAACTTATGGCTGTATATTTCATATGCTATTAGAGAAACTGGCTACCCAATTAGTAGGATAAATAAGTGGTTCAGAGGCAAGAAATGAGAAATTTTATCTAGTCTTGGGCTTGGAAGCAAAGCACCCTACGTCTGTTTTCTTTGTGCTATTGCTATCACTTTCTTTTCTTTTTCCTCACCATTTCTTTCTTTGTCCCAAAGCACTGAACAGTAGTTTTACACGTTTGCTCTAATACTTCCTGGACGTTCATACAAAGGGATTAGAAGGGGAAATCAGCCTAGCAGAGAACAATGGAGTCTGTAGGCTTGAACTCTGAAAAAATACAGAACAAATGTGACTAATTTTACTTTATTTTTTTGAAATCTAAATATTTGTAAACTTCATGTGTAGAAGCAAATGAGAAGAGTTGTATCCTTAGCTCATTGAAATTACACTGTGTTTATACCTTCTTTTAAGTAACATATTCTTTCATTAAGATGTTTGTAAACTTATGTGTAGAAGCATATGGAAATAGTCCTGTGTTCAGCTTATTGAAACTACACTGTTTAACCTTCTTTCAAAAAAAAATCTTTCATTAAGATAACAAGGATATACAAAGTTATGTGTAGAAGCATATGGGAGAAGCCATATGCTTAACTCATTAAAACTACACTGTATATATACCTTCTTTCAAGTAATATCTTTCATTAAGATATGTGTTTCTTTTTTGTTGTTTTTATTTTAATTCCAGTTAGTTAACATACAGTGTTAGATCAGTTTCAGGTGTACAATACAGTGATTCAAAAATTCCGTACATCGCCCGGTGCTCATCACCACAAGTGTACTTCTTAATCTCCATCACTTATTTAACCCATCCTCCAACCCCACCCCCCTTCTGGTAACCATCAATTTGTTCTCTGTAACTGAGAGTCTGTTTTTTGGTTTGTCTCTCTTTTTTTTCCTTCACTCATTTGTTTCTTAAATTCCACATATGAGTGAAATCATATGGTATTTGCTTTTCTCTATTTCTCTTAGCATTATATCTCTAGCTCCATCCATGTCATTGCAAATGGCAATATTTCATTCTCTTTTATGGCTGAATAATATTCCATTATATATATGCCACATCTTCTTTATCTATTCATCTATGGATGGGCACTTGGGCTGCTTCCATAATTTGGCTATTGTATATTGTTGTAGCTATAAACATCAGGGTGTAAATGTGACTAATTTTAGAAGAGTTGTTCTTGGGATAGTTAAGTAGAGAGCTATATAAATAAAGACATATACTAATGGACACTCTATTCTTTTTGTTTTCATTTGTGTTGCTGCAGGTTTTTTTTTTCTTTGAGGAAACATCCACAGCATTCATTGATATTTGAACTAGAGAGTATATATCCCACCTTTCCTATTTTATGAAGATACAGAATCCTATCTGTTGGGGGAAAGTGGCTAAATGTTGCCTTTAGACCAAAAGAAAACAAAACAATTAGTGTTATTGAAGATTGTGTTAAACAGGAACTCATACTCTGTGGAAAATGAATTAGTATGAAGCTTTTGGGAAGCCATTTAGCAATATGCACGGAGACTTAAAATATTGGTGTCTTTTGACTGAGAAATTCTACTTCAGAGAATTTCTTGTAAATGAATAATCATAAATATAGAAAAGCCTTATGGATACTGGAGTTTATCACAAAACTAATTATAATGGAAAAATAGGAAACAATCTAAATGTCCATCTATAAGATGATGGTCAACCAATTGTTGTGTAGCCAGTGAGAATACATAGTAGGAGTATAACATCACATACAAAATGCTTTTGATACAGTGTTCAGTGGTGAAAACTGTGGTTTAGAACATTGTTTATTCAGTATGATTATAAGTTTGTAAAATCTGCTTGGACAAATGAAAGTGTAGGCAGTGACTTATCTTTGGATGGTGAAACTATATAATTTTCACTTTCTTTTATAGCTATTTCAAAATTATCTTCAATGATCATGTATATTTTTATAGTGAGGAAAAAGAAAGTAATCCTTCTACCTTCCCACTAAAAATATTACTCTTCTTACAGCTTTAAACATCAGTAGTAAAAGTGCAAGCATTGGAATAAGACTTTCGCAAAACAACATTGTGGAGCATGGATTCTCTATCAGAAGAATTTTTTACAAGGTAAGGGATTGGTTGGACAAAAAGCAACCACATTTGTTGCATCTTGAAGACACAATATTTGTCCTTTCCACATAACTTTGGGAAGCTAGTGTGATTGAGATGCCCTTATGCTTGGAGATGATTTAGCAACTTTGATTAGTGGGTGAAATGTAATTACAGAAAATTTCTCTTAAGGACCACACTCTAGCTAAAGAGTTAAGAAGTGAAAAATGTGCTACAGCTTGCTACATGTGGGCATTCTCACCAGAGTAGATTAATGTGATCTGTTAATTTATTTTATAAGCATTTACTGTAATGCTTATAATGTAAAGTACCTCCTTGGGACTTAGTAAAGGCAGACAAAATTTTGGGTACTTAGAATTATAATGTAGTAGGAAGATATATAAAAAGTTATATCTTTAGGCAAAATGCATGGCTCTAGTAGAAAGGAACAATAATGATAGACTGGGGTTGAGTGGGTTTCCACGAGATGACACTCAAACTGAACATTAAAGGGTAAGCATTTTGATGTATGTAGAAATGGAAGGAAACAGCAAGAAAAAAAGATAAATGATTGGGAGGATTTCAACTGTCTTCTAAGTTTAGCTTTATTTTGGGCAGAACCAATGACCTTTTAAAAAGAGAAAGGAAATTTTACACTGTATTTTGGAAAGACTACTTATTGATGGTGAGAAGGAAGAGACAACAAAATATAACACTAGTAATAGTTCAGGAAGAAGCTGATGAAGGCTTGCAATGGTAGGAATAGAAAACAGAAGGGATTTATAGAACTAGAATCAACAGAATTCTGTGACTGCTTAAATATGAGGAAAGGGGCAAAAGAGAAAAAGAGATGACTCAAAGGTTTCTAATGACCAGGAGGAGATATGTACCATTAACTAATATGGGGCTCAAAAATGGAGACAGGTTTAATGTGTGCATGAGAAAGAGAGGACAGATGATGAATCAGTTTTGGACATGAGGAAATTGAGGTGTTGGTAATATATCTTAAGTTGTGGAAATTGAGTAGATGGTTAGAAATTTGTAGTAGTAATGTCAAAAAGCAAGGCCGGAGGTATAGATTCAGGGGTTATTTGGTTGGGTGCTGTTAGAATTCATGAAAGTTGGCTTATTTTTTTATTCATTCATCCAAGAAATATTTGAGTGCCTACTTTATGTCCAATATTGGAATAGAGACTTGGAGGTTAAGTAGTGAATAAGAAGGGCCTGATCCCCATCTGAGAGGGCTTGTTTATATATGGACATAAATGAAATTGACTTAAGTAGAAAATGTAGTAAGAAAAAGAGAGGGATAAAAATGGAACATTAGTGGGGTGCCTGGGTGGCCCAGTCAGTTAAGTGTCTGACTCTTGGTTTCGGCTCATTGGTTGTGGGATCGAGCCCTGTGTCGGGCTCCACGCTTGGCGGGGAGTCTGCTTGAGATTCTTTCCTTCTGCCTCCTCCCCTGCCTCTCTCTCTCTCAAATGGATAAATAAACCTTTAAAAAAAAATGGAACATTAGTATATATACTATGTATATTTCAGGATATATCGTTATAGCAGAACTTCAGCTCCTAATAGCAGAACAAAGCATATAGGTGGTAAAAGTAGCAAAATAGCAAAAGAAAAATACTAGTCTTGTGTCTAGTTCTAGCTTTGCTACTTTCTAGGTGTATAACTTAAAAACAAGTTATATAACCTCTCTGGACATCAATTATCTTAATGTATAAAGTGACTGCCGTAGATGACTGTGGATGTACCTACTATTCTAATATACCAGGAGCATGGTTTGATACTGTTAATCTACCTAGTTTGTATTAAACATTATTAAAATAATAAATGAATGTGGTGAATGACAGGAAGAGGTGTAGCCAGTGGTAGAAACTGAGAAGTGGAGGGCTAGGAGGAGAACCAGCAGCAGCAAAGATTGCAGAGGTTTTCAAGGAAGGTTGGAAGGTATGATGGGCAATGTTAAATGATGCAGGAAGACCAGGTAGAATGAAGAACTAAGACAAAGCTGTTGAAATAACAAATAGTAGGATTTCATTAGTAACCTTTAATAGAGCAATTTTAATGTTGGGGAGGGAATGAGGATTAGTTAAGTTCACATATCAAAATTTGTTAGAGAAACTATGGTGAATATAGCAGCCCACGTTCCACACTTGAATAAGAAGCTCTAAAGTAGGGTTTGGACATCTGGATGGTTCAGAAGCTTCACAGGTGATTTTAATATGCATCTGGGACTGAGAACTGTTGGGTCGAGGAGTGAATGATCATGAAATAGAGTGAGCAAGAAGGGTATATATTTGGGAGCTTTTTGTACTCTTCCACAAACCGCTGGAGAGGCTTCAGAACACTGCTGTGGTATTTTTCGTTCCTTGAAAACACAAAGTTCCTTGTGTTCCTTTTTGGAATGGGGCTTAGAAGTGGATGAAAAGACAGTTAAGAGGGTTTTTTTTGCCATGACATTTTAAAGAGCACTGAGAACCATCTTGTGAAATATTGTTTGTGTGTATAAATCACCTTTTGTTGAAACTTTCACTGTGTGGATAATACTATACTATTTATCTGTCCCAGTTTCCCCTGATAAAATCAGTAGGCACATAGTGGATGATAAATGATTGTCTAGGAAATGAATACATAAATGTGAAGTAAGATAGGATGATAGGATGATTTTTATAAAGTACAATGCTGAGTAAATCCATTGATATAAGTTTCTCACCTCAGTTTTATCTCTGCTATTGTATAGAATTAAGATCATATAAATCCTATATGATCCTATGTTATGGTTCTTATATTATGGGCCCTATATCATGGTTCTTTATGTAGGCAAAAGCAATTTTATAAATAATTTTTTTAGTTCTGTATGTAACACTGCATATGTTCACATTTCAAACCAATGTCAGAAGCAAAACTTGTCAAGTTATTCCTTTTTACAAAAATAGTTAATTTTTAAATATGATATTCTCTCTCAATTTAAAAAAATCATTTTGGAAAACTGGATAACTGTAAGGCCAGGAACCTGAAACAAAAAAAAAATAAATAAAAGGATCTGCATAAGATAGATCCTTTCCAAACCTTTATTATCTTCATAAACGCATGCACACACACAAAACATTAGCCTTTTTAAGACCCTTTTTCCTTTACATTGCTATAAAGTTAATTTTTTCCCATGATTTTGGTATATCGTGTGTCTGTTCAAGATAAGTTTTTTATATCAGCTGTTCTGTTTACCACCAGCCAGTAAGGGCAGAGCATACCTTTTACCCTTTGAGTCCCTAAAGGTATGATACCTACCACTATTATCGGTCTTGATTTGAAACACATTGTTTACACTTTTGAACTTTCAGACAAATTCACTTGTTAGATTCTTTACTACTACAATTTGTGTTCTTTGTAAGGAGATACCCTGAATACACCTTTCTTTTTCATTTAAAGTAGGGATCCAACTGTGGAGGAGCAGACTAAGAAAGAAATCAAGAATAAGGTAGAAAAATCTACTGACCAACTGGTAAGAGAAGAGTTAATTTTCATTAATTGTTAATTAGTAATGAGTAATTATATATGCAATGTAATTCTAAATCTAGTCAGTTTATTTATCTGTTAAGAATTTGGAGGTGACTCTCCTTCATAAGTAAAATTATGGTCATAATTAAATCTCTCTGATAATTGATAATTCTGTTATTATAAGCACGAATTCTCACTTTAAGTTAAAACTAGTAGGTGATTGAATTGACTTGCCCAGAAACATCACAGTAATCAATTTTAAGAAATCCCTTACTTGTCTTTTAAAAGCAAAATCCAAACAAAATGAGAACTATGCCCATACCAAGAAAACACACACAGAATTTTATTTAGTAAATTTCAGAGTTGTTTTGAAATTCTCTTTCCTGTTTTTATCATCTTTACTGTTAGAAATTCCAGTTCAAAATGAAAGATAATAAAGTATGCATTAATATAAGGTTTATATTGCCAATGACAGTATATTTTATGGTAGCTTAAAAAATATGTATATATACACACATATATGAATATCACATGTGCTTATATTTAATGAAGGATGGATGAAGAGCTATTTGGATTTTTTTAGTGCAATTTTAACCCTACACATAGTTTTATGTGATTATTGGTGTTCACTGTAATAAATTTTATAAAGGTTATCTAGTAATGAGAAAATACATAAACATAAAATAGTCATATTCACCTGCATGAGGTTATCACTGTAAAAAATGTTGCAGAGAAAATACAATATATGCAGATGTACATAGGGATGTACACTTGAGCCAGGGAGGATTAGATCCAGAAAATACATTTCTAAATATGGAATTGGAAATACGGAAGTCAAAGGAGGGGAAAACTTTGACCTGAATTTGGTTTAGAGGCTAAATTAATTTTGCGAAATGGATTGAGCATCAAATATTTTGATAACTGGCTTAAAAAATTGTACTTAGACAATTTATGACCACTGACTTAAAAAATTGTATTTATAATAAGATGAAAATATTTAATAAGCATGAAGTTTATGGTATATCCTACTAAAAATTTTTATTCATGCCATAATCTTGCTTGTGTATCAGTTTGGTGATTAACATTAGGATTTTGTGGTGACTTGACTGCAGAACTGACTGTTAGTTTGAAATGTATGCACTACTGACAGTGGTCATTCTTTTGAAGGGTTTGTCTAGTTACATTGTGGAAGCTTTTTAGTTTTTCGTAAACTTTCTGAAAAATTTCAAACCTACAGCAAAGTTCAAGAATAATAAAATGAATACTTATATACCCTTTGCTGAGATTTAGCAAACTATTAACACTTTCCTACATTTTGGATATAATTTTCATATAATGAAATATAATGTAAGGTTATTTGTTGGGTATTGATGGGGATGGAGGAATCTTAATTTAAGACTCAAACCCAGAAGGGGAGAGTAGGCAGATAGTCCTACTTTGGACTTTATTGATTCCTAGTCACTTTCCTGGGTAATTGCGGTCCGTTAGACCTGACTAATGGTCAAAGAGTCACCCCCTCCCTGCCCCCAGGGCATTTTCAGTGACTCAAGCTTTACATGGCCTCCATAATAAAAAGCTGTCTTTTCTGATTTTCAGAGGTCAGCATCAACTTATTCATATTCCCAAAGTTTAAACAGGGTATAGGAACTGTGGTATCTTGTTAAGGTTTGAAGGAAGTCCATCATCCATGTGTTCCAGGTGCTTCTCCATTGCCCACCCATTCCTCATAACTAATGTTAATAGACAGTCCAGCAGGACTTGACTATATAGCTATTGATTAGCCATTAATGATGGCTTATTAAGTCCGTAAGAATGAGTTCCTGTAGACCCAAGATTAGTATGACTTAGCTCTGACTGAATTAAAAGTTATTCTGCTTTACTACTTTGTTTATAATTTAAACTATTATAGTTCTATTTATTTTCAGTATGCTGTGTGTTTAGTAACTAAAGCATCAGTCACGTATGTAAAAAGTACTCTTAGATCTAGCTTTCATATTATTATGTAGACTAATCTATGTAATATTTTAAACTTAGCATTTTTTATGCCTTAAGTGGATAAATGCATTCTGTGTATTTCTCAAGGGCAACCATTTTTTGAGGCCTAATTCACATTTAAGCCTTAAACTGTAGATATTTCCCTATTTAATATCTTAAATATATAAATATAATATATTAAATATTTAGATATTTACCTATTAAAAATGGTATAATTATCCCTATTTTAGAATATTTAATTTATAACTTCCAAATGAATTTATGATGGCCTTCTGTATATTAAAGCTTCCTGAGTTTTGGTCTTAAATTTCCTGCTATATTTTAAGTTCCTTGAAAGCAGAGAGAACGTCTTATTCTTTTTTTTAATTAAAAAAAATTTTTTTTAAGATTTTATTTATTCATTTGAGTGAGAGAGACAGAGAACACACAAGCGGGGGGAGAGGCAGAGGGAGAGGGAGAAGCAGACTCCCCGCTGAGTCAGCCAGGAGCCTAATGTGGGGCTTGATCCCAGGACCTGGATATCATGACCTGAGCTGAAGGCAAACACCTAACCATCTGAGCCACCCAGGCACCCGAGAATGTCTTTTTCTTACTTGGATTTTCTATCGCTCTGTCACAGTTATCTACCTATAGTATATAAAGGCACTTTTTTTGTTGTTTTTTTTTTAAAGTAGGCTCCACACGCAGCATGAAACCCAATGTGGGACTTTAAACTCCTGACCTTGAGATCAAGACCTGAGCTGAGATCAAGAGTTGGACACTTAACCGACTGACTCACCCAGGGGCCCCACTCTTTGTTCTTTTTTTTTAATATTTTGGCTGGTCTTAATATTAGAGTAATAAGAATATGTATAATTGTGTAAATTTTTAATATTATCTTCTAGGGTAAACAAGAAAAGGACACACCTGCTGATCTTGTCCCTGTTAACTTACTATTGGAAGTGAAGAAATTATTGAATGCAATTAATACTCTACCAAAAGGTGTGGTCCCTCACGTTAAGAAGTTCTTACAAGAAAATTTTTCCTTCCAAATTATGCAGGTAAGATTATAATTTGTTCTTTGGGGTCGAAGTACAGCTCTTTCTATATGACTGTCCAGAGAAAACATACTATGTTCCTTTACTCTCACACTACTACTACACTGACGATACTTCTGACACTAGATGTGTGGATTTATTCCCACATCAACCAGTTCTCCTACACTAACTGGGTATCCAGCAAGTCCATTCAATTCTGATACTGTCTACCTAGAGTTAGTATCAGATCCCAGAAGTTAAGGGCTCAGTCCCACAAATCTGCTCTGACTTCAGACACACAGTCATTTGTCCCCGATACTTGTGACCAGCTGGCTATGGATTGAGGTTCTCATGACCCCTTCTTGGGTTTAGTAATTTGCTAGTATAGCTCACAGAGCTCCAGGAAACACTTACTTAATATTTTCCAATTTATTACATAATAAAGGCTATGATAAAGGATTTAAAAAACAGCCAAATGAAGAGATACATAGGGCAAGGTCTGGAAGGGTCCAAAGTATAGAAGCATCTGTCTCTGGAGTTGGGGTGTGCCACTCCTCTGGCATTTGGATGTGTTCACTAAGTTGGAAGTTCTCTGAACCCCATACTTGAAGGATTTTTATGGAGGCTTCATCATATAAGCATGATCAATAATTAATTAAATGCCCAGCCCCTCCCCCTCTAGGAATGGGGGATAGTGCTAAAAGCTCCAAGCTTCTAATCATGGCTTGGTGTTTCTGGTGACCAGCCCCTATTCAGGGGCCTATGAGAGTCACCTCATTAGAACAAAAGATACTCCTATCACCCAGGAAATTCCAGGGGTTTTAGGAACTCTGTGTCAGGAACCAGGATCAAAGACCAAATATTACCAGGAACTAGGAACAAATATCCATGTATATATTTCTTATTATTTCACAGTGACTCTTTCCCTCTTTTCCTCCCTCCCTGCCTTCCTTCCCACAGCAGTGCAGCTAAAGTCTTGAAATCTCCATCTTACTTTTTGTGAAGGGCTCTGGTGTCAGCTTTGACTGTAGACTTCTATTAAATAGAGTTAGTTGGTGCTAGTCTTTGAAGAATAATGGTGGTAATGTGGGTTAGTAGCTAGTAAGCCACCGTTGACTATAAGGTCTAGTGTTTATTCTTATTCTATTAATAACCCATAACATGCCACCCTGGGACAGGGGATTGCTTTTGGTGTTTCTAATTTGTAAAATGTTGACAAATTTTTAAAAAATGTAAGATAAAAACAATGTCCAAAGCTTGTTTATTTATGAGTAAAATAAATACTCTAGAGAATATATTGTAGATTTCTGTCTTGGAATTAGTTTTTTTTTATAATTTATGAAACTTTCAGCACAAGATGGGTATCAGTTCTTAAATGAATGGAGTTTTTCGAAGTTAAAGAAAATGTTCTCATTTCTTTGTAGCCTTTAGTTGGGGGCAAAACACCATAGGTTATGATTAAAAATTCAAACAAATATCCAGAGACTTTACATACAATTATAACCTTAACTGAGATAATTTACCAGTATGAATTCTGGTTTGAAACTGTGGAATAATGCCACTATTTCCCTCCTATCTTTTGGAAATTACCCAGAAACAACAACAACAAGAAATAGAAATCAGTAGCCTTCCTATATGCAAACAATAGCCAATTAGAAGGTAAAAATGAAAGAAGAATATTAGCAACCAAAAAAGTAAAATACCTAGGAAAACACGTAAGAAATATACAAGATATAAACTAGTGTTTCTCAAAGTTTTTCCTAGGCCGCCTACATGAGACTATCTGAACTCCATACTAGTCCTAAAGAATCAAAATCTCTGGAGGTAGGTCTGGGAGTCTGCATTTTAGCAAGTATCTACACACTGATTTTCTTCACATTAAGTTTAGAAATCAATACTCTATATTGAAACTATAAATGAAGGTTTCTAAAACTCTAATAAAGGTAAGAAAAGAAGACCAAATAGAACGCAGTACATGTAGGAAGATACAGTGTAATAAAGCTGTCAATTTTCCCTAAATTAAAATTTGTAAATATCACATATTAAAAAGTGACAAAAGGGTTTTTGGAGTTGTTATTACTGAAAGCTAATCCCAAAGTTTAGATGGGAAATAAAAGGAAGGCTAGCCAAGAAAATTATAAAAGAGAAGTGTAGGGGAGAAGGGCTGGGAATTTGCCCACTTAGATATTAAAACTTACTATGAAGCTCTCATAACTACAAGATTGTATTACTTGCTATTGACTCTATGGACAGGTCTAGAAAATAGAAGGGAAATTCCAGAAGTTGACCCAAATGCATATAGAACTGTTATGTATAAGATGACAACATTGATAATACTAAAGGGGAATTGGACAAATTAAGAATCCCAGTAGGAGATTTTAACATGATCTCTTGATAAGTGATACAACATGAACACAAAATTAGTGGAACCAAAGCAAACTTGATCTAATTCACACACACACACACACATACAAACACAAAACACTACACCCATTCTGCAGTGGCAGAATATATATACTTTTTAAGTGCACACAGAACATTTACAAAAATTTACCATGTGCTAGTCACAAAGCAAGTCTCATCAAATTTCAAAGAATCATAACATGTAGAGCATGTTCTCTAACCACTAGAAATCAATACAGAAAGATAAACTTAAAAAATCACTGTTCTTAAGATGTACCTCTAGGTATACCCATGGGTAAGAAAAGAAATGACAGTGGAAATTAGATAAATTTTTGAACTGAATAAAAAATATATATCAGAGCTTGTGTTATAAGTAAAATATGTGCTTCAAAAAATATTTATAGCTTGAAATGCAAATATTAGAAAAAGCAAATTTGAGTATCAATCATCTAAACATAAAGTTCAGGAGATTAATGGAAGAACAGCAAATTAAAAACAAAGTCAAAAGAAGGAAGTAGTAAAGATATCTGTCTATTGAAATAGAATAAGAAAATAAAATAGAGAAAGTCAATAAAGCCAAAACTTGTTTTATAAAATTGATAAATTCCTGGTAAGAATCTTAAAAAGGCAAAGATAACCCAAATCATGAATGAACATGAAAACATCAAAACTAATTCCATAGTCATCTAAAGGATAATAGAGAATTCTGCTACTTGCAGTGGCTGCCTGAGTTGGTTTAGAGCAACCTTCCTTAACTGGACAAAGTCTTTGTTTAGTAATGTGCTTTTCTAGCAGATCACTTAATTCAACTGGGGATTGAGGTGATTCTAAGCTTCTGTTTTGTGAAGAAGGGTCTATTTATGCTTTACCTTTTGTAGTAGATACTATCAGTGCCCTGCACATAACCCTTGGCCCCTTGGCCTCTTATTTCAGTATGCTCTGGACAATTTCCAGTTTTCAATGTCTATTTCTCTATGCCTTAAGGCTTTTTTTCCCCCTGGAACTACAGAAGACCTGTACCTCTCATGGCAGTTCGGAAGTCCCAAGGAATTAATACTCCTGCATCACCCCATCACCACTCAGTCAATAAGCCTTGGGAGTTGTTCTGCAAATATCCCAGTTTTCTCTCCCTTGGAGTTGAATAATACGGAGGCTTGTGTTTTTCACTGTTTTACTGAGTTTCTCTGTTGTGTATCTAGTCACCCATTGTGGATAACTAACACACCCTGTGGGGTACCTGGATGACTCAGTCAGTTAAGTGTCTGACTCTGGATTTCGACTCAGGTCATGATCTCAGGGTTGTGAAATCGAGCCGTGTATCAGGCTCCATGATGGGCATGGAGCCTGCTTAAGATTCTCTCTCTTCCTCTCCCCCTGACCCCCACTTCCCTCTCTTAAAAAAAAAAAAAAAAATAACATACCTATCAATTTAAAGCCTGTTTTCCCTTCCCTGTATCACATTTCTATTCCCCTACCATTGTTCTCTGCACCTCCCAAATAAACTACTTGCATTCAAGCTGGAACCAAAACTGACACTCTTACTCTAAGGGTATATTTCTTCAAGGTCCCAACAAAAGGATGAAGTGTTTTCCAGGGTCCCTCATCCTTGATAGGTAATGCATTCTGTTTTTCCCCCCAGCTTTGTAAGTTGGCTAAAAACTGCCTAGCATCCCAGCTTCTCAGCCACAACTGAAAATGGCAATTGCCTTAAGGAGAAAAGTGGCTACAAAAGTCAATCTCATGTCTCTAGGCTTTCCTTCTCTCTGAATGTTGGCCCCAGAGATTTTCAATGCCTTGGTAGCTTTCTGTTGCTTTCAAAAAATAGTTTTTATATCTTCTCCAGCTTTTTTAGTTCTAAAGGAGGTGGAACTTCAGTGTTAGGTTTTATATGCTTACTCAAATTCAACAGTTACTGTTGAGTAACTGGTTGGGTAAATGAGTCTGGAATTCAAGTGATAGTTCTGAGCTGGAAATACAAACTTGGAAACTGTCCAAGTAGACATTATTTAAAAACATTATTTAAAAACATGACAGTGGATTACTTTAGGGAATGTATGTGTTGATGGAGAAGAGGTTCATTAATTGAGTGCTGGGGAGACAAAGTATCTAGCTATCTAGGAGAAAAACGAAGTATTGTATATAAGAAACCATGTTAAGAAAGTGTAGGTTAAACTTTCCACACAGATAATATATTGTTAAACACATAATGGAATTTAAGTGAAGCACTTGTAGGTACAAGGCACTGAGAAATGGACACAAAGATAAGACATAGTCCTCCTTTTCATTTCATCCATATAAATAACAAAGTATGGTGTATAATAAATCCTATATTAGTTTTGTTCCAATCAGATTGCAGCTTAAGATGCCTTGCCCTGGTGTTGGAATTAAGTCAGCATTCTTACAGGTCAGGGCTGGAAGGAAAATTTTAGCCATGCTTAGAGAACAGAAAGTATGAGAATAAACTGAGATTACCACTTTCCTCTAAAGTAGGAGTGGATGTGGCCAACTCTTGGCAGGCATAGGAATGCTGTTTAAGTGTTTTGAGGAAATAGTTACAAAGATTTGTCAGACTACTCAAAATGAAACAAATGAGAGAACAGTTGTATCTGGGTGGTATAGATTTTTATTTTTATTTATTATTTGATTATTTATTTTAGAGAGAAAGTGGGGAGGGGGAAAGGGAGAGAGAGAGAAGCAGACTCCCCGCTGAGCGAGGAGCCCAACTTGGGGCTTAATCCCACAACCCCTGAGATCATGACCTGAGCCAAAATCAAAAGTTAGATGCTCAACCAGCTGAGCCACACAGGTGCCCTGATAGTGTGGAGTTTTAGAAAATCATTTCCAGATTTTCTACGACTAGCGTGTATTACTTGTATAATAAAAATGTATGTAGATATTTGCTTTAAGTTAAAGAAATTTTTGACCAAATTATTTCCACAGAGAGAAGTTGCAGCTAACAGCCAGAATGGGGAGGAAATTGTTCCTGTTCTGACTTTACGTTTCTTGATAACACAACTGGAAGCAGCGCTTAGGAACATTCAGGCCACTAATTATACTGTAAGTGTTTGAAAGTTTGAAATAGTGGACTTGGACAACATTTTCCAATGAGAGGGTAGCCAGTGCAATCCTTGTTTTAAGGTATAGACCAATTTGTATTTTCCTTTTACCTCTGGAAAAAAGGTATGCATAAATTGATTTCCTTCCTCTGTCTTGTACTTTATGACTGCATCTCTGTAATGAGCCGAATCTAGTCCCCTTCCCTACCATAAAATTGTTCATCTTAAATGAAGAGAAACTTGAACTAGTAAACACGGGCTTTCCCATTTGAAACGGAGAGTTATAAACTTCAGAAATTACTCCTTCCTTTCCTCCTAGTTATTAATCAACTCCTGATATTTCTATATTTGTAAAAATTGGAACTTCTGTTATCTGTTAATGAGTACTCATGTGAGATAAAATTGACGAGATATGCTTAATATGTTCAGTATCAAATGATACTTTAGAAATAAATAGAAAATCTAAGGAAAAGTGAAACTGGCATCAAAAATCAGAACCAATAGTATAGGACAGTAAAAGGAAAAAATCAGTTCTTTGAATGCTTTGGATTCGTAAAGTAAACTAAGTTTCGCACACATGTAGAAGATGGATTAGCGTTATCTTCAAGAAAGAACTACCTAGGTACCAACCAAGGTAGCCAAAGACACCAAATCCCTAAGATGTACAAGGAAGTGGAGAAATCATCTTTGTTTAGTACTCTCAGGATGAGGGTTCTAAGCGGTGATATATACCACCCTAAAGGAGTTCTCTACATGGAGTCAAAGAGGTAACAAAAGGGAGTTTGCATTAACAAGTATTCCCAAAAACCTCTGGGATGCTAAAGATCTCTTTCTCCCACTAACCAGGTTGCCAAGCAGTAAAATAAATGAATATAAAATCAACATTAACAGATGCTGACTGTTTAGTCTGCTGTATTTAGGCATTATTTCAAAAATGAGTCTTATATAAGGAAATGGAGGAGATCCCTCTCTTGGTAGCATTGTTGAGCAGAATTGGAATTGTCATGATCAGAGCAGCCTACTGCTGTATCTCCCTGTTCCTCAAGACTGCCAAGGATAGGTGGGGCAACTTCGTTGTAGGAGGTGGTGTGAGGGCAGGGGACAGTTGTCAATAATATCTCTATATCCATTTAGTTCCAATACTTGGAATAATCCCTGCTATTGGTGGGGGGGAAGGTGGGAAGGAAAGGGCAGAGCATACTGGTTAGAAATGTACTGCCTACATCTCTGAATTCCTGAGTTCTTTACCTTGTACTTGTAATTGTAGCATTACCACAATTCCACATTTTATCCTCAAAGTGTTCTTTTTAGGGTTGTATGAGCCAAAGGCTCAGTCATATTATTTATGAAGCCAGTTTTTTTTTTAAGTTACAAAATAATAGTTTACACTTCTTTAATGTTTGCTATATGACAGACACTTTTTGTAAGGATTAGCTCATTTACGCTTTGAAAGCACCCCACCTCATTATTCCCATTTTATAGATTTGAAACTGAAGCATAGAGGTTAAACAACTTGCTTAATTCATCAGGTAGTAAGTAGTGGAGTCAGGATACAAACCCATGTAGTCTTGTGTTAAGTGTCTATTCTGTGAACTGCATTTTACCATCTCTGCAAAGATGGGAATTTTAAGATGGAAACCAGTTAGATGTTAGTTACATGGGTTCATTGAGAGCAAATACACATGTCTATTTCCACTGAGATCAATTTGAAGCCAAACTTCTAACTCCAGCCAGTTACCTCATAAATGTGTACTGTTGGCCATGAGAACTCTGCTAGGTAAGAGAATACAGTTAGATCAGTAAAGAAGAAAACTTATATCCTGTAGATGCTTATCATCCCTGTGTACTTGAAAAAAAATCTTGTTTATAGTATGGGACAGTCTCATTGTAAAAAGTTAATGTGACAAAAGATACAGTTATGATTTTCAGTTAGTAGAGAGCTTATGAACAGAATGTATAATAATTTTCTTCATGGACAATTTTTAAACTTTTTGAGGTAATTTTAGATGCACAGAAGTTGCAAAAATATAGCTATAGAATACAAAAGTGCAGAGAGGTCTTGGCATACCCTTCACTCAGTTTTCCTCAGTAGTTACAGGTTACATAACAATTTATGTTATCAAAACTAGGAAGTTGGCATTCGTACAGTGGGTGTTGGGTCTGGAGTCTCCAAGACCCACCCCCATATTCAGAAGAACTCAGGGTACTCAGAATATAGTTGTACTCATTACTACTTCTGTATGGAGATCTTAGCCATTTGTAGCATGTGGGGGTGGGAGGGGGAAGGAGACAATAAATCCTGATGGCTTCCATTTTCGTTAATCAAACTCTAATGTTTTATTTCGAGATTATCAACTATCCTTTTTCTTCAGGGTCAAATTGTCAAATACATCTAAAATGTATTTGCTGTTGTTCTTACTAGATGATTGACAATATAATGATAATTTTTACTATTTTTAATAATTACTAAGTAGGCTTAAGATATTTTTTATTCAACTAATTAACATATAGTGTATTATTAGTTTCAGAAGTAGAGGTCAGTGATTAATCAGTTGCATATAACACCCAGTGCTCATTACATCAAGTGCCCTCCTTAATGCCCATCACCTAGTTACCCCATCCCCCCACCCACCTCCGCTCCAACAACCTTCAGTCTGTTTCCTATAGTTAAGAGTCTCTTATGGTTTGTCTCCCTCTCTGATTTTGTCTTTTCTTTTTCCTTCCCTTCCGCTATGATTCTCTTCTTGTTTCTTAAATTCCACATATGAGTGAAACCATATGACTATTATCTTTCTCTGATTGACTTACTTCACTGTGTAATACCCTCTAGTTCCATCCATGTTGTTGCAAATGGTAAGATTTCATTTTTTTTTTGATAGGCCTAGGATATTTAATTAAGCTTGGTATACTGAAAAGTAGCTTAGTCTAAATAACCAGATATTTTTTTTTCTTTTAGGCACATCAGATTAATATTGGTTATTATTTGACATTACTGTTTTTGTATGGAGTAGCACTTACTGAAAGAGGAAAGAAAGAGGTATGTAGCATGTGTTATTTGTCCCTTGTAAATCTTCTTACACTCACTGACTTCATTTTGACAAAAGGTTGATTTTAGAAATTCTCTAAATGTTCATTTTGAAACGTTGGCTAAAGATCAAAGTTCTTTTGTAAATAAGTATTTGAATCACTGAATACATTATCTCTGTGTGATCACAGGTGCTAGGGTTAGAGATGTGAATAAATGACTACATGACTGTATCAATATGAAAGCTGCTCTGACTTCTCCAGTTTGGAAAATAATTATTGTAAAAGAAAACAAATGCTTTTTATATCAGCCAAACCTAGTTTTATGTTACTACAGGATTACACAGAAGCAGAGAATAAATTTCTAGTGATGAAGATGGTGATCCAAGAGAATGAAATTTGTGAGAACTTTATGTCTTTAGTTTATTTTGGACGTGGTTTGCTTCGTTGTGCTCAGAAGAGGTAAGGATTTTAATAAACGGGCAGATCTTGCCTTTCAACTTTTAGCATTGTGAAATGGGATAAAGTTTTTATAGTATACCAGATATCATGACATTTGTGCTCTACTGGTTCTTCTTCACCTGTTCCTATAGGTAATAATTTATTTCATGTATTTGAGAATATTTAAATATCAAACTTAACAGTTCATGGCAATAAAAGGCAGTGTAGCAAAGACATGAGGAACATAGGCTTTGGAGTCTGACAGACCTGGGTTTAAATACATTTTCTGCCATGTACCCTATCTATGACCCTGAGAAATGTAATGTTACTCAGCCTTATTTTTTCTTACCTGTAAAATGGAACTAATAATAGTGCCTACCTTATAAGGATGTTGCAGATGATTAAATAAGTGCTCAGAACACAAAAATGCTAGGTTTAATAAATAAATGATGATTATAGTTATTAATACTGTCACCAGTGGGAATAGATGTTTAAGGTATAAATGAGCTTCTAAAGCATTGAAAGGGTCCAGGTGCTGGGTTTGGGAAATACTGGGGATTACACATTTAGTGTAATTGTGCAGACTATCTATTTACTTCCTATATGGAGATCCTTAGCTTTTGTAGCATAATTTATTGATTTTTTTTTTTAAAGATTTTATTCATTTATTTGAGAGAGAATGAGATAGAGAGAGCATGAGAGGGGGGAAGGTCAGCGGGAGAAGCAGACTCCCTGCCGAGCAGGGAGCCCGATGCGGGACTCGATCCTGGGACTCCAGGATCATGACCTGAGCCGAAGGCAGTTGCTTAACTAACTGAGCCACCCAGGCGCCCCTAATTTATTGATTTTATTTGCTAAGAATGTAGTATAGTCTAGAGATTGTGTGTGCTAAGTATTGGGGATATGAGAGTTTGCAAAATAGACAGTTCCTGTCTTCATGTAACTGATAGTATAGTGAAGTTTATAGACCTTAATCAAATAATCAGTTATACAAATAATTATGAAATATGATAAAGAGCTATGAAAGAAAATGCAATAAATAAATAGTCTTCACTGGACACCCAGTCCAGTTCTGGGAATCAGAAGTCTTCCTGAGGAAATCATGTGTGGCTGAGACTTTTGAAAGATGAATTTGGCAGCTGTGCCAATCCTTATGCAAGATTACTGCTGGGCCCAACCATGGGATTCCTAAAAGAGTCACCTCTGTGGGAGTTACCTGATTCTCTTGTAAGGTTTATCTTCTATCCTCTGGCATGCTTGTTTTTTACTTGTTCTACCCAGAAGACTTCCTGCTTCCCATTTACTAGCATGATGTCATCAATATAGTGGGCCAGTGTGATGTTTTGCAGAATTTCAGGATGGTCAGAATCTCTTTAGTCTATATCGTAAAGAGAATTCACATAGCTGTGAGACAAGACAAAGAATGTATACTGCTGTCCTTCCCTCAGATGTGTGAACTACTCTTTAGTCTCTTTACCGTTGGGCATTGGAGAGAATCTGTTTTCCATATCACTGATAACCAGAAAGCCCAGTCACATGATAGCATCATTTACTTTCATCCTTGGCCTACAGAGAACAGTTACCACTGAGCTGCTCAAAGACACTGGTGCCTTTCTCACTGTGTATTTCTTAACTGCTTTAATGGATGGAGTGTCTTCTGGGCCTTTCCAGGGAGCTTTGTCTAGTGGTGGCTTCTTTGGTCTTATGTAGGAAGTCCATTCTAACATCCTTATCTCCCTGAGCTTTCTTCAATACCCTGCCAAAAAATTTCCAGCATCTCCACCTCAATTACTGTAAGCCATTGTTGGATCCAAGCTTGACGTAGCCTCAGCAGCATGTTGGCTCAGGTGGCTCAGGTGTCCTTGCTAGGAAAGTAAATCTTGAACTATGGAGGAGTCATCCCATATCAACATACACTTCCCTATGCAGCTGTGTCTGTGTGTTGGTTTGGCACTCTTAAGATCCACTCCCACATGTGTTCCTGCCAGTATATACTTGTCAAGTTCTGCAATTCTTGTGGTGAATCAGCTTTTCCTTTAGGGGCAGGGACTCTATTTTCCCACTTGGGCTCTGCTTATACCCGATCCTAGAGTTATTGGTCTGTGAGCAATGAGAAGAGATAGGAGAGGATCTTGAGAAGGAAGGGCTTCATCTTTTGATATATGCACCTTAGATGATATTTTGGCTTGGTCAGTAAAGGGATTCTGTACTCCTCTAGCAAAAAAAAAAGGGGGTCCTTGTCAGCCAGAGGGTTCAGGACAATTTAGAGGTTTCATTTAAATGTCCCCATTTCAGATCTCAGGGTCGACTTGTTTCCTATCAAAGCCCTGATTCTAGCATAACAGTCCTGCTGAGGCAGTGCTTTTAGTCTCTGCTGTTGTTCTACCCTTGTGATTAAATACTGGGCCTCATTTTCAGCACAGTCTGCCCTTACAAGATTAGTCTTGATAAAGGTTTTTTAAAATGTTACCATAGAGACCTTTTAGCTTTCACAGAGTGTCCTGAATTGGTAATAGTCCTGTCAAGGAGGTGCATTTGGTCTCTTTTGCAGTTTGTTTCACCTTGTGATTAAATCTGGCCTGATTTTTCAGTACAGATTATCTTTATGACTGTAGGAGATGAGAGCCTTTTTAAATGCTGCCATAGAGTCCTCTGTCTTTCACAGTGTGCCCTGAGTCAACAGTTGGCTGACCTGTGCCTGTCATTCTCTTTCTTCAAGGCTTCCAAGACAGTAGACAAAAGCCAACCAACTCTACAATCCCTTTAATTACCATGGCCCCCATACTGTTCAAGCTTGAGCTACTACATAATCTATTGCCTCCCCTTCCACCTGTATTTCATCCCAATCTACCACAGGTGAGAGTCCTAGCATTTGTATTTCTATAGCATGCCAGAGGTTATCACCACCCTACTTACCACAAAAAAAAAAAAAAAAGGGGGGGGGGGTTGCTTATTGTCTTACTGGTAAACTATCTAGTTAGAGTCCCATTCAAACTAACCTTATTTTAAAATGCCTTGCAGATATAATGGAGGACTGCTAGAATTTCATAAAAGCTTACAAGAAATAGGAGATACAAATGATCATTGGTTTGACATAGATCCTACAGAAGATGAAGATTTACCTACAACTTTTAAAGTAAGAAATTGTTTAAGAACATTTCATCTGTGACTAATCAGAGTCATTTTTGGTGAAGTGTGGTCTGTTCTAACTTTGTCATATTCTATAGCAAGCACATTCTTTTGTTGGAAATTAGCTTTTTATATAAGAAACAACATTGATTCCATTACCTAGTGCAGAATGTAAGATTCAGCACAGAGAGAAGTGAGGTGGCTGGGTTAGCAAATAACAAGATTTGTAATATATACAAACAAGATTAAAAGCTATACCAGTCCAGTACTTCACATGGCTAGAGCTAAATGTAATAGTTAATTCTTTTTACTAATTATATTTACCATTATTTTGTTGTTGATTTAAATTTAAAAAGTACTAAGATAACTTGAAAAACTTATTTCAGAAAACTTGAAAGATATAAAAGTGCTCAAAGATAAAATCATCCATATTTCTTCAAATGGAGAAACTATTAGTATTTTCATTTATGTCTTTCCAGACACACATGTATAAACACTTGTACCTTTTATTTTTAGTAAATTGGAATGATGTTATGCACATTGATGTGTAGTTTGGAAATACATACTGTGAATTTCCCAGTAGTTAGATTATTGTACAGTATGATTTTTTTTCATGGTCTATCATGTAACTGTGCTTTAATTTGTGTAACCAGTTTCCTGCTATTGAACATTTAGTTTATCCTAAACATTCCAGTTTTTCACTATTATGTAAAGTGATCTTTGTGCATTTCCCACATAATTCCAATAGGACAAATTTCTAAAGGTGGAATAGTGAATCAAGTCTTTACACATTTGTAAAGTTGTTGATATATATCTTCGTATTTCTTTTCAAAGTTTGTACCAGTTTGTGTTCTTTTTTTCTTTTTTTTTAGAGGGAGAAAGAGGGCACACATGCGTGTGCACGTATGACCTGGGGGAGGGGCAAAGGGAGAGGGAGAGAATCTCAAGCAGACTTTGCACTGAGCAAGGAGTCTCACATGGGGCTCGGGGCTTGATCTCATGACCCTGAGATCATGACTAGACCCGAAATCAAGAGTCAGATGCTTAACCGACTGAGCCAACCAGGCACCCCACCAGTTTGTATTCTTAAGATGAAGTATGAGAGTTTCCATTTCCTCACACCTTCTTGGTATTCTTAATTCTGCGGTAATTTTTATCCATCTTTTAAGCCATATTAAAGTAACTTTTTAATTAGTTTAGTATGAAAATAGCTAAAGTAGGTTTCTCGTAGTGTTTGAATGATCTCTTTCCAGACTTTTACTTTAAACCTTTCTAGATCCTTATATATTGGCTGAGTTGAAAGCCAGATCCATTCCTCAAAGCAGATGTTTTGAAAAAATACAAAATTCAGTTTTCTTGGAAGCTATAGCAACTCAAATTGTATAAACCTAAAAATATAGCTTCAAAATATATGGGACAAAAACTGGTAACACTAGAAGGAGAGATAGAAAACTCTTCAATCACAGAGTACTATTTTAACATAGCTCTCAGTAATCAGTAGAAGCAAACACTTTGGCATTTGTCAGGAAAATCACATGACTTTAAACCTAGACTTAATAATGATTTTATATATTATTTTTAACATTAAACTTTTGTGCTTGCCTAAAGCAGTCCCTACTTGGTCTTAGTTTTCTCTTTTTCCTCCTCCTTTTAAAATATTTTTCTTTATTATCCAAATATTTTTAGTGAATTTTTGTTTCCAGCAAAATAATAGTTTGTTAAATAATATTAAAGTTTGTTAAATAATATTAAAAGACTTAACATTAACAGTCTGTGGTCCATCATCTCTGATTGTAGTTCCTAACTAGAGACACCTTCTTCCAGCTCTCTAGGCATATTTCTTTGATATATCTGTATCTTTTGAAAAGATGTGTACTGCTTTTTATAATACTTCTCCATTTTAGATACTATCTTTTGACTTGCCACTGTGGCAGATGAGGAGGGTTTATTAGCTCTCTTATACATCCCCTTTATACATACGCTTCTCTTTCCCCATCCTACCAATAGTTATACATTTTTATTAAATTTGCTTTAGGGTTTTCTTTTATTCCTTGGATTAACCTTCACTTCTATGTAGAATCCTCTGTTTCTTAGATCTCAGGTTTTTCTATTTTTAGGTTTACTCCTTGTTCTGGTGTTACAACTCATTCAGCAGCTTCTTAGAGAAGGGTATGACTGGGAGGTAAATTTTTTGAGACCTTTCAAGTCTTCAAAATAATTTATTTTTTGCACACTTTATTTATGTCTTGCCTGGGCATAGAATTGTAGGTTGTAAATTATTTTCCTTCATGTTTTCAGAGTGTTTCTGTTATCTCCTTGCTTCCAGTATGACTTTTGAGAAATCTGATGTTCTGATTCTCAATCTTTTGCTTATAACCTGTTTTATTTTTTTTTTTCTTTCTGGGAGTTTTTAGGATATTCTGTGTTCCCTAGTGTTCTGAGCTGTTTTGAAAATGTTCTGGGACATTCAAAAAATTTATTAGATGATTTTTTCATTTTATTTATGAAATGTTTGTTATTCAGATACTTGATATCTTTGACTAAATCTATGATTTTCTTGTTTTTTCCCCTATTTATTACATTTTATCTTTTTGTTTTATTTTCTAGGAGATTTTTCTCAACTGTAACTTTCTGCGTAGGCCTGATAATCAACCAGTGCACACTAGTGCTATCATATTAGTTGTTATAAGATTAAAATATTTATGTACTATTTCAAAAACAGTTGCTGCCATGGGTTTCTTGGGCACCCAGCCACCATTCCAGCTGCTTTGGACTTTCCACCAGCCCTCCCTCCCTGTACTTCTTTAAAATACAATAAAGGTTTAATGTCTGGTAGGGCAGAGTGCTTCAGTGACCCTGTTGTGGCTGTAGGCCAGCATGTTCTTAATCTGTTATGATTGGTGCCTGGTACCCCACCAAAAGTTTTGCTTCCCAGACATTGTGATTAGTTTTTTTAGGGCATTTAGAGGGCTGGCCTGTACCCCTTTATCCTAGGTGAGTTCTACCAAAGGCCTACCCTGCCCCATTTGCTCCTATCTTCATATATCCCCTTAGATAAACTCATCCTGTGGGGGGATATAGCAGGGTAGTGTCCTTTCATATGGTTATTTTTAACATTACCCTTGTTCCTATCCTTTTATTGAATTTTTAATTTTAATGATTATTTCAGCTGTTATCTACCAAGAGTTTCTGTTGTTACGAATGTTCCTTTTTTTTTTTTTTTTTTTTAAATGACAGTCTGTTTTTGTTTCATGAATGCATAATATATCAGAGGTAAATGTCAGCCAGATCCTGGAAGGCCTTATATAAGCCAAGTATGGGGTTCAGACCCTTTCTTGAAGTTAATATGAAACCCCTGAAGACTTTTAAACACTGGAATGATATAATCAAATTATAATAAAATGAGAAATAGGGAACAGATACACACTCATATACCTGTATATACCTGTCTATATGTATAGATGCACATATGCATGTGTGCCTCTCTGGGAGGTGATATTTAAGTGGGAACCAGAAGGTTGAGAATAGAACTAGCTCTGTAAAGACTGGGGGAAGAGTATTCTCGGTAAATGAAAAAGAGTGTGGGAAAGCCCTTAGGCCTTGACACACAAGTTTGAAGAACTGAAAAAATAAAACCATATGAATTTTATAATGAGCAAGGCTAGAGATGAATTCAAAGAGATGGCTAGATATACTGAATTTAGATTCTGCAGGTTCTGCAGAACCTTGCAGTCCGTCCATGGTAAGGGTTAAGACTTTATTTTAGGTACTGTGGGAAGCCATTGAAGGGTTTTAAGCAAGGAACTAACATTTTTTGCTTCTGTATAGAGAATACCTTGGAGCAGAGTAGGTGGGGAAGGGGGGCACCAGTTAGACAGCTATTACAGCTAATAATCTAGGTAAAACAGAGTGTTAGCAATGGAGATAGAAATGGAAGAATTTGCAATGTATTTTGAGAAAAGACGCAACAATTACTTGATGATGTATTGTGTGCAAAGGGTGTTGGAATCCCTTATGCCATAGATGACTTTAAGATTTCTGGCTTGAAGCTGAATAGATAGTGGTAGATGATATTGGTGTAAGTCCCATGGACCTGCTAAGTTTACTGCTTTCTCCTTAACATCCATAACATCCCTTAACTTCCATAACAACCTGGCTTATAACAGGCACTCAGTAAATATGTTGAATGAATGAATGCCAAAAACTAGAGGCAAGAGATAAGGAGTAAAGAACAAGGAACAAAAGAATTAAAAAAGGAAAAAAAAAAAAACAACTAATAGTTACAAATTGTAGTTAGTGTTCTAAAGAAGACAAGGGGCAGGGTAGAGAAAATGGAGAACACAGATAAGTATACTCATATAGCTGCATATAGGCTTATGTATATATGTGGCATATATTTGGTGGGTGTGTCAGTAGATCAATATTGAACTATTAAGTTTGAGATCTGTGAAACTGCAGTAGTTATATACATTCTGTGAGCCTATTTCTTTTTTCTGCATTTCCACTTGGCTATTGGCTATGCTGACAGAATATACTACCTTCATATGACAGGTCCTTAAATGCCTTTCTCTCTTATCTTGATATTTAAAACATTTTAGTTGACTTGGTCAAAACATCTTTATTCTTCAGTATCAGCTATCAATTTAAAATTCTGAATGCCATCAAAGGAATGTTATGAATGGTGACTAGATTTATCAAAGTCTGTAGGAGCTTATTTGTCATGTTGTATATTCTCAGTATATTAGAAATACTATTTGAAATCTTGTAATACTCTCTTTCTAAGGGATAAGTTTTAAGGACCTGGTCTAAGGACCTGCTTAACATAGAGTTCATAATGTGTTTCACCTACATTTAATCAGCATTTGAAAATAGGAAATTGCATTCCAAGTTATAACTCTGAACATTGGAAGCATATTTCTGTATGCTACGTCTATCCATAATGGCAGTGAGTGGCATATTGCACCACTCCAGGAATCCCACTGCCAATATGGTGTTTTGGGGACCAGTTCTAGCAGATCCTCCTGGGCTCCCGTGATGTGTGTGTGTGTGTGTATGATAGTTTTTAATAGGAAGTAGTTTTTAATAGGAACATGCCAGGTGTTATGCTATGAGTTGGGATGGTGAAGAGAGGTACAGCTTCAGACATAGACTTTTTTCCTTTCTCCATGTTTATGTTCAGTAATAAACCCAGTATTTCTAATTTAGGGCCTTCCCATATATTGTTTACTTTGAATGAGGAAAATATGTTACTGTTTTTTTATTTTAAAAAACATACAATGCCTTCAAAAAGGGAGATAATAAAATGGACATATTATTTAAGGTAAAATATTGGAAGTGTTGCCGTCTTGTTACTAATAATTCATGAGATTTTTTTAATTTTTAAAATCTAGGATCTTCTTAATGATTTTATCAAGACAACAGAAAATAATATAATGAAGCAGACTATTTGCAGTTATCTAGATTGTGAACGATCTTGTGAAGCTGACATTTTAAAGAACACCAATTACAAGGTAATATAAATTTAAGTATTTTTAAAAATGAAATTATTAAAAAAAATTAAAAAAATGAAATTATAAAATTAAACTTAGATAAAAATTACTGTCATCATGCATCAAAATATTGTTTAAAAAGAGTACTTAGGGGTGCTTGGGTGGTTCAGTCGGTTAAGCGGCTGCCTTTGGCTCAGGTCATGATCCCAGGGTCCTGGGATAGAGCCCCGCATTGGGCTCCCTGCTCAGCGGGGAGCCTGCTTCTCCCTCTCCCTCTGCCTGCTGCTTCCCCTGCTTGTGCTCTCTCTCTCTCTCTGTCAAATAAATAAATAAATAAATCTTTAAAAAAAATAAAAAGAGTTCTTAGTTTAATTATAGTAGTAATGCAGTTAAGAAGTTGAATATCTCGGGGTGCCTGCATGGCTCAGTTGGTTAAGCATCCAACTCTTGATTTCAGCTCAGGTCATCATGGAAAAGGCGCAACAATTACTTGATGATGTATTGCATGCAAAGGGTGATGGAATCCATTATGCAATAGATGACTTTAAGATTTCTGGCTTGAAGCCGAATAGATAGTGGTGGGGAATCTGCTGGAGATTCTCTCTCTGCCTTTCTGTCCCTCTGCCCCTCCCCCTGCTTGAGTGTGAACCTGCACTCTCTCCACCTCTGTCTCAAATAAATAAATCTTTAAAAAAAACTGAGTATCTCAAAGAACTTAGATTCATAGTGAGCAGAAATTACATATATCCTGTGAGTCAATAAAAAATGAATCGATTTTGCTAGGGATTTTGTAATATTCACATGTCTCTGTAGTTATAGTTAATGTCCCTGCAATCATAACAGTAAAAATTATGTAAAATATTCTTTATAGTTTGAAATGTTATAGGTTGAGAATATTAGCATTTTACTAAGGAGAAAGGTTGTTACTCTTCAAGAATTCTGTTACTAAGTAAGTGATCGTTATCTGTTGAATGGGTCTTGGGCAAGCAAAATGAAACCAGCCTGGATTTGAAGAAATTCAGCAAAGTACATCAAATCTAGTTGTCTCTGGCTATATCAGAATAAGGCTGTGCGAAATCACAAGATAGGATGAGATGTGACCATCAGTGTCAATTTGACACCACTTCTTTCATATAATGGAAATCCAGTTGCAAGGCATGATGTATACATTGAGTGGTGGGGGGAAAAATCCAAAATGTATTCATTAGAGTAACACAGGTATTGGGAAGTGAGCCTGGTGAAGTGGGGTGCTTAGGGTGGGGGCAAGTTGGGTCTGGTTTAGGTGACATGGTGGTATGGTCCTAAGGTTTCCCAGGAAGGCTTCCAGGGTTCCAGTCACATGGACAGCATGTAGCAGCAGCAGGTCCTGGCCACAAAGTTTAGATCTTTGTCTTCCAAGTAGTTTACCTATTTAAAGGAAGCAGGACTGTAGTTCCCAGGGAGTACATACTGGGAAGGACTAGAAATTTATACCTTGGGATAATACAGTAGCTGTTATTAATATTGCAGATCAGGTCTAATGATTGTTAACAGAGATGCCAGGGGAAAATGGTATGGAATTGGAGCTGGAGGAAAAGAGAAATGTAAAAATGGAGGTGAAGAGGGGTAGATAACATATTCCTCTAAAAAGGTCACTCACCAAATTTCTGATATTTTGTTGTATCAGAACAACAGTATATGTGTCAGTATATGGAAAATATTACATTGGCTTATTCCCATCACTGCCTTTTCTTTTTGTCCTAATGCTTCTGTCTTTAGTGATGTAAAAAATGGACCTATGAAAAATGACTTATAAAGTTCTTTGATTACTAATGATCTGTTGATAAATTTTGAATGCCATGTAAAACTCACCTAGTTACAGCATAATTTTGAAAGTCACTTAAGGTGTTCATGTCTAAATAAGTGAATGAATGAATGAATGAGACTTACAGTAGTATTTTCTATACCTACATGAATTATTATTTCCATATCAACAGCTTACTTTTGTCTTTTCCAGGGATTTTTTCAATTAATGTGCAGTAAAAGCTGCTGTGTTTATTTCCATAAAATTTGTTGGAAAAAGTTCAAGAATTTAAAATATCCAGGTGAAAACGATCAGGTATTTGTTTTTCCTTCAAAACTTTACAGCATTTCTTCCTTTATCCATCCCATTTCTTCCTGTTCACATCCTCTGCTTTTTTTCTCACTCTATTTTTCTTTCCCTAATGTCTCTGATGCTCTTCTCCTCATTATTCTTTGTTCATCATCACCATTTATTAAACACATCTTTGCAGGGGATACTCTGCTAGTTGCTTTGGTTAGTAATTTCTGTCAATTTGTTCCCTTCCTTTTAGAAGTTTATGCTCTTAAAAATAGAAATATTGTGGGATGCCTGAGCGGCTGAGTGAGTTAAGTGGCTGTCTTTGGCTCAGGTCATGATCCTAAGGTCCTGGAATTGAGTCCCACATCGGACTCCTTGCTTGGCAGGGAGCCTGCTTCTCCCTCTGCCTGACACTCCCCCTGCTTGTGCTCACACACACTGATTAAAAAAAAAAGAAAAATTTAAAAAAATAGAAATATTGTGTGTATTCACATAAAAGACATAGAATCAAAGAATATAATTGCTAAACAAAAAAATGGAAAGGACATATACAATTTTAGGATAGTTTCTTTTTTAAGGGATAGAGAAAAATAATAAAGTTTATAGTCTTCAATCATATATTTGTAATTATTTATATTTACCTAAAGTAATATAACTAAATTAAATTCTTATGAAAGTAGAAATCCAAAGCCCAATTCTATATTGATTACTCTTTAGTGAGCTAATGGCCATAAGTTGGGTTTATACTGTTTGGTTCTAGAGTGCTTATATTGTGCAGACAACAGAAAACCTTTATAAAGCAATTGTGGCAAAGTAGAAAGAGCACTGTATATAGAGTTGGGTGATCTGGGTTCAAGTCCAGATTGAGCCACTTACTTTTTTTTTTTTTTTTACATTAGGCTGGTGATTTAGTCATTCAGAGACTCAGTTTTCTAAACCATAAAGTGAGAATAGTACTACCTACTTCTTAAGATTGTGAGGATTACTAGATAAAACGTGAACTTGCATTGTACACTAAAAATCATTGTGTGAAGTGTTGTTAATTCATTTTTTTAAGCAACATATGAATACTTTTCACTTTCTTTGATTGTTAGGGCAATCAATATAGCTCAACCTCAGAAAAAGAAGTACAAGAAAACTAAATAACTTAACCAGGGGAAATAGCAAGTTCAGAACCAGAGAAAGGAGTCAACATTTTTATTCTTTTCCCTGGAATCCTCATATATCTGGTAGATATTCAGTATTCCTTTTTACACTTGCTTAATCAGTACATTTCACTTGAAGTTGCTTTCCCTAGGGGCAGTGAATACATTTTAGGCTGTTTTTGGTACTTGAAGACTTTGAAATAGAAATGATGAGACAGAAAAGTGTGATCATGCATTTTAAATAGGAAATCCATTGATACATGAAATGGACTATCTTTAAACAGCTAACTCTCAAATGTTTATCCACATCTTTTGTTTTACCATCTAGCAACATCTGCTTTTAACTTTAATCAGATTTGCACATTAGTGATTTTTTTTCTATTTCTATTTTATATTTTTTCTATTAGTATTTTTTTATGATTTTTTTTATTATGTTAGTTACCATACAGTACATCATTAGTTGTTTTTTTTTTTAGATATATTTTTTAAAGATTTTATTTATTTGAGAGAGAGAGAATGAGAGAGAGAGAGCATATGAGAGGGGGGAGGGTCAGAGGGAGAAGCAGACCCCCTGCTGAGCAAGGAGCCCGATATGGGACTCGATCCCGGGACTCCAGGATCATGACCTGAGCCGAAGGCAGTCGCTTAACCAACTGAGCCACCCAGGCGCCCCATCATTAGTTTTTGATGTAGTGTTCCATGATTCATTGTTTGCCTATAGCACTCCATGCTCCATGCAATACATGCCCTCCTTAATACCCATCACTGGGCTCACCCATCCCCCCCCCCCCCTCCCTTCTAAAACCCTCAGTTTGATTCCTGGAGTCCATAGTCTCTCATGGTTCGTCTCACCCTGATTCCCCCGCCCCTTCATTTTTCCCTTCCTTCTCCTAATGTCCTCCATGCTATTCCTTATATTCCACAAATAAGTGAAACCATATGATAATTGTCTTTCTCTGTTTGACTTATTTCACTTAGCATAATCTCCTCCAGTTCCATCCATGTTGATGCAAATGTTGGTTGTTTTTTCTATTGATAATTTTAGACCTTTAGTGGGAAAAAATGTTTGAAGGAAGGATGTACAGGTGACATGGTAAGGATGCTACAATGTGATGTACCTGGAATTGTTAAAATTTTGGTGAGTATCTTTTCTTATTTTTTTGTTTGCTTTCACTGGAATGGTATTTTTTACTTCAAACAGATTTGAGAATCATAATAATGGTATTCTAGTCATATTTTTTCTCTTTGATGATGACTAAGCTCTCTGACCTTCCTATTGCTTTGATTTCTCCAAAGTACTATTTATGTGGTCCTTAGGAATTAAAAAAAAAAAAAAATTAAAAATAAAGACACACGGGGGAGGGAGGGAGAGAGACAAAGCTGGCAATGGCTGTACCAATGAGGAAAGTCTGTCATAAACTGAGAATGATAATCTAATTCTGTGCCATCCAAGGTTAAAAACAATTTTAGACTTTCTGAACTTCTTTTAGTCTGTGAGCATCTTCCCATGAATATATCTGTAGAACATATTGTACCTGTTACATACTCAAATGGTATCCACTTAATTTTTTTTATTTAATGAAATAACTTGTTGAATTTTCAGTATATAAGTAAATAAACCAAAATTAGAAATATGTATTATTTCTTTCTTCACATATATATATTTTTGTATTTCAGATTCAGCATTTAAATCCTATACTGATATATAATAGGATTGCTTTTTCAGATCAACTCTAGTTTGTTGTTTGATTAGGATTGCTTATGGCTCACCTTGTTACTTCTGTTTTATTTGTTTTGAAACCTCTATAGCTTCATTCTGTCTTTTTTCAAATATTAAGGCTAAGAAGTAACACTAAAGAATTTTGAAAATTGAACTACTTTAGGGCTATTTTTTTTCCATCACTTGCAGTTTGAAGTTGTGAGAAAGGATGAATATATAACCATTGAAAATTTAGGAGCAAGGTAAGCTTGAAATAAAATATTCATTTTCCTGAGCATGTATATATTTTTTACTTGCTGCTTTTTTCTGTTTCTGTTCATTTGTTGGAGCTCCATTAAGTTTAAAGGTAGTATTAGCTGTATGAAAAAATTATATTTGGTTGACATTTATTTCCCCCTCTCTCCCCACTTTGTAGACATTTAAATTCTAAAGTAAATAAGAGTAAATTAGGTGGATACTTTTCCCTTAAGTATGAAAATAATCCTTTCTTGAAAACAAAACATATTTTTCTTTTTTTTTTTTCTTTTTTTTTTTTTTTTATTTATTTATTCATGAGAGACAGACAGAGAGAGAGAGAGGCAGAGGGAGAAGCAGGCTCCCAAGGAGCAGGGAGCCCGATGCGGGACTCGATCCCAGGACCCTGGGATCATGACCTGAGCTGAAGGCAGACGCTTAACCATCTGAGCCACCCAGGCGCCCCACAAAACATATTTTTCTTAAAGTTATTTAAATCAGGTTGTTATGATATAAAAACTTTCTCTTAGCTTTCAAAACTCATCCAGGCCTCCAAGCTTGTCTGACAATTAGAATTTTCTTATTTCTTGGATGAGAAAACTATATTGCAGAGGAAGATACAGTATAAGCTGGGAACTCAAAGAGGTATAGAGCATTATTGCTATTGAAATTAGAAATTTCAATATAAAATATTCTCCTAATTCTTTGATTCTGTAAATTTCTACCATTTTTCAGTCTACCAGGAATATGGCATTGATTTCTAAGACATCAGTTTTCCTTCATGAGTTAATGAAAACCCAAGTCTTTACCTCTAGCACAGGTTCCACTCCTAAAATCTAGATCTATTATTGGTGTACTAAATAGCTCCACTTCTTTTTTCCAAAAATATCTGTAGTTCAGCATGCCCACAAATGGACTTGCAATCTTTCTTCCCAACACTGCTCTGTAATTTTTTAAAGTCCAGTCAATTCAGCTTCTTAAAAATATTATAAATGCCTCCTTACTTCTGTCCCTACATTTGCATTAAACTAAATGAAGTTATTATTTCTCACTTGGAATTCTGAAACCGCTTCTAAATGGCCTTTTTGTTCTTAGCCTTACCTTTCTTCACTTGTGTTGTTTACATAGCCATCAAGAACACTTCTCAAAAATGAAAATGGAACTATATCACATCTCTGTTTAAAAATCTTTCAGAGGCTTCTCATGGCTTTTAATTTAGTTCAGACTTCTTAGGTTGGCTCTTTAGATGACTTTGTCCCTGCTGCACTCACTAGTGTCCTCTCTCGTCATTCTTTTCTTACTGTATATGCACCAACTATACCAAGCTTCTTTTAATTCTTAAGTATGCCATCTATTGGACCTCCAGGCCTTGCTTGGATACTCTACTCCTTTGGCTTTGCCTGATTAAAATTTTTGGAAAGACTTACTTACATTAGGTTAGGTGTATCTATCACATGTTTCCTTTACTTCTTCTATCAAAAAATTTACTGTTGATCCTGGAACAATATGGGGGTTAGGGGTGCTGACCCTCCCTGCCCCCCACAATCAAAAATTTGCATGTAATTTTTGACTCCCCCAAAACTTAACAGGCTACTAACAGCCTGTTGTTGACTGGAAGCCTTACTGATAGCATAAATAGCCAACTAACACATATTTTGTATATGTATTATATACTGTATTGTTAAAAAAAAAACTAGAGAAAAGAAAATTGTAAGAAAGAGAAAATACATTTATACTGAATTTACCAAAAAAAAAAAAAAAATCCATGTAAAGTTCAAACCATGTTCAAAGGTCAACTGTACTAAGTTTTATTATACTTTCTTGGCTATCTTCTCCATTTGACTGTAATCTCCTTGAAGGCAAGCACTTTATCTTGCTTACTAGTATATTCCTAGTGCATAGCATAATGCCATATGGGTGCCTGACATATAGCTGGTACCCAATGAATATATGACAGATGTAGAGGTTCTGAATTCCATTATTCTGCAATGGGTATGTTACTTTTATTTTGACAGTCAATTAACTTGGATATGAACTGTGAACTCTTTTTTGGGGGGGGGGGGTTCAGTCTCAGTTCGGATCTTTTGCCTTCACCTGAGCTGCTTTGAGTGTTCCATACATGTGTGGTTCGGCAGTCAGAGGTCTGGCTAGAAACAATTGGGGATCTCTTCTCTGACTCTTTCCCTTTTGGGGTTCCCCTGCTCTCTTCAGTAGCCATGGTTCCCAGGCTTCAATTTTCTGGTTCCTGCAGTGGAGGAGACTTTTGTTTTCCACCAGGCTATACCTAGCCCCAGGCTAAAAGCTCCAAGATAGGTGAACTTACCAACATTTCATCCAGCCCTCTCCTCCTCTCCCCTGAGCATGTACTCTCTCAGCAGAGTTGGTCTTTTCTTTCTACTCTCCAGTGCCTCAGGGAGCTGCGCCCAGGTTCTTTAGTTGTTTTCTGTGGGAGAATCCTCTCGTAACCGGATCTCAGTACCCAAACTGGAAGAGCTACTTCATGGGGTTTTATGAATGAAAAACAGGATGGTGCTTTATTGTTATTAAAATATATATAAGGAAAAGCTCACAAAATACAAATGCAGAGTTTAACAGTTATCATAAAGCAAACACCTTTGTATCCCCACCCAAGTTTTTTTTTTTTTTTTTTTTTAAGATTTTATTTATTTATTGGACAGAGAGAGACACCGCGAGAGAGGGAATACAAGCAGGGGAGGGGGAATGGGAGAGGGAGAAGCAGGCTTCCCACTGAGCAGGGAGCCCGATGTGGGGCTCTATCCCAGGATCCTGGGATGATGACCTGAGCCGAAGGTAGACGCTTAAGGACTGAGCCACCCAGGCGCCCCATATCCCCACCCAAGTTAATAGGATTTTGCCAGCACTCCAGAAGCACTCACTGTGCCTGTCTCCCCAACTCCTCATCTTCTCCCTAGGTAACTGTTATCCCGACCATCACAGTCATCCTTTTCTTGCTCTTCTTTATAAAAGTGCCATTTATAAATGCATTTCTAAACACTGAAGTTCTTTTTATAGGTCAGGTTTTTCAAGCTACAGTTTATATACAGTAAAATTAAATCTTTAGAAGTAAACATTTAAATGAGTTTCTGTGTATACAGTTGAGTAACCACTACCATGATCAAGATACAGAATACTTTTATCTTCCCAAAAGTTTCCCCCAAATCTCTTTTGTAGTCATTCCCCTCTCCCAACCTCTATACCTGGGTAACCACTTATATAATATCTTTTCTGATAGTATTGCTTTTTACTGTCCTTTAGTAGGAAAGTCTTTTGCATCTGAACTTTTTCACTTAGCATAATGCTTTTGAGATTCATCCATGTTATTGCATCTATCACTAGTTTATTTTTGTTTATTGCTGAGTAGTCTTCCATTGTATAGATGTACCACAACTTATTTATTCATTCAACAGTTGATGACATTTGAGTTGTTTCTGGTTTGGGCTATTATGAATAAAGCCGCTATAAATATTCACATATATACTCTTTGTATAGACGTATGCTTTCATTTCTCTTGTGCAAATTCCTAGGAGCAAGAGTACTGAGTCATATGGTATATGTTTAAGGTTAAAGAAACTAACTTCCAAATGGTTTTCAAAGCAGCTGTACATTTTACCATTCTCACCAGCAATATTGGAGAGTTCTAGTTTCTCTGCAGGTGTGTAGTGGTGTATTATTGTGGTTTTAATTTGCATTTGCCTAATGACTAATGAAGTTGAATATCTTTTCATGTGTTTGCTACCCATATATCTTCTTTGATGAATTATCTATTCTAATTTTTTGCCCATTTTTTTCATTGGATTGTTTGTCTTATTTTGAGTTATAAGATTTCTTTGTATATTCCAGATAAAAGTTCTTTATCTAGTATGTATTTTAAAAATATTTTATCCTAGCCCATGGAATGTCTTTATTTTCTTATCTTTCAAAAAGCACAAATTAATAATTTCAGTGAAGTCTTATGTTTCTTTTATGCTTAATGTTTTTTGTGTTTTTAAGAAAAATTTTTCCACCCCCAAATCAAAAGATTTTCTCCTGTATTTTTTCTAACAGTTTAAAAAGTTTTAGGTTTTACATTTAGATTTATAATCCATTTTCAAGTTAATTTTTGCATATGGTGTGACAATAAGGGTCAAGGTTCATTCTGTCGCATCTATATACATATATGTAATCTATAGATTATATATATTGTCCTTCTGAACTCATTTTTGTGCTCCATTCATTTATCTGTCCATTTACCAATACCACACTATCTTCATTACTATGGCTTTGTACTATCTTATGAAATTAGGTGGTGTGAGTTCAACTTTGTTCTTATTTCTCAAAACTATTTTTTTCTGTTCTAGATCCTTTGCTGTTTTATAATAAATCTAAGAAATACCTTATAAAATTCTTCAAACTTTTTGCTGGGATTTTGATTGGGATTATGTTCACTCTGTAGATCAATTTAGGAATGATTTGCTCTTAACAATATTGAGGCTTCCCATCCATGAACATGGACTATAATTTCATTTAATTATATCTTCTTTGATGTTGCACAGGAATGTTGTATAGTTTTCTGTGTACAGTATCGTAAATATTTTGTCAGATTGTCCCTATTTGTTTTTTTATGCTGTTGCAAATGATATTTTTAAAATTTTAATTTCTAGTTATTATATAGAATTGTATATACTGAACATGTATTCTGTGACTTGGTATTTAATCATTCCAATAGCATTTTGTAGATTCTTTGAGGTTTTCTACAGATGATCATATCATCTGTGGCTGAAGACAACTTTATTTCTTTTTTCCAATTTATATACTTTGTGTTTATTTTTCTTTACTTACTGCACTGGTTAGGTCCTCTGGTACAATGTTAAACACAAGTGGTAAGAGTAGACATCATTGCCTTTTCTAGATCTTAGAGAGAAGACCACTTTTTTCCATTTAGTATGTTGTTAGCTGTAGATTATAGTTGAGCTTTTTTTAGGATGAAGAAATTCTTTTGTTTTCCTGCTTTTCTGAAAATTTTGATCATGAATGGGTATTGAATTAATGCTTCTCTGCATGCGTTGAGATGATCATATGGTTTTCTTCTTATTCTTTAATTTGTTAATATGCTGAATTACATTCACTTATTTTGAAATGCTGTTATCAGACCAGATTGGGCACCAACCTTACTTTCCTGGGATAAATAACAGTTGGTCATGATCTATTTATTTTTTCCATATTGCTGCTGGTTTTTTCCCCCTATAATAAGTCTTAAAAATAAAAAAACTTAAGATTTATTTATTAGAGTGTGCATGAGCCCGGGGTGGGGGGGAGAGGGAGGGTTGGGTGGAGAGGCAGTGGGAGAGGGAGAGAATCTCAAGCCGACTCCCTGCTGAGTGCGGAGCCCAAACAGGACTTGATCCCAGGACCCTGAGATAATGACCTGAGACGAAATCAAGAGTTGGACATTTAACCGACTGAGTCACCCAGGTGCCGCTTTCCTAGCTCTTTAAAGATATAACATTATATAAGTTTAAGGTATACAAAGTGATGATTTGATACACGTATATGTATTGTGAAATGATAACCACAGTAAGGTTAGTTAACTGTGTGAGGTGATGGATGTGTTAACATTTTTCATGTGTATTTGTGATGAGAACTTTTAAGATCGACTTTCTGGGGCGCCTGGGTAGCTCCAGCCAGTTGAGCGTCAGACTCCTGGTTTCGGCTGGGGTTGTGATCTCAGGGTCATGAGACCAAGGCCCATGTCGGGCTCTGTGCATAGCATGGAATCTGCTGGAGATTCTCTCTCTCTGCCTCTCCTTCTGCTTCTCCCCCTGCTCACATGCATGCTCTCTCTCTGTCTCCCTAGAATAAATCAATAAGATCTTAAAAAAAAAAAAAAATTTTCTTAGCAACTTTCGAGTATACAAACAGTATTGTTAACTATAGTCACTGTGCTGTACACTGGAATTGGATCCCCAGTTTGTACCCTTTGACCCCCTTATCATTTTCCCCATACCCTCATCCCTGGCAACCACTATTTCACTTCCTGTTTTTGTGAATTTGGGGGGTTTTAGCTCCCACATATATGTGATATCCTATAGTATTTGGCTTTCTCTAGCTGGCTTATTTCACTTAGCATAATGCTCTCCAGATTCATCCATGTGGTCACTAATGGCTGGATTTCCTTCTTTTTTATAGCTGAATAGTATTCCTGTATGTGTGTGTGTGTGTGTGTAAATCATATTTTGCTTATCCATTCATCCATGTTAGACATTTATAGTTTTCATGTCTTGGCTATTGTAAATAATACTGCAGTGAACATGGGGATATGGGTATCTCTTCAAGCTAGAGATTTCATTTCCTTTGGATATATAATATATACCCAAAAGTGGGATTGCTGGATCAATTCTGTTTTTAATTTTTTGAGGACCCTCCATACTGTTTCCCCTAGTGGCTGTATCAGTTTACATTCCCACCAAAGGGGTTCCTGTTTCTCCCTATCCTGGCCAACACTCATTATCTTTTGTGTTTGTGATAATAGCTAATCTTAACAGGTGTGAGGTGATATCTCATTGTAGTTTTGATTTGTATTTTCTGGATGATTAGTGATGTTGAGCATCTTTTCATGTACCTGTTAGTCATTTTTATCTTCTTTGGATTAATATATGCATGGTATATCTGTTTGCATTTATTTACCTCAACCTGTATATATGTCTATTTAAAGAGAGTTTTTATAGACAGCATAGGTCTTGCTTCTTTATATCCAACTTGACAATGTCTGTTGTTAAATTGGAATGTGTAGTCCATATAAATTTGCTGTAGTTATTGATACTTATGTTTTTTATGCTTACCTATATATTATTTGTGTGATGCATTCTTACAGTTTTTCCATTCATTGCTATAATTTTATTGTAAGGCTGTACTACTTTAATTACACTGGTAGATATATGGGTTATTTCTGAATTCTGGCTGTAACAAACAGTGCTATGATGAACATGGCTGGACATGTCTCCAGATGTATATGTGCAGAAAGTTTTCCAGAATTTATACCTAGGAGTAGAACTGGTAGGCCATTTGTCCATATCTTCCAACTTTACTAGATTTTGCTGAACTGTTTCCCACAGTGGTTTTGCCAATTTACACTCCCACCACCAAAATCCCTTTTGCTCAGTATCTTCACCAGTACTTCATACTGTTAAGAGTTAAAAATGTTTCCAGTGTAGTGGTTGGTTGGCAGTGTTACGGTGCTGGAGATAAAACAGTTAACAATAAGCATCACCAAAATCTCTGTCCTCATTAAACAAACATTCTGTGGTGGTATTGTCCCATTTTTGTTTGTTTTCTGTGGGAGATTTCATCTCAGTGCCAAGTCTCAAGTTTTTCATCTGTTTTATGGCAACATTTACTTAGTGTTTCGTCTATTTAATAAATTTTGCTACTTTTAACCTAATTTTTTCCTAGTTACTTGTATTGCTGTTATGCTCGTTTCTTTGTTGCTCCTTTTTTGTTGTTTTTTTCTTTTTTAAATCACTAGTCATTGAATGAGTTGAATTTCCTTGGAATAGTGATTGGTAGAAAGATCTTATGTTGGAGGGGGTTCTGGAAGAAGTTACGGATTTGCTGGTTTTTTTTACAATGTTTCTGCTGCCATATAGCCTTTTTACGAATAAGCTAGTCCCATGATTTTTTTTTTTTTTCTTGATATAAATCTAGCAGATCTGTTTGTCTCATAATTCCAATGAAAACGACAGTGTGGGGTTGTCATTGTTGGTGGGTTTTGTTCATTCCTTTTTCTTCTTTGTTTTTAAGTTTTTCCAGGAGAAGAAAGTGCTCACTTACTTAGCCATGCTGATGTCAGAAATCTTGATTGACTTTGGTATTAACTGTAACTTAATTTTTTTCTACTTGCAGTTATAAAAAGTTAATGTCTCTGAAAATCACTGATACTGATATAAGACCGAAGATCAGTTTAAAATTTAGTACAAAAGGTACTGTTTTATTCTTCTATGCCTCCTCTTAAAAACTGTATTAAAAGTTTTGACTTGCTCTGTACAGTATCATGCCATTAACAACCATGTGTTTATGTTTATCATTCACTGGGCTTGGGTTTACACTAAGTAAGCATCACTTGGCATAGGCTGGAATTCATGGACAGAAATCAGCAGGTAAATGGGTCTTATATTACCTTGGCATCCTGTAGAGAAGTCTGCTAGGTCTGGTGTATATAGCTGTGACTACACACTGAGATTGGACTCCAGCAGGTGTTCCCTACCAATGCCTCCTCTCCTGTTGCATTCCCTGTTAATAGAGCTAAATGGAAGGCATGAAGATTTTGGGCTTAAGGCCATGTAGTCTAAACTTAGGTGCCAGTTGTTTAGGAGCATGCTAAGAAATGCCAGCCTCTCAGCACTTGGATACTTTAGGGCTCCTAGTCCCATGGAAGAATAGTTGGGTGTCAGTCGTCCTTGCTAGGGGGAAATGAATGTTCTTGATCCCAGCCAGTGTTTTATTTGGCTGCCGAGAGAAAGCTCCTTGGGTCATTTGCTTTGTAACCTTGCTTGCCTCCATGGTGTATGTCAAGTATATCAAACCAGAATATTAGTTTTAAAATTTCTTGAAACATAGAATCATGAAGGATAAAATAATAAAGCTGCATTTTATGATAAATATGTATTTGGGTATTCATACAAAAAATACACCATCATATATCAAGTTCTTATTACTTTCTAATTCACCTCAGTCTACTTTCTTCCTTCGGAAGTGATATTAAGCCAGAAAAATACAAAGTAGTTCATTCTCATGCTTTATTCCATTTCACTGATGAAATATCTAAATAAACTTAGTCATTTATTTTTTGAGAGGGTAAGAACATCATCATGAGGTCAGTGTGTCTGAAACTTTAACATATATTTAAATCATCTGGTGATTTTGTTACAACGTAGGTGCCAATTCAGTAGCTCTGGGTTGGGGGCGGTGGCGGGAGGGATGCTTAGATTCTGCATTTCTAACAGGCTCCTGTAGCGATGCCACTGCTGGCCTGTGGACTACACTTTGAAGAGTAAGGCATTAGGTCACTTTATGTTTTTTGAAATAGTTCTGTATTGTCTAATATGGTAGCCACTAGCCATATGCAGCTATTTAAATTAAGAAAAAGATATAATTCAAATTCAGTTCGTCAAAAAAGCAGCATTTCCAGTGTTCAGTGGCTAGTAGACCAAATCTAAAACATTTTAATCACAGAAAGTTCTACTGGACAGTGCTGATTAAAATAAAATATAGTTGCTTAAATAAAGTATAATTAAACACTGGCAGTTACCATTCTTGACAATCTTCAGAATTTTCAAAGGCCTAATATTTTTTATGCCATTTGGTTGCCAGAGCCATTTACTTGAACAAAACCCTGGATGGTTGAAAGGCTTCTGTGGTGATTAGTCTTTGTGATTTCTTTTGCTTGGGAATATATTGTTTTTTGTTGGGATTTTTTGACAGCTAGACAGCAGCATGATTGTTGAGCACTGGCTGTGGCAAAGCACTGTATTCTACTTCATTCTTTTGGAATAGTCCCTGTCCTACAGGAGCTTAGGATGTAATACGAGAGACCACATAGAAAAAGAGCATTAATGTGGAATGTTTGACTTCTCAAAATTCATTTTCAGATGAAATGCCTATCTTCAAACTTGATTATAATTATTTCTATCACCTGCTTCATATAATTATCATTTCTGGTACTGACATTGTCCGGCAAATATTTGATGAGGCTATGCCACCCCCTCTTTTGAAAAAAGAGCTTCTTATACACAAGAATGTGCTGGAACCCTACTACAACCATCTTTGGACCAATCACCCTTTGGGTGGAGCATGGCATCTGCTTTATCCCCCAAACAAGGAGCTACCACAGTCCAAACAGTTTGACTTGTACCTCCTCTTAGCTCTCATAAAACATTTGAATGTATTCCCTGCACCCAAAAAAGGCTGGAATATGGAACCACCATCTTCTGATCTCTCTAAGTCTGCAGACATCTTGAGGCTGTGCAAATACAGGGATATCCTCCTTAGTGAGATTTTGATGAATGGTCTCACTGAGTCACAATTCAATTCAATTTGGAAAAAAGTTTCAGATATTCTTCTGCGCCTTGGGATGAAGCAAGAGGATATTGAGAAAGTGAAGGAGAATCCCATTGAGAATATCTCCCTTGATTACTATCAACTGTCCATCTACCTAGGCATACCAGTACCAGAAATCATCCAGAGGATGTTATCCTGCTATCAACAAGGTACAAAATAATTACTTACTTCAGCTGGTAAACCTTCACTGAGTATCTGCCATGTGCCAGACACAGTGCTAAGGGCAGGAGATTCAGTGAGCTCACATTCTTGGGAGGATAGACTCATCAAGAAACTAATAAAAATCATAGTGCTAGAGATGTTCCAGAATCCTACCCTAAGAGAGTCCAAAAAAGCTTTCTGGAGAGTGTAATATTTAAGGAATTCTTAAATGACATGTAAAAGTTAGCCCAGTGGAGAAGATGGAGAAGGACATTTCAGAAGGAAACAAGAACAAAGGTATAGAAACAAAAATATATTGTAATGCAGGAACTAAAAAGTTTTGTCTTATTGAGATCAAAGTAGGGGAAAGTTAATAAAGAAAATACATTCAAGAGGATTTCTCTTGACATGTCGAGGAGTTTTTGTTTTCAGAAAGGAATTGTTGAAGATTTTTAAGTAAAGGAGTTTTATCACTACTATAAAATTAAGGAAAACCATGGAATACAGGTACTGTGTTTCAAGGATACCCTTTTAGATAGCAGGAGTATATGTTTTCTCCTCCTTTCTATCAGAACCATGACATTTAGTTTAAAAGTTTGGCAGCTATCCATTGGCCATGCCCATGGGTAATTAAAAAAAATAAAATAAAATAATGTTTATGCAAGTATCCAAGGTCAGCAGTAGCCATTCCCAGACATTGTCTCTTGATATGGGAAAGACTTCATATCTCCTCTTCCACATTCCTGGATAGCTTCTCATTTGTCGTCATGGGGAGTGGAGTTCAAGGCATGTCAGCATCACTGAAACCCGTACAGTGCTATTCTGGGTTACTTTTCCTGGTCCCCAAGTTATTAGTTGTATTACCTGCTGAGCAACTGATGACCACACTGATGCTATGTAACCGTACAACTTACCAGGTTTCCAGTAATTGTTGAACCGGTCCAGATTTTCTTCAGAGATAATTGCTAGGCCCCAATAATAGTCCTTTTACTAAGGTTCTGGGATACCATTTTTTTTCCTGCTTAACCTTTAGGAGTTTTCTTTGAGCATAAAAGAAGAGAATGCTGACTTTGATGATATGAGAAAGTCATGCAAGAACCCTTGACTTAAAATAAGAGACTTTTTTATATTTACTTTGAGATTTTTCATAACAAATGAGAATAAAGGTAATATTTGGGAAATACTTGAGCACTAAATAAATTCAAAGCATTTCAAGCAGTTCTCAGGTAGACTGAAAAACTTCCAAGTTTCTTTAATAGAGGCTTTCCTAGTATCTTATCTCTTTCCTAGTAGTTATTACAGTTGCTGTTTTCATTTGTTTGATTAATATCTACTGTTCCCACTAAATCACTGTAAAGTTGTCTTATTTCTTCACCATTCAATATCTAGAGCCTAATAGGGCCTGATGCATTGTAGATGCTTAATAATTATTAATAGGCAAGAGAGAGGAAGGACTGATCAGGATAATTCATATTGCTAAAAAAATGCTCAAACTTTCAATGGAGGTTTGCTTCATAATTGACTATTATTACTTCATGACCTTAGACTTTTTAAATTATAAGAATGTGCTACTTGTTTTAAAGTGTTTATATTCTAGGCATTATCTATTATGAACTATCAAAATTTTGTTTTCCTTTTCTAAACAGGAGTTTATAAGCTTTATGTTATAATCTAAAGATTATGCCTTGTTTAAACTGGATTCATGAGTGAAGCTAGTTGTTTTTACAGTTATAAAATTAATTGGTGCAAAAAAAATAATAAAATTAATTGGTGCAGCGTAAAAATCTTCTGGCTTTTCTTAGTCCCAGTCAGATATTTTTTGGTTGCATTTGCAATTGTACATCTTAAATTTTTTCTTTATGTATCATAGGAATTGCTCTACAGTCAATAACGGGCAGTCAACGTAAGTATGTTGAAAAACAAAATGCCTAGATGACCTTTCAACTTGGGACAGCTAGGGGATACTTACAGGCGTTTTACTTGGTCAGATAAACTGTATGATAAACTATAATTGTTTGTTATAAGCTTGGAAAATCATGTGGTCAAATTACTACTGGTCAGCTGAATGTAGTATGAGCCTTTTTACTCTGCTTTGGTCTTAGTGCATGTGCTCCAGGATATACCCATAGTTTGTTAACTTTTTTTAACACATTGGATACTTTAACAGGCAGAAATGTCTGCCTGCTTGCTTTACCTGCTCCTATATGCTACTCTTTAGCTTATGTAGCTTTGATCTGGTGAACTGTGCATTGTTAAACTATATACTCTTTTTGCCAGGTGGTGAATTGCTGATTTTTTTAATTTCCATTTTTGTGCTCTTGTGGATTTTTTTTTAATGCAATTCATATCGTGCAAGTAAAATTATACATAGGAAAACAACACCATGGGTTTTGTTTGGAGTAAAATTATACTTAAATAATAAAAATGTTTAAGTTAGAAATAAAAAATGTTCATTATCCTAAAATTATACTAGTTTTAGTATTAATAGGGTCAATGTCAGGATCCTCAAAAACTTAGTATTTAGAGTCGACTTAAGTTCTGAATATCTAATATTTAGAGTCACTTAAGATAACAGTATTTACTGATATTTAGAGTCTACTTAAGATAACAGTAAAGTATCAACATTTGGGTTTGTACTGATTGGTTCTAGGCTAATATCTGTACCTATTTGGTCATTGATAAATGGGCATTTCATTTTCATCTAGTGATGGAACAGAGTAAGATGTCTTCTATTTCTGTTTCTGGGATGGTGTTTTATGGTGGGGGGGGCGGGGAGGAGGGATTTGTTTATAATAGGATTTGTTTATAATTGAGGCTAAAACTGTATGCATCCTGATTTTGAGTGTTTTGTTTTTAACATTTAGGTATTGAAATAGAAGAGTTACAGAATGAGGAAGAAGAACTAAGTCCACCCCTCATGGAGTACAATATAAATGTGAAATCAAACCCTGAAATACAGTTAGCAGAAATGAATAAAGATGGAGCATCGATACCCAGTGAATCTTCAACAGAATCTATTAAAGATCTCCAGGAAGTATAAGCTCTCATTAATATTCAAATTAGAACTTAATCAGGGCCTTTAGTTTGTTGCGTGTGCTGTCCTTACAGCATCTCAGATGATCTTAGTTTGTTTGTCATAGTGTTTACACAGAGCTTGAATTGGAATGGTTCTTTCCCTAGTACTTCTTCCAAAATCTTTCCTGCCTTAACCGTTTATTTTGCCAGCATTTACTGAACACTTGTTATGTGCCAGGCACTATGCTAGATTTCTGAACATGTTTCTTCATCCTGAGTGATGGGAAGTTAATAGAAAGTAGAAGAAAGCATAATGGGGAACAGAAGAGAAAGAAGAAAACAGGGATATTTCAGTGCCATTTGCACAGGAGTAGAATTAAAATCATGCAGGATGGAATCTCTGTATTTCTTTAACAGTTATTATATGGTCACTAAGTTATTCCCAGACTTAATTTTTCCTCTTATGGACTTGAATATGTTGATTTTTTTAAAGTCCCTTCCTCCTTTGTTGCTCATGCATGCACATATGCAAATGAGGATCTGTGAGGTTTTTTTCTATAGCCTATTCATTGATATGTATTCCTTTATAGATCAATGATTTTTTCAAGAGCAGAAGACTGAGATTAAAATCAAAGTGAAAATGAAAATAATTTTCTGGGCACCTGGGTGGCTCAGTTGCTTAAGCGACTGCCTTCGGCTCAGGTCATGATCCTGGAGTCCCTGGATCGAGTCCCACATCGGGCTCCCTGCTCGGCAGGGAGTCTGCTTTGCCCTCTGACCCTATCCCCTCTCATGTGTTCTCTCTCATTCTCTCTCTCTCAAATAAATAAATAAAATCTTTAAAAAAAAAAAAAAAAAAAGAAAAGAATTTTCTATAGAATCTAGGAAGAAAATGTGATGTATAATATTAGAAGATAAAAGATTTCCATGGTTAGAGGAAATATATTTTGCAAAATAACTTATTGTGCAGTTTGAATTGCATATTAATTGATTTATTTCTTGTCAGGTTAAGAGTAAACCAAAGAAAAAGAAAAAGACTAAGAATAAAAAGGTAAGTGACTGCATTAGCATTATAATAGAGGGATGTCTAATTATGAACAGTTAGATTTAATACATGGATTTACTGTTAGAACTTAAAATTAATTCAAGTAGACATATAACATAAATGACTTACAATCATTATTGAATATGTGGCTGTAGAGAAGTCTATATATATTAGATCCTGAATGATTTAAACTTGCAGTGTGTCCTACTTCACTTCCCTAAATCACAATTATACATTTAAATATACAAATGAGAAACTCTGAAGTATTTGGAAATTTCATTAATTTCTGCATACTACTCTCATTTAAAAAATGCCTACTCAGTGTTTGAAAAACAGCTTCTCATCATATTTCTAGTGATATATTCAGAAGCATTTTTCAAAACCTTAAGAAATCTTGATTTTCTTCTTTGTGTCCAAGGCTCTCACCAATGCAGTAATGTACAAAAATGGTACAAATCAAGAAGCTTCATTCATTCCTTTTCTTTGTTTTGCCAGCTACAAAATAAACAACTTCTTGTTACTATCTATAACAGTTTTAGCAAAAAGTCTCTTAATTGCTTGGAAAATTACAAAGGAAAGTTGAGTCTTGTTTTGTTTTTGACTTAATTTTTTATTTAACTATGACTGTATTTCTGGAGCAATTTTGTTGTTGTTCAGAGCAAAATTGAAGGGAAGGTACAGAGATTTTCCATATATCTCTGGCCCCCACACATGAATAGCTTCCTCCATTATCAACATCCCCCAGCAGAGTGGTACATTTGTTACAATTGGTTAACCTACATTGACATATCATAATCACCCAAAGTTCATTTACATTTTGGTTCACTCTTGATGTTTGTAGATTCCTATGGATTTGGACTCAAGAGTTTTGTTTTTTGTTTTTATCAAGCATAGAGCTAACCATTATGCTTTGCAAACTTTATGGTGGGGGAAAAAAAAAGTTTTATTTTCTGGCCTGAAACATACACTTAAAATCTAGATGTACTCTGTAGATCATATTATAAACTCATAGTATTTGCCCAACTACAATCAGGTAAGCCCATGTTATCTAGTCTTTTGGAAGTATACACAAATTTTAATCATAAATGAAATTTAACACAACGAAGGGAAAGTTACAGAACACTTAGGTGAAGGGTAAAATAAAGGTTATTTATGCTCTGATGAATAAAATATCAATATCATTTTCATATTTATCATAACCATCATTTATTATAACTTACCATTTCATTTAAAAGTTATTTTGAAAATTAAGTTATGTTTTTAAAAGATAAATAAGAAGACTGACTTTTAGGCAATTCTTGTATGACAAAACACAACCTGGTCCATTATTTTAGCTGACATTTTTAAATTTTTGCCAAATATTAGTAAATCCCAGGTCTAATACTACATAAAGCTGGCCAAGTAAATACACAGTTGCCAGACCAAAGGGGTATAGTTTATCTCTTCCAAAAAGGTATATAGTTTTCTTCCAAAAAGTTAAAATATGGTTACTCAGAATCTCAATTTTAGTTCAGTGGAAAGTCCCACTTTTATGTCAAATTGAAATTAAACAGGGAATTAACACAATTGGAAATAAATGTAAACACAGCTCAAAACTTCACATGCTAGTAATATTGAAAATGTCTTATTAAATGTCAGAAAGTTTTTTTGTTATTTTTTACAACCTAAGTTTTTTTTCCAATTTATTTTATTAGAAGAAGTTGAGATACTTTGAGGATAATTTTATCAAGATAAGATTTGGACATTAGAAGAGAGATCTTATATCTTTTTTATCTGAATTTTAAAGTATAGGACCTAAAAATGCTGAAATTTTTGCATATGACTATTTCACATACTATAATCCTATTATACTTTGTTATTGTAGGTACAAAGAATTGTCTGGTTATAATATAAGCAACCAGTTGTAAAAAGCTAAGTCAATCACATTCTCTAATCAGGAGTTTCCTCATGAAAAATTCTAGCATACAGAAATTAGCTTGTGTTGTACAGAATAAGAACAAAGTCCCTATGAATGAAGTTGTGTCCTTTGTTAATGGTTTGTTCTGCAATATCTCTACCTAACATTAAGTTGAAGTCCTACAAAGATCTATCAGGGACTCTGGAAGAATATGATGAAAAAGTAAAATTTGTATAGCAAATAGAGGGAACAGTAGTGATAACTTGTAACTAGTAGATAAAGAGACTTTGTAGTTACTCTTTCTTCATTTAGGATTTTGTATTCAGCTTCTAATATGTCCAAATTATAAATAACTCTTTTGGGAGTTAATTAGATCCTCCTTCCTACTCCCACTTCCCACCCAGGGGAATTAAGGGTTAAGAATAGAAAAGGGAGATAAAGCAGATGGCAGAAGAATAGAAGGCTTTGTGATGAAGCCTTTGGGAAAAAAAAACATGGCAGGAAATAAATCTAGCCCCTCAAATTTGGTGTGCTCTCTACAGAAGGGAAGTTGCTGAGATGCATGTAGAACAGGCTGATGGCGTGTGTTGACAAGAAGTTGTTATAAGAAGAGCTAAAAGTTTCAGAAACTATTCACCTATACTAGGTATTCATTATTAACAACCAGATGTCTTTCCAGTCAGTTATTCAGGTAAACTGGAACCAAGGTAGGAGTTGATAATTCTAAATCATAGAATCAGATTGGCACTGGACATTGATCAGACATTGAAATGCAAAAATCCATTTAGTATATAGAAATAAACAAAACAAATTTGTAAGTACGTCATGGAATCTGGGGAAGAAGACCCTGAAGTTTCTTGTAAATAAGAGGTGGTAGTAGAAGTTAATACTCTAATTTATATAAAAGTAATTAATACTCTTAATGAAGGGTAATGTATAAAAGTAATTAATACTCTTAATTAGTATGTGTTGTCATTGATACTACATACAGGTAGTCATTGATACTACATACAGGTAGTATCAATGACTACGTGTATGTAGTATGTTGCCTTTATAGTTTTACTTTAATGAACTTAAAATTTAGGGTTTTTTAACCTTTCCTTCTAATTGTGATCTCCCTGACACTTTTTCTATAAGATTTCTTAATATATCAGTTTGCTTTTACCTTATGTGTAGATTTTCAAGAACTCTGGTAGTTAGTAGTATTCCATAAAGGAGAATTACACATACTCTGTCCCAAGATTATCAGTAGGTGCAAACTCGGCCCCAGTACTTATTTCCAATATCTGAATCAATAATTTTTAAGTTGTCTTATGACTCAGTGGTGGATTACAAAATCAATTTAGTGGGTCACAACTACCATTTTATAAAATAAATAGAATTAGTAGGAATAAAAAAAAGCTTCAGAATTCATCACATAGTGTCTTAGTTCAGGCAGCTATAACAAACTACCATGGACTGGGTGGTTTAAGCAACAAACATTTATTTTTCACAGTTTTAGAGGCTGGGAAGTCCAAGATCAAGGTGCCAGCAGATTAGGTGTCTGGTGAGGGCCCTCTTAGTTTGCAGATGGCATTTTGCTCTATCATTACATGGTGGAGAGAAAGAGAGCACACATGAGAGCAAGAGATCTAGCTCTGGGGTCTCTTATAAGGGCGCTAATTCCATCATGAGGACTGCAGAGCATCATCTAAACCTAATTACTTTCCAGTGGCCCTACCTCCAATTACCATCACATTGGGGAATTAGGGTTTCAGCATATGAATTTGGGAGAGGCACAAACATGCAGTCCATATAACACATACTATGGGTAAAGTTTATTTACCCATAGTAAATGGAACTTAAATTTCAGTTTTATACTTAGTACAAAGATCTATATATAAGTGCATTTACATCATGACATAAAATATATTTCTTATTTTGATTGTGGTCAAAACAGTTTGAGAAACACTGATCTAAATCTATGCTGTACGAACAAGTTGATATTACTATGCTGTACAGACAAGTTGATATAGATTACTAATTCTTGATGCTGTTTTTCAGAATAAGGAATCAAAAGAAGAACAAGTGTAAGTATTGGTTTAATTTTTCAGTTTTTCTTACTATTTTCAAAGTGTGCTTTGCCGGTATGACACAGCCTTGCCTTGAAAAGTGTTCTAAAAGAAGAAGGTACAATCCCTTGTCTTAATAACTTGTCACTTTTTAACAGAGTGATAAAAAGTAAATTATCATTTACTTTGGGAGAATAGAATCTCTCACTGTTTTTATATAAGGCTACTCAAGAGTCACACAGTACTAACTGCTTTTTTTTCAAAGACTAATTTGGATCCAGCATAAAATCTTTTAAAATATAGTCTAGGTTGTGGTTAGCCAAATCTAATTTAGGTAAGATTTAACCTTAAAGAACAGATCATTGTTTGTCCTAATGACCTCTTTTATGGAAGAGTTTATTTTGATTTGGTTTGTTTAACCCACAGCTTATTGTTGTTTTTAATCCCAATTGTTAACTATGAATTTGGAACCTTAACTGGCAGCCTTTTAATGTCTGAAGCTCACTGTTATTTGTACAACTATGTGATTGATGACAATGTAGTAGAAGATGGAAGTAGGGGAGACAATGAAGAGATTCATTATACCCACCAAAAAGTTTGTTAATTGAATATCGGTAACTTTAGAGAACTCACTGTGAGGACATAAATTATTAAGATATACCCACCAAAAAGTTTGTTAATTGAAAATCGGTAACTTTAGAGAACTCACTGTGAGGACATAAATTATTAAGATATCTTTAAAATGGTAGCAAGAACATATTTTAACTTTAAAGTCATCACTTGTAGTTGATATTTTCTCACTGATAATGGCATGATCTACTTGGTAAGTAAATGGTTCATCATCCAAGATGGGTTTTCATGTTCTCTGTCAAGTCAGCAAGTTGAGCAAAACAATACTAGAGCAATAGTTTTTTGATTTTGGCTTTTTTCAAGCCAGGTCTAGGTGCCATAAAAATAATTTACTGAAGAGTGAAACAGTGCTATCAATCATTTTGCTTATTTTACCTACAGTGTAGACCCAAACCTGGATGATCATCAGATTACCCAGGGACCTTTGTTTTCATATGAGAATTTTCAAATATGCATAAAAGTAAAGAGAATAATATGCATCTACATTAATATATGTAACTGGCATCCTGATTCAGTAATTACAGTGTTTTTCCACGTTTGCTTCATTCTTCCCTTAACATTTTCTTCCTTGTTGAAGTGTTTTCAATCCTAAATTTCATGTAATTTTACCTCTACATGCTTCAGTTTGCATCTCTTACTGATAGCATTTTCCTATATTATCACAATGCTATTATTAAACTTTAAAAATCTAGGAATAATCTTCTGGAGCTTTTCAAAAATACAAATTCTTCTATATACTTAGAATTGTCGGGGTACCTGCAAAAATAATAATTTTAAAAAAACTCCAGATAATTTGAAAAATTAATTGGGTTTGGGAACCAGTGGTCTACACAAGCAGTTGATTTCATTGAACTTTCCAAAATGTTTGAGTCATTCTAGAATACCTTAGTGATACCTAATGACTATTTTATAGTGTTTTACAAGTTACTCTGCAAGCATTAGATGCCATTGTTTTCTAAGTTTCAGTGCCTAAAAGAAGTAATAATGCATCCTAGAGTTATGTATTTTCTTTCTATTCACTAATCAAGTCATTTATGTCATGTTACAAGTAAAAGTACTATTTATTGTTACCATTTAATGAGATTAAGAAGGAAATTTATAAGTAGTAGGCCAATTTGAAAGGATAGTAGCATGCCTTTAAATTTTTAGACATAGGTATAGAAATGATTTGTCATTGCACTTACAGTATTTTCATTCTTTTTTTAGTAGTTTTCTAGTTACTAAAATCCATGTTATCACTGCAGTTTCTTTTTTTTAAGTCCTATTATGAAAGAAACCTCCATTTTTAAATCTACTTTATGTTGCTGTTTGCAGCCCTCTGTCTAAATGTACACTGGACCTAAGCAATGAAATTGATTAAACCAACCTACTTGTCAAGAATGCTGAGATGATAAAATAATAGAGCAGATGTGATGTTTATCAATATTTCCCAAAGTATTATTTCCCTAAAAGTAACTGGTATTAATTATTATAATTTGAAAAATAAACTCCATGGTCTCATAATTCTTGAAAACATTAGGATGAACAGAAGAGTACCTCGAATGAGTGCTATTTCATATATGCTAAATAAATTCATTGTGAATTGTCAGGAGAAATACATAATATGAGCACTGTTTAAACTTTCTTTGGCCATGAACCCTTCTGATGCTGAACATTTCATGAGACCAGTACAGTATTAACTTGGGAAGCAATGACTTAGATGAAAAACACTCAACCATTATAAAAAATTACACTGATTATATCACCACTGTAGCCCAACTATGATAGGAAAGGAAGAACAGTTGAAGAAAGAGCAAGCAAATCAACACCCAGTCAGTGGATTTATGAAAGATGATGCAAGTGATATTCAAGAGGATTCTGCAACTGAAGACAAGTTCTATAGCCTGGATGAATTGCATATTCTGGACATGATAGAGCAGGTAAGCCTGATCGGACAGGGTACAGCCCTGCCTTCGTTCTTCCAGAAACAGTTGTTAACCTTTGTTTTTGCCATGACTCTTTGAACAACATGTTAGCCTAGTGGTCTGTGCTGTATTTGTGAGGAGCAAATAAAAACAGGAAGAGGGAGGGACAGGATTCGTAGAGGGGAAAAAGAACCTTAGGAGCTGAAATTTTTCTCTTTAGCCCTCAGACTATTTCCTGGCTTTAATTATTAGGCAGTGTTGATCACAAATGTGTTCCTTGTGAAAGATTTTCAAATACCACAAGGGAAAAAAAGACTTGGCTTAATCCCATTGATTTAATTTTGAGAAAAAGAGTTTTATAAAACAAAGGTACGTTCATTTTTAAAAAATTAAACTGGTTGTAGACATGACATGTTTACAAAAATATTAATGTACAACAGTGTTTTGTTTTGTTTTCCTTTGGTTCCTTTCCTAGTAGTGGTCACTTTGGGAATGATGTACCTATATGTGAAAGTGATTTAAGTGCTCAGTAGAACACTAAATCAGACAAAGCATATGACTTTTTTTTTTTTTTAAATCACTTGATTTAAATGAGAATTCTATACTAAGGTAATTTAATGATAATTTCATGAAAAGGTAATTTAATGATAACCTATTCCATAGTATGTAGGAATATTGATTGTCTAAGGGTACATTTAGTAAAAATGATTCCCTGGCTGATAATTGTCATAATAGAATACTTATATTTTAACTGAAATGACATAGTCTCAGCTTTGGATTTCAGACTAAAGTTTAAATATGGGGCCTTTGGTTTTCATTCAATAGTTATGAGAGCTCCAAAATACAATAAAAATATGACACACATTTTGGAAAATGTTTATGCCCTCATTTATTCAAAAAACATTTAGCACTTGCTTTTTGTCAAGAGCTATGCTAAGACATGGTCCCTGTGATCATAGTGTTTACAATCCAGTGGAGAAGTTGAATATTAAGCTAAGGTGGTACTGAGTAATAATTAAGTGTTTGGGCACTTCAGGCTGCCTGAGTTAGAATTCTGGCTTCTCCACTTTCTATGTAACCTTGGTAAGTTACTTAACTCAGTTTTATCATCTCTAAAATGGGAATAATAAGTGCCTACCTTATACGGTTTTTACGACAATAAAGGCATTACCAAAAAAAGCTTAAAAATATGGTAAGCATGCACATAATGTTATCCAGTAGTAGTAGCTGTAGACAAGTAACTGTGGGATTGTTTAGTGATTGCTGTAATTGGGGAGAGGTGGGTTTATCTGCACTAATCGGAGAAGTGATGTTTGCATTGAGACATAAAGCATGAGTAGGAGTTAGATGGCAACTTTAAATCCCCTTTAACTAAAGAATTAGTGTTTTTTTAGAGGAAAATAAGGCATGCATATTCCATTTGCTCATTAGGGCTCAACCAGTAAAGTAACTGCAGAATATGGAGAAACTGAGAAGGAAAAGCTTGCTCGGCAGCGGCAGCTTTATAAATTGCACTATCAATGTGAAGTAAGTACTTTTGCCATTCTGTCTGAAGCCAGTAAGAAGTAGTTGAAATGTTCAATTTAATGGTAGTTTCTTTTTTTTTTTTTTTTGAAGAACCCATTTTTTTTTCTTTTAATATATGGTGACTTGAACAGAATTTACTATGAAGTAATATTTTTCATTGATCAGGATTTCAAAAGACAGTTGAAAACAGTGACTTTTCGGTGGCAAGAAAACCAAATGCAGATTAAGAAGAAAGACAAAATCATTGCATCTCTGAACCAACAAGTGGCTTTTGGAATCAATAAGGTTTCCAAGTAAGTGCAAATCTGTTGGTAACAGGAAATTCTGGATTTGCTCCTTTATGAACACGATCTTTAAACGATAATCCCTGTGTAGCCACTAGGTGGCATTGTGACTACACATTAGGAACTGCCGACTTACAGGCCTGCACTTGCTTAAAAACCAAATATATTTTTGCCTTGCCAGCTGGATTGAGAAATAAGCAAATGCTCACTCTATATATCAAACCTTATATGTATTGGCTGAACAAGTGTGATTATAATAGAATTACATGAGAAATAGAATTAACTTTCAGGTCATGATTCTAATTTATAAAAATATGACCAATGATTTGCTCTTTCTTTATGGCATATAATGAATTCATTCCTCAGAGACACCCATGAAATCACTTGAATGCTTTTTTGTATTGGTCTCTCAGAGTTCCTGTGTTCCAAGACTAAGAGATTAAAAATGAATCAAATTCCTGAAGACTTCCCTCCCAACATTGCCTTAACAATCTTAAGTATTAAATACCTAAGACTAAAAATTCTGACTTAATAGAGGAAAATGAGTGTCTTGTTTTATTCTTTTTGTACTAATAACTGTCTCCAATCATATCAGTTGAAATAATATGATTTGTAATACATTATTTTAATACATAGTAATGCTACAGGATGCCAGTTGTCCATGAAGTCTAATTTGAAATCCATTAGTTCTTAGACTGCTAATAGGGTGAATAGACAGGTTCTAGGTAATATCTTAGAGTAAGGAGTCCACAATATCAATTATGAAATTAGAGAAATATTTGGCAAAGATTTAGGTCTTAAATTTTCTCCCATATATATCATCCAACCTTAAAGGAATTTTTGAGAGGAACTGGATGCCATAGTGCTGGCAACATAATCTCAGTTAAAAACACTTTGACTTAGCCCTGCTGGAGTTAGATGCTTCAAGTTCAAGGAGGTGAGGACCTAAGATGGCTTTGGCAAATCTAAGCTGAATACAGTCACTTAAGAATCCACACTTAGGGGTTCAAAACTTTGTCTTTTAGCTTGGAAGGCAATGACCAATCCATATGTATGTTCTATCAGAGATCAGAAAAGTAATGCCATCCATGCAGATGAGCTGCTGCCTTTCTCCTTTACCGTCTGAGGATATCCTTCAACTCTTACAGCTGACCTAGGCACCCTTTGTATGCTTGAGACTACAAACAGACCATTTTAGGGGATGCATATGTCTTCATGCAAGGAGCATTCACCAGACATTTATTGGGGGCCCATTATGTGAGAAGAATTATGTAAGGCACATACCAAGATAACAAGACATGTCAGACATTGTGAGCTAATGGAGAGTACAGATTAATTTGTTTAAAATTACTTAAAACAGAGGGACTTCTAGTTCTGCCAAGAAATAGTAGTAGTATTCCTTGCAAATCTTCCTACTTACAACTAAAACCCCTGGATATAACACAACAAACAAGCAGAGGAAGACTCTAAAAGGTAGAAGAAAATAGACTATCTCGAGACCTTGGTACTTGAGGAATGATATGGCAGTGACTTTTCTTATTGCCTCCCATATATCCTAGATGGGGTACTGCAGAAATCACCAACCTGGAACAGCCAGTAGGTAGAGAGGGAAAAGCTTCGAGAAAAGCTTGTTTCCTCTATCCAAAGGATCAGGAAAAGGAAGATATAATAACAGAAAGCCTTTTTGGCAGTATCCACCTACTCTAGTCAAGCTCCAGTGGTCCCATACCACCCCTTGGAAGCAAGTATTGTGTTCCAACATGGCAGATAGCAGAAACCAGATTTCCTTGCTGGAGTAGTATCAGCAGTACTGAGCATGCAGCTGGTCTCCCATTCCCCACCAGGCAGGTAGTGTTGTGGTTGCTCTGCCAGGATATTGTCAGTGTGATCCAGCAGCAAGCTAAGCCTCTACCTCTGCCCAGCATCAGTGAGACTTAGGGTAACCTGAGGTGGAACTGGTCAATACTAGGTATCACCTGTACTCTCCTCATGGGGAGCTGAGTTGCCACCCCTGGGGCTAGTTGGCACTCTCTTTTCTCCCCTCTCCCCAGCTGGTGCCAGAGGGGCCCAACATGGATCTCCTGCTCTCCACCCTGTAGCAACAAAGCAATGTGAGTCAGTCCTCTGCTTTCTCCTTCCCTGGTGTCAGTAGGGCCCAACAGGAAGCTGATCTTACACTCTACTCAGAGGCAAAAAGCAGAATGAGTTGGTGCCCCACTTTCTTGGGAAATGTCAGTGGGACCAGGGAGGAACTGAACTTCTACACCACTCATCTGCATTGAGACAGAGTGTCAGTGTCTGATTTTGGTGGGATGTTGTTAGCAGGGCTGAATGGGAAGCTAAACATATACACTCAATACACATTCACTCAGTCCTCACATTACACAGGGGGTCTTCCTGCTAAAAAACAAAACAAAAAAAAGATTAAATCCAGAGTCTCATAATATCCAAAATACCTAGGTATACAAAGAACTAGGACAATCACAACATGAAAGAGAAAGACAGTCAACAAAGAACAACTTTAAGATGATTCAGATTTGAGAATTGTCTGACAAAGATTTTAAAGCAACCATCATAACAGTGCTTCAGCAACAAAATTGAATTCTCTTTAAACGAGAACCTAGGAAATCTTAGCAAAAAAATGGAAATTATAAAACTGAAAAATACAATAACTGAAAATCTTGCTGGATATAATCACTAATAAATTAAAGATGACAGAGGATTGAACCAGTGAATTTGAAGACAGATCAAAAGACATTACCTATCTGAACAGCAGAGAGGAGATGAGACTAGGGAAAAGATTTAAAAAAAGACAGAGTCTCAGTGACCTGTGGGACAATAATAAAAGAGTTAAAGTTCTTACTAGAATCTCAGGAGGAGAGAAGAGAGATGGGGGGGTGGTTATTAAAAGAAATGAGATGAAATACATAAATTTACAAATTCAAGAAGCTGAGTGAATCCCAAATAGTATAAACCCAAAGAAGTCCATTCCAAGTCACATAACTAAACAGAAAACTAAAGACAAAAAATCTTGAAAGAACCAGAGAAAAAGAACACATGTGGGAACACAAATTCAAATGACATCGAATTTCTCATCTGAGACCATGGAGGCCAGAAGGAAGTGGCACATTATTTAAGTACTGGAAGAAAAAAACCTAAAAGAAAACAACAGAAAACAAGAATCTTGAATCCTATATCCAGCAAAAGTGTCCTTTAGGAAGAAGGGAAATAAAGACGAGTCTCAGACAGGAAAAGTATAAGAATCTGTTGCTACCAAAGCTACCATTAAAGAATGGCTAAAAGAGGAGCACCTGGGTGGCTCAGTCGTTAAGCGTCTGCCTTTGGCTCAGGCCCTGATCCCAGGGTCCTGGGATCGAGTCCCACATCGGGCTCCCCGCTCAGCGGGAAGCTTGCTTCTCCCTCTCCCACTCCCCCTGCCTTGTGTTCCCTCTCTTGCTGTCTGTCTCTCTCTCTATCAAATAAATAAATAAAATCTTTAAAAATAAAAAGGGCTAAAAGGAAGATCTGTAAACATAAAGGAAATGATAATAGAAGCTTGGAACTTCAGAAAGGAAAGAACATCAGAATGAGTAAAGAGGGGGGGTAAATAATAAGTCCATCCTATTTCTCATTAATTTCTTAAATCATACTTGGTGCTTGAATCAAAAATTATAATACCATCTCTTGTGGAGTTTAACGTGTAGAGGAAATACAATTAAATGTTAAAAGTGTAGAGGGTAAAGGGACCTATGTGAAAGTAGGGAAAATATCAATACCAGTAGACTATACATATTGTAATACCAAGTGCAACCACTGAGAAAGCTAAAGAGAGAGAAAGAGATACATTCGAATGCACTATAAATAAGTCAAGATGTAATCCTAAAAAATGGTCAAATAACCCACAAGACGGTAAGAAAAGAAAAACAGGAAACAAAAAAATAATGGCAAACTTAAGCCCTAACATCAATAATTACCTTACATGTAAGTGATTTAAATACATCAATTAAAAGACACTGGCAGAGCGGATTTCAAAAACAAAACAAAACTAATCCAACAATATGTTATTTACAAGAAACTTCAGTTTTATCAACATAGGTTGAAAATAAAAGGATGGTAAAATGTATAAAATGTAAAAACATTAAAAAAGCAGGAATGGTTGTATTAATATCAGATAAAATGGACTTCAGAGCAAAAAACTACTGGAGACAAAGAGGGACGTTACATAATGATAACAGGATCAATCCACCAAGAAGACATAACAACCTAAAGGTGTATGTACCCAACAACAGAGCCTCAAAATATATGAAGCAAAACTTGATAGAACTATAAGGAGAAATAGAAAAACCTGCAGTTATAGTTGGTAATTTCAGCACTGTATTCTCAGTAATTTTATAAAACTACTAGATAGAAAATCAAAGGTACAGAATTTCTACAATCCCATCAACCAACAGAATTTAATCAATATTTATAGGACATGTCAACAGACAACAGCAGAATACACATGCTTTCAAGTGGCCATAAGAAACCATGATAGAACATATACTGGCCCATAAAAACAACAAATTTAAAAGCAATGAAAGCATGCCAAGCATATACTCAGATCAAAATGGAGTCAAACTAGAAATCAATACCAGAAAGGTAACAGGAAAATCTCCAAACTACACAGCACTTCTAATTAATCCATGGGTCAAAAAAGATTTGAAGGGAAATAAAAATATGTTGAACTGAATTAACATTAAAATACAATGTATCAAAATTTGTGGGACACAGCTGAAGTAGTTCTTTGGAGATTTATAGCACTAACTGTACACATTTGAAAAGAGTTGAAAAAGTCTCAATCTAATCTAAGCTCCCTCCTCAAGAATCCAGAGGAAAAAAAGCAAAATAATTTAAAACAAGCAGATGGAATTAATAAAGATTAGAAGTAATGAAATTGCAAACAGAAAAACAATAAAGAAAATCCATGAAACAAAGAGCTGTGTCTTTGAAAATATCAATAAAATTGACAGACCTCTACCAAAACAAACAAAAATGAGATACATATACCACCTGATGGTATGAAATGAAATGAAAGAGTGAAAACACAGCAGACCCTGCAGATAGAGAATTAGGCTGAGTGAAAAAAGTCAATCCCCAAAGCTTATATACCGTATAATTTCATTCCTATAACATTCTTGAGATGGCAAAATTTCAAAAATTTTAACATGACAAAATCATAAAAATGGAAAACAGATTAGTGATCCAAGGTTAGGAGGAGGAAATGGGAATGGGAGCAAAATGAGGTATTGTGATAAAATTGTTCAGTGTTCTGACTGTTATCATTATCAACATCCTGGTTAATATACTATAGTTCTGTAAGACATTAACATTGAGGGAACATGAGCAAAGGGTACGTGGGATCTCTCGGTATTATTTCTTACACCTGCATATGAATCTATGATTATCTCAAAAGTTTAATGTTTTGTGTGTGTGTTTTTTTTGTTTTGTTTTTTTTTTAAGTACAGTTACTCCTTCAACACGGGTTTGAACTATGTGGGTCTGCTTATATGCAGATTTTTTTGATAAATATAATATAGTACCATAAATGTATTTTTCTTTTATGATCTTAGTAATATTTTCTTTCACTTCATTGTAAGAATACAGTATATAATACATAAAATAGACAAAACGTATATTATTTGACTATATTATCAGTAAGTCTTCTTTCTGGTCAACAGTAAGCTATTAGTAGTTAACCTTTTGGGGAATCAAGTTATATAAAGATTTTCATCTGCATTTGCTGGGGGTAGGCATCAGTGTCCCTAACCCCTATGTTGTTCAAGGCCAACTGTACATATAAATAACTGTCAAATGGCGCCATACTTAATAGGGATTTTGTAGGGTAAAAAGAGTACTGATGATTGTTGTGGCAAGGAAGAACTTCATTGAAGACAATATTGAACCTTGCCTATGTAGGTTGAGATTGGAAAAAACACAGAGCATTTAGGCTGAGAGGAAACATGAGCAAGCATGGTATGTGTTCTCATATAGCTTTTAAGCCTTTGTTCAATTCACTTGAACATGTCTCAAGAGTATATGATAAAAATGTAAATATTTTTAAATTGTAAAATGTTGATTTCTTTTACTTTATGGTGTTTATTAGGGAGCAAAAAAAAAAAAATTTTTTTTCTTTGGCCTATTTCAGTGTCACTCCTACAGTAAATGTTTGGTAAATGTTTGCTGATGATAATTGAAGAATTAACAAAGAAGATTTATATAATAGCAACATATTTTGAACAAATTACAATAAGCACTTAATAAATGTAAATTACTGTCAATAAAATTCATATAATAAACTTGATATCTAGCCAGAGTAAGCTTGAGAACTTAGATCTTTCAGAAAAGAATGTCTAATCCTATCCTCATGTTATTCAAGAGAAAAATAAGACTAAGAAGTTGTGACTGCCTGAACATATATAGCTGTTTCCTATCCAAGCTGGATGATAAGAACTATACCTACCTTATCCTCTATTATTTAAGAATCCAGGTCTTCTGAATTCCCCACTGCCTCTGTCAGCTCTTTATTGCCCACTCTTAACTATAGCTAGGTAAAATATTAAAGTAATGGAAGCATTCAAAGGAAAGGAGGATGTCAACTTAAAAAGTCTTACTACCTCCTTTTCAAATCTCTCTACATCCTCCTGCATACCATAGTAACAAAGCTTGTCTTTCCTCTTCTTTACTTGAGAACATGATCTCTTTTGTGTAGAAACAGACCTGATTTCTTTTCATTCCATTTTCAGTTCAATAGAACATTGATGAACAGACACTTCTCCAAAGAAGACATACAAATAGCTAACAGACACATGAAAAAATGTTCATCATCATTAGCCATCAGGGAAATTCAAATCAAAACCACATTGAGATACCACTTTACACCAGTTAGAATGGCAAAAATTGACAAGGCAAGGAACAACAAATGTTGGAGAGGTTGTGGAGAAAAGGAAACCCTCTTACACTGTTGGTGGGAATGCAAGTTGGTACACCCACTTTGGAAAACTGTGGAAGTGCCTCAAAAAATTAAAAATAGAGCCACCCTGTGACTCAGCAATTGCTTGCACTCCTGGGTATTTACCCCAAAGACACAGATGTAGTGAAAAGAAGGGCCATGTGCACCCCAATGTTCATAGCAGCAATGTCCGCAATAGCCAAACTGTGGAAAGAGCCAAAATGCCCTTCAATAGATGAATGTGGTCCATATAAAGAAGATGTGGTCCATATCTACAATGGAATATTACTCAGCCATCAAAAAGGATGAATACCCAACTTTTAAATCAACGTGGATGGGACTGGAGGAGATTATGCTAAGTGAAATAAGTCAAGCAGAGAAAGTCAATTATATGGTTGTACTTATTTGTGGAACATAAGGAATAGCATTAGGAGAAGGAAGGGAAAAATGAAGGGGGTGAAATCGGAGGGAGAGACAAACCATGAGAGACTATGGACTCTGAGAAACAAACTGAGGGTTTTAAAGGGGAGGGGGGTGAGGGGATGGGTTAACCCGGTGATGGGTATTAAGGAGGGCACGTACTGCATGGAGCACTGGGTGTTATACGAAAACAATGAATCGTGGATCACTACATCAAAAACTAATGATGTATGGTGAACCCAACATAACAAAATTTAAAAAAAAAAATCTAAAAAAAAATCTTTTAAATCTAAAAAAAAAAAAAACATTGTCTCTATAGCTTCTAAGAAGCTTGGAGTAAAGGTGAGTGGGTAATCTCTGAAATCTAATAGTAAGCAATCTAGCCAACATTTAAAGTCATTGTTTTAAGGTTATCATTCCAATAATTTATATTAACTCAAATTCCTGTGTATCCCAAGTGTCTGAACATAGCAAAACTTAAAGAGAAATGTGCTTTTGCTGTAAACTCCTTCATGTTATAGCAAATTAATGGGTCAGTGTAAAAACTTAGTTGTGAGGAGATATGTAGCAGCACAAGGAAGGAACATCAGAAATGGTTTGTGAACATATATCAAAGAAAAAGTACTACTTTGCACTTCTCTCAGTAGCTTTTTGCATATTAATTTTTAAAACAATCACAGGTTATGTTTTCTGATTTATATAAAATTTTTAACCAGTCTTCCCATGATTAGGTCATGTCAGTGCCTCCCCAGTTATATTTTACTATTTTAATTAAAATTCTTAATTGCACACAGCCTCATTACTTCTATATTTAATATCTGATTTCTTTCAGACCTTAACCCTTTAATAGTTTATATGACTTGATATAATAACTTTGTAAGAAAAGTTTTGAAGTTCTCAATCCTACCACAGGCCTAGGAAATCAGAACATACCATCTGTGTTTTCTTGTGGGTAAACTAAAGTACAAAGGACTAAAGATATTTTGGCTTCTAATTAATGGGGTTAGAACTTAGTATTTACCTTCTTGGGGAAGTCAGTAAATCAGACATCAGGAAAAAAAAAAAAAAAGATAAATTCCAGAAGGACTAGGTATAGGAGACTAATTATTTTCAGGCTCAATATTTGTGGCCCAAAATGGTTATACTTAGTCCCTCCTAGCTACAAGGGGAGCTGTTCTGACTGTATTAATGACAAATAATTTCTAATATTTATCACTTTCATCTTTCCTTAGATTACAGCGTCAGAGCCATGCTAAAGATAATGAAATCAAGAATCTTAAAGAGCAACTTTCCATGAAAAGGTACAAACTTAGCTGTTGCTTTGGTTGAGTATACATCTCTGAAACTCTAGGTATATTCATTCAGCATGTTCTGGCCAGGGTAGCCATATAATTTATTATCCAAACTGGGGTACTTTTGAGCATCAAATTGAGCATTAATAATTAGACTGGGACAATAGTTACAAACTGGAATTGTCCTAGGCAAATTGATGGGGGGGTATGTTCACTTTAACTCTGCCCTAGAAAACTGCTGGGAGAGATTAGATCGGCAGTCATCGTCCCACAACAAGCGAGGCAGGGACCAGAGCTTATGTGTTCTTAACTCTTTGCCCTAATCAATACTGCTAAGTGTGACTGATTTATGAAATTGGCTGAGTTTTATTCTGATTCACATATTTTTGCATATTCACATAATTTTACATATTAAAAAGTAATTTTTTAATAACTTTTTTGAGATCTAATTCATATAGCATAAAACTCAGTGTGTTAAATTATACAATTCATTGGCTTTTAGGATATTCATAGAGGTATACAGCCATCACCTCTGTCTGGCTCCAGAACATTTTTATCACCCTAAAGAAATCCTGGTTCCAGGGGAACCTGGGTGGCTCAGTCGTTAAGCATCTGCCTTCAGCTCAGGTCATGATCCCAGAGTGCTGGGATCGAGCCCCACATCGGGCTCCCTGCTCCACGGGAAGCCTGCTTCTCCCTCTCCCACTCCCCCTGCTTGTATTCCCTCTCTCACTGTCTCTCTCTGTCAAATAAATAAATAAAAATCTTAAAAAAAAAAAAAAAAAAAGAAATCCTGGTTCCATTAGAAGGCATTCCTCATTCTCCCCTCCCCTAGCTTCTGGCAATCATTCATTTATTATTTGTCCCAGTGGATTTGCTTATTCCAGACATTTCATATAAATGTAATCATATAAGTACCCTCTTGTGATTAACTTCTTACTATATTGTATGTCCATATTGTAGCATATCTCAGTATACATTCCGTTTTATAGGTAAATAATATTCCATTGTATAAATACACCACAATTTATCTTTTTTTTTTTTTTGTATTTTTTTTAAAGATTTTATTTATTTGCGAGAGAGAGAATGAGAGACAGAGAGCATGAGAGGGAGGAGGGTCAGAGGGAGAAGCAGACTCCCTGCTGAGCAGGGAGCCCGATGTGGGACTCGATCCCGGGATTCCAGGATCATGACCTGAGCCGAAGGCAGTCGCTTAACCAACTGAGCCACCCAGGCGCCCCACAGTTTATCTTTTCATCAGTTGATGGACATTTGATTTGTTTCCATTTTTTCACTATTATGAATAATGCTATTATGAACATTTGTAAGCATATTTTTGTATGAGCATAAGGTTTTCAGTTCTCTTGGGTGTATACCTAAGAGTGGGATTGCTGAGACATGCAGTAAACTCTGTTTAACTTTTTGAGGAACTACCAAACTTTTCCAAGTGACTGCACATCTTACAGTCCCACCAGCTATGGACGTGGGTTCTGATTTCTCCACATCCTCACAAATACTTGTTGGATTACCTGTCTTTATTTTACCCATTGTAGTGGATGTGAAATAGTAGATCATTGTGGTTTTGATTTGCATTTTCCTAATGATTTATTATGTTGAACATCTTTTTGAGTACTTATTGGCTATTTATGTATCTCCTTGGAGAAATGTCTATTCAAATCCTTTGGCCATTTTTTAAATTGGGTTCTTTGTCTTCTGTTTAGTTTTCAGAGTTCTATGCATGTGGATACAAGTCCTTTATCAGATACATGATTTGCAAATATTATCTTCTATTCTGTGGGTTGTCTTTTTACTTTCTTGATGATGTCCTTTAAAGCACAAAAGTTTTTAATTTTGATGGAGTCTAATTTATTTTTTTCTCTTGTTCTCATAAGCAATTATGCAGCAGTATTCAATGGCATAATAAGTCCTCTTGGTTGAATTAATATATGTCCTTGAATATTTTTTTCCCTCAGGACACTCTGGCCATAGTGGTATTAACACTATATTGTTTTATCAAACTTCTCATAAATGTTTGTCAAGTATGCAAGCATCCAAGTGTTTCTAATAAAACATTGAGGGTAGCTTTTGTACAAGTCCCTGTTATAATATTATATTTCCAATCAGTTGTTTCCTTTAAAGACATAATTTGGTTTGTATGCCCTAAAGTTAGGGCCTCAGGTGTAGGAAGCTGAAATGGGATAGGAAAAAGAGAGACCTGATAGGTAACCTTTCTCTATAATGTCCTTCATAAATACTGTCCTTATCATCTCCCTCTCTCATTTTTAAGCTGTAGGATTTGTTTTCATTCTAAGGTGTTGAATGTGAGCTGAGATACTGAGATAAACCAGTGCAACATTTTAATGCAGTAATTTAGCTTTAATGCAGCGAGGGCAGGGATGATAAAAACCTTTGTAGTTGCTATTTTGGGGATAGAGAAAGGCTTGTAGAAACTTTATGAGAAATTTAATGGTAATAGCTAATATTTATTTAATACTTAATATGTACTAAACACAAAATGTTTTTATGTATATTATCTGAATGTGTTTTCGCAACAGCTCTTTGAGGTCAATAATACAGTGTTCTCCATTTTCACATGTAAAGAAACTGAGATATAGAGAAGTTAAGGAATTTGCCCAAGGTTTCACATTTATTAAGTTTCAGAACTCAGATTCATCCTCAGATAACTTTATTTCAAAGCCAAGTTTTAAATCCTAGCCCTTACATTGACAACTTTAAAACATACTCTTGGTAGTAAAAGATAACAGTAAGGGTTAAGTAATGTCTTCTCTTGCTTTTATATGCTGTAAACTTTTACAAGAAATCATTTCTTACTCACTGAATAGCTTGAGTCTTTCTCCCTCCTGAATAAGGGGGAAAAGTCTGTCCTTGCTGCAATGTTGCTGACTCTTTAATGATCATATATTTCAGATCTCAGTGGGAAATGGAGAAGCATAATCTGGAAAGCACAATTAAAACATACTTAAACAAACTGAACGCAGAAACTAGCAGAGCTTTAACAGCTGAGGTAAAAAAAAAAAAAAGAGAGAAATGGGGTTGGGGAGGGAAGTTTTGCTTGTGTACTAGTATACTAAAGAACTGAAAAAAGACTGTTCTAAATGAACAGAAATAAGTCATCTTAGGACCAGCCAGAAGAACATAGCTTCAACTCTTGTGCTTTTTTGACTCATTGGAATTTTGTACATGATTACTTCAGTGTTGATGATCTTATGTTGTTTTTCCCCAAATGACTTCAGGAAATTGGTCTGCTTCAGTATGTATAGCAAATACATACATTTTGGGAAAATTCTCATGAAGCCAGGTCACTAAGCCAGATTTCTAAGAATAACATTTTACTGCTGGAGAGGACATCTCCTTTCTTTGTTACTTTCTACATAGATCTTCCCAAAGCACATACACATCATACACTCCCAATTTCAAAAACCAACTTACTTTCTAGACCCCCAGAATATCATCCAGTTTCTTCTAAGCTAACTAAGAACACCACAGCTAGGGTCTCTTCCAAAAGATATATGATTATCTTTATGTATGTAATTTTTACTTATAGATAACCAAACTTGATATACAATAAGATTCAAATTTTTAGAGAGCTCACTAACATTAAAAGGATTATATAAACCTTCCCACATCTGTCATGGGTAAGCTGTATTCTTTAGCACAATGCTTGGGAATCCAGAGGTCAACAATCAAGGAATGATACCTGAACCAAAAATCCCTGGCGATAAGTAAAATGCAAGCTATAACTGAAAAACAAAACCCTCAGATTACGTTAAGAGCTCAAGTTTGTATATTTTGTGTCTCACTACTTTTAGTCAGAACATTTCTTTCTACTTCCACTATTAATTTTAGAAACACTTAATGCTGTCCAAGAATATAATCTATTTTCAGCAAATATTGAGTGATTAGTGAGAAAAAACAGGCCAAATGAGCATGCAACAGTAATGGTGCAGAATAAATTCCTGCTATGGGGAGACAGACTCGATGACCTCCCAAGGCCCATTTAGGTGGTCCTCCTGGCGTGGTCTGATTATTTTCTTACCCCTTCATCAATTAAAAAAAAAAAAAAGCAAATAGCAGGACTTCTGGGAGTGTTCTTAAACTTTACTGAATATTAGAGTTACCTGAGAACTTTTAAAAATCCCACTCCTCAGGCAGCACTTGGTATCAATTAAATTAGAATCTCTGGGACCAAGGCATCTTTTTTTAAAGAGTCTGAGATGATACCAGGGTATGTTCAAGTTTGAAAACTAATGTTCTGGAATGTTTACTAACCCAGTAACCATTGAGTAAAAAAGAATTGTAGAATTAATCAGAGATTTTACAATGCATTATGGCTGGTCAGGAAGCTCAGGTGCTGGAAGAGATTGAAAAATAGCTTCAACTTTCCTTGAAATGATTGAGAAAAGGATGTGTTCATTTACAAGGGCATCTTCAACTTCTTTGTCTTTCTCTCAAAATTTGTAGGTGTATTTCTTACAGTGTCGTAGAGATTTTGGTTTGCTTCATCTAGAGCAGACTGAAAAGGAATGCCTCAGTCAGCTTGCCAGGGTGACTCACATGGCGGCAAGGTACCATTTCCTTCTTCCTTAATGCGTCTTCATCTCAGAGATACAAGTGGCTTTAAGGCTGAACAGAATCTGTGTTTTACATGTGTGACATCAGAGTCTTTGAAGTGAACAAACCCTTATTTTTTTTAAACTTCCAAAGTCATTTAGTCACTTTGCTGCTCTTACTTGTTTGCTTCTGCGGAAGCACTGAAGTCTACTGAGTACAGTAATAGCTGCGGACAGATTTTTCCCTTTCTCTGTAGTGAAGTAGATAAAAAATCTCAGAAACATGCATGAAGCCCAGATATTTACAAAACAGGGTGGATTCTAAGTGGAAAACCTTCTTCTAATTAATTTCTCTTCTAATGCTTGATTTTTAAATACAAAAGGGAAAAATCAGTATTAACACCTAAAATCATATGGTAAAGGCAGTTTCTTGCTGTGTTATAATAAATGTGATTTTCAAATATCAGGCAGGTTGCATGAGAGTATCCTTAAATTTATAATTTTATATCTTCATACTGAATTAATTAAATTAGAATTTCTGGGACCAAGGCATCATTATTTTTTAATGATTATCATTTTAATGATCATCATTATTCTTCAATTCTAAAGAATCAGAATCTCTGATGTTTAGCAAGATTCCCAGGATATACTGATGTGCATTCAGGTCCAGGAAGCACTGTTGTAAGTGATCAGTCTATCTTTGCTTGCTAGAGGGAGAAGGGGCACTATAAACTAAAATATTACCAAGCCTCTTTGTATAAGATGATCTCAGTGATAACTTGTTCTGCTCTTTTAAAGCTGGTGTGCTGGGTGATACTGGGGTGGGGATGTTATAACGGGGCCTTTTGAAAGGCCTCATGAAATCTCTCTTCTAGAGATGGCAGACCTTAAACACCTCAAAGCTGTTCCTACTTAAGTCATTTGGTGGGCATGTTTGGCAGAGCTGCTGTGTTTGTGCAATTTAGGCACTGCATAGAGGCAACAATCTAATTGATCCTTGCAGAAGAGGTACTTCTTTCTGATTTGCCCTCCCATAAGGAATATCTTTTTCTAATTTGCAGAAGAGCTGATAGGCCAGCCACAGCCCTGTGTTGTTAGGGTTATGGTGAAGATAGTCCAAAACCTGCTTCCAAGAGGAGTCAGCATCTTTGAGAATGCTCCTGCATTGGATGGCTAGGGCACTTTCTCTGTTTGACCTTCTCTGCCTCCTTACTTCAGTGGAGGGATTCCTGTATAAAGGTTTTATATGTCCTAAAAAATATATTATCAGGATAGAAGAACACTTGATGTTCTGGAAGCAGAAGTTATATTTGCTCTTGAAAAAAGAAATCTTATATGTTCCCAGTCTTTGTTTTATTTCTAATAACAAACCCTTCCATACAACTTTGTGCCAATTTGAGGTAATTGTTGGTGATGGAGGTAATTTTGTTGTTGTTTTATGTTATTTACATATATGCTAAAGAATATAATGGAAATTTTTGGAGACCTATGTGGTATATAAAAAGAAAGAACTTTCTCTTGTGTCTCCTTTCCTACACCAGCAATCTGGAATCACTTCAATTAAAGGCTGCAGTAGAGAGTTGGAATGCCATCGTAACAGATGTTAGAAACAAGATTGCGTTCCTCAGGGTAAGTGATGAGGTATCTCTGGAGTAAATTGACTGAATGTTGTAGGTGGTATATACTTAAAGAAAACATCTAACAACAATTACTGGAGAAATTTAGGGAAGAACCTGTTTTTTTCAGTTACTAAAGTTTATGCCTTTTAAAGGTTTGAGATCAATTATTTCCATGCTTCACACCTAATTTTCCAAATTCCAAAGCTGATGCTGCTCTAGTCAAAAATAAGTGTTGTAACTTGGTCTGAGTAATTATGTATTTATAAAGTTAAAAGGAAGATCGAGCAGACCTGCATTAGTTTTCAATCTTAAACTTTTATATAATTTTTTCAGAATACAAAATAATAAATTATTCATTATTGGTTTAATAAAATTAGGACTGCTTAAGGTAATCTAAAGAGGTAACCCATTAAATATTTATTAATTTCTTCATTTGGCTTTAGGATATTTTTGTATTTATATCTTAAAGTAAATATATATCTTAAAGTCACCCGGGTGGCTCAGTCACTTAAGCATCTGCCTTCGGCTTAGGTCATGATCTTAGGGTCCTGAGATCAAGCCCCATATCGGGCTTCCTGCTCAGCGGGGAGCCTGCTTTTCTTTCTCCCTCTCCCTCTGCTTCTTCCCCCTGCTCATGTGCATGCTCTCTCTCTCTCTCAAATAAATAATAAAATATTAAAAAAAAAAAAGGTAAATATATAATGTTCATTGTTTTGTGATTTCACAACACTGCTACTAAAATAATGACATTTAATTGTGACCACTGCCTCAAAGCGTTACCTTCTTTTCTAGCTTTTCCACTGGTGGTCTTGACTGTTTCTCTCCCAGACTCTTTCTTATTCAGTCTTTAGTGATGCTTAGCACTTATGGTGGGTTTATTCAGAGTTCTGGCCTGCCCCTTGTTCTCCGTCCTTGTTTTCTTTCAAGGACATGTCTTCTGTGGGGAGTTTCTAAATGTTTTGTTTCTTAAGCATTTCTTTTTCAGTCTCTGTGGGCTGTTTACAAAACAATACTGTAAAGTAAAATGGGGACAGTGCCAAAAAATGTTGAAAGCATGTTGTTAAGTTTCAGTGATTGGAATCATACTTTTGGCAAAATCCAAGAGAATAAAACAGAGGTATATGTGGTACTGGAGAAAGCTAGAGGTATAACTTTGAAATAAACAAAATATGGGTATTTAGTGAATATTCCCTAAAATTTCCCCTCCAGTGAACATTTGCAAGTAGCTCAACTCTTTGTTACAAATACTTTTTTCCCATATTTATCAGCCCGTATATTACTTATAGCTTCTTGAATCTTTAGATGCTGTTCACTTTATATGATTGGTTCCCAATTTGGGTCTGAAAATTATGGAAATACTGAGGAATTATCACAGGGTCTGTGAATTATGTCTCTTTGTATCTTGCCAACGAACAGATATTTCTAAAGATACAACTATTTACGTTTGAGGATAGTGTGTTATAGGATTATTTTTATGTCAAAAACTGTTATGTTATTCCTGACATAATAGGTTGAGAATAACTATGTTTTATTATTAAAAACTACAGCAAGTGTTCCCATATGCTATTTCTTTGAAGTTGATTTTGCTCTAAAATACTGTTTCTCTTCTTCTACTAGACACAGTACAATGAACAAATTAACAAGGTGAAGCAAGGGTTTGCCTTGAGTACCCTGCCTCCAATCCAACTTCCTCCACCACCACCTAGTCCTGAGATACTGGTAAGAAATAATGACATTTTGAAAAATTGCCATCTTTATCTTGAAATGGTAAGGGCTATAAAACAGTGAATATTCAGTATGTTTAATGTGTGTTCAAAATAGAATAGGCACATGTTGTGCATATTGTTTGTAATTACGTCCATTCTTGCTGTATTATCTTCAGATGCTATAACTAGTTGGCTGGCTTAGCTGAGGCCAAGGCATAGGTGTATCACTGGATTTTAGTGATGCATTTGGTATGTAAAGAGGTAATGTATTCTCATTTTATCCTGTAAGTATCACCTGCAGTGTGGGAGAAAACTGATGAATATGCAGAATTCCCAAGCGCTCCAGTTACCCCAGTGACTAAAACATCTCAGTATAGTACCCAGCTGGCTAAACTTCACCCCTCACTTCTACTTTTGACATTCTTTTCCTTAACTTTTATCTTCTATTCTACGTTTAACAGCTTCCATTGATGCCTCTTCCCTACTTATTGCTGGGAATCAGTGAGCCTCAACCAGATACCTTTCTGTTACACTATTTATGTTATCCTTCTGGGAAACCTAGTACCTTAATCCAGTAAATTCAGACAGCTTTCCAAGATTTTAGGATAGAATCATTAGGTGATAATTTTAATTATCAGAACAGATCTGGGAATAGGAAAAGGAGAAAGATGTGAGATCTTTAGCAGCAAATCACTTTTCGCCATCAGTACTTCTGCTTGTAGTAGAACTTTGAAAATGTTATTTCTGTAAATAGTTGAGTGTATCAGAACTTAAAAATTATGTGAATTGTGTGGAGTTACACCGTGTTTCAAAAGCAGAATTCGAAACTAAAAGCATTATATGCTATACACCATGGTCTTTAGAATGCAGTATTGCCTATTGTATTTTTGGTCAGTTCAGTTTTTATAGGAGCACTACATTATGGACATTATTATTCTAAGCTTGGAACTTTATCATAGCCAACTACCCTGATAAGGAATGTATTACGTAAATGATGGAGAAGTCCAAAGAGTCTCCGTAGTTCTACAGGAAAAGTAACACATATTCTGGTACAATTTCTAGAAACCCTGTGCCTTCAGCCCATATTCAAACTACTGCCTTTTGGCTGTAGTTAAACTCCCATGATTCTAAATATAAAATGGCTGTGGAGACTCAGAAGCCAGATACAGAGATGTTTTTTAGAGTTTCTTGAAACCAGACCAGCAGAAGCTGTCTGATACCAGTGATAACTCCATAGCTGACATATGTAGTTAAACTTTGACCTCTGGATCATTACTTTGGCGGCTTTCTTATGTTTGATGGGGCTTACATGGGTTTAGTCAAGGGCAAAACCCACTGGCAGTTTGGCTCTGTGCATCCTTCTGCTAACATCTGAGAGGTACATGTGTATCTTTTATGCTTCCTAACCAGAGTCACTGCTGTGCTTGAGCAAAGCTAACAGTTGTGTTAAAGTGCAGGCATCAGTGACCATTGAACATTAGTGAAATAATTTGAGAGCACAAATGCTAGAAATGTAACAATGATATTCACCATAAATTGTGGTTTTTACAATGGAAACAATGGGTTTAAGTCCTAACTCTGTGAATAACTATGTTGGTCTTTGGAAAATCAGCTATTCTAGACTTATTTTCCCATGTATAAACTAGGAAGTTATACTAGATGATCTGGCTACTAAAGTCCATCTATGGGTGTTGAATTTCTAGATTTCTACTAGAGTAGAAATCACTAGATTTCTACTCCTGGAACTAATATCACACTATGTTAACTAATTAGAATTTAAATAAAAACTTGAAAAAGGGAAGGAAGGAAGGGAGGGAGGAAGGGAGAGACAAAGAAAAGAAAGAAAATCCATCTATCTCTGAGATCCTAGTAGTCTAAGGAATAGTCACCAGGCTTTAAATGTATAGTAGTCTAATCTGAGAAGTCTGAAATAATGGGTACTCCTCCCAGTTTAACCCAGTATTTTTATGTTTTATTGTATCTTGGTTTTTGTACCCTGGCTATCTAATCCTCAAGGAAATGTTAGGTAATAGTTGTCTGCAAAGAGAGCAGGAATACTGACTCATACCCACCATCCATTCATTCTTTGAAAATTTTACGTTCTGAAAATTGAAACATACATAAAAATAGAATAGTACCTCTGTGAACCGAGAGAGCCAGCTTCAGTATTATCAACATGTCATGTCATCCTCTTCTTCCTATTGGAATATTTTAAAGTATATATCATACAATCTCATCCATGTATACTTCAGTATATATTCCTAAAAGATGAGGACTCTTATTATTGGATATAATTATTATACCAGTTTTTTACCTAAGAAAATTAAAATATCCAGTTAAAGTTTATATTTCCCAATTGTCTGGAAAATGTCTTTCTTACCTAGTTTGCAATATTTCCAATTTGGTTATAATTACTCTTACTTTCAAGAGCTTATTTTTAAGGGGCACCTGGGTGGCTCAGTCGTTAAACGTCTGCCTTCGACTCAGGTCATGATCCCAGGGTCCTGGGATCGAGTCCCACATCGGGCTCCCTGCTCCACGGGGAGCCTGCTTCTCCCTCTCCCACTCCCCCTGCTTGTGTTCCCTCTCTCACTATGTCTGTCTCTGTCAAATAAATGAATAAAATCTTTAAAAAAAAAAAAATTTTTAAAAACAATCCACATAAGGTTTATACTTTGCATTCGGTTGATTGTTCTGTAAATCTGTAACAGCTACCTGACTCTCCTCCTTTATTTATGTCATTTATTTGTTTAAAAAATTATTTCTCTTGTTTAATTTCACACATTATTGATTTGATTGCATCCTTGGGATGTCATTGTACATGTTCTGCTGTTTCCTATAAACTGTTCTATTAGATCTAGAGGGTTGCTTAGAATCAGGTTCAATATTTTTAGCAAGAGTACTTTATAGACAATGATGTATACAGGGTCTCTCTTTTGTAACATTAAATAAGAAATGTCAACCTCACGTATCCATTTTAATGTTCCCCACTAAGCTTTCAGCTACTGGTTTTAGTATCATTACTTAAAAGGGCTATGCTGATGTTCATTTTTTTTTTTCTATTCAAAAAATAGTTGAACTTCTTTATGCCAGTGCTAGATCTGGCACATGGTAGAAACTTAATCTGTCCTCTTCTGTAGCCTAGTCAGTAAGGTATCCATCCCATTGGTAGATGCTAAGAAGGGCTAGCTTTCCACAAGCCCCTAGGAGGTGCAGTAACACCTACAAGCATGTGTCTACAAGTCATTGTAGGAGGCTTTATGCCCCAGGCCCACTCCACTTCAGCTTTCTACTCTCATTGGAGCTAAACAAAGTCAAAACTCCATCAGGTGGTACAAGTTCCCTCCAATACATAATCAGGGAAAGTAATATTTTCTAAAGGCAACTTTGGTTCTTTAGTGGAATTTGAGTGTGAGTATTGTTCATCAACGTGGCCAGTACTCATTAAGGAGCTCCTTTGCATAGCCCTATATTATTATAGTTGGAAGGGAACCTTAAAAAAATCACCTAACTTAACACTCTGTTTTATACATTAGTAACCTGGCATCCATGGTTACCTAGCTAGGTGGAAAGAAGGTGAGACTAGAACCAACTTCTCTGTGTTCTTTAGTATATTTGACTGTCCTTTGCTTTTCCAAATATTCATACATTTAACTGATGACAACACCGTTTCTACTGCTAGTGCTTTGTGTCTAGATTTCAAATTGGTATTTTTCTTCCCAACCATTGTTCTGAGTTTAGATCTTTGCCTATATAAATATATAAATGTGTGGAGTTTTTGTTTTTTTAACCTTTTCTATTTTAGATGCAGCAGTTCTTGGGAAGACCCCTTGTGAAAGAATCTTTCTTTAGACCCATACTCACTGTTCCTCAGATGCCTGCTGTTTGCCCTGGAGTCATCTCTGCGCCTGGCCAGCCTAGAGCCCCCCTGGTACAGATCTCTTTGTTGTTTTATCACCACAGTAGACTTCCTGAATGAATGTCTTCTATTTATTTGATAAGGGGTGATGGTGGTGGTAATAGTGGAAGGAGGAAAACTGATCATTGAATGAATAGTTCCATTTGAGGCACTGTGCTAGGAGCATTACATATATTATTTCATTAACTGATAATCAGTTTTTGGATACAACAATAATACATTTTTATAGTAGATAATCCTTACACGATTTTATAGTTTTGCTTCTGTAATAGGCAACAATACAGGGTAAATGACATTTTTAATAGATCATTTATATTTAGCATGTTTGGGTAGATTAAAAAGCAAAGAACAAAATTATGCCACAAAGCTAAAGAAAAATTTTATTTACACAAACATAGACACACACAGGTATAGTAGGACAGTGTTTCAACTTTATCTATAAACACAATGTAAATAGCATCATCTTGGAATATATTATACTATAAAGTTATGAATCTTCCTAGCTACAATTAGCCACATAAACCTTATCCAAACCTGAAGAGGCAATAGAGAAATTTTAAGTGACTAGGATTATTAATTGTAATCTTGGCAGAGGTAAACGTTTATTTAAAAAAAATCTTCTCCTAAAAACTGATGTTAAATATAATTAATGAAAAATTCTCTAATCTTGACTTTTCCATAAACACATTCTAGTCAGTTTTTTGTACCTATAAACAGTCTCCCTTTGAAATATATAGTCAGATGGACTTATTTTTGTAGAGGCTGCCTCTGCAAACAAATATGTATATAGGCCTTAACATGTTAACTGATACCACATCTTTTTATACCCATGATACCACAGTGTTGCTCATGTGGTTTGCACCTGCACCATTATATAAGGAGCTATGTATATAAAACTTTATTGAAAACTTTAAAGTACCTCAGCCTTCTAATAAGATTCCTTTCTGATTCCTGGAGAAAAGCTTGATGCTGAGGCAAACCCAGGTTTCTGGGCAGTGTTCTCCTCTGACTTAGTAGGCTTTGTATGGGTTATTTCAGTGGCTGTTAGTCATGGCTAATTTTTCATGAGTAATCTTATATTTGAAAATAACCTGTAGAACATTAGGTAAAAGCTGTCTGTCATGTTGATAATTATCCTAGTAACCAGGTGAAAATACTCACTTGCTGATAATAATTAGAATCTTAAAGCTTCTAAGAAGAAACTACCCCAAGATCTGGCAAAACTCTGATGGTTTCATGGCTCGGAGTGTCACTACAACTTCCACACCACCTTTGTCTGAAACATTCATGAGACATTGGGCAGACATTCTAGTAGTATTCTCATCTTTATTTCTTTGAAAATTCAAATTTAGCACAAACTACTTTTATATTTAGAAAAATTAGAAAACAAATAACATAGAAATATACAAATTGGAAAGCAAAATTACCCTGCAATTGAATCCTAGGAAATAATCACTGTTTACAGATTGTTTATAACTTGAAACCTTTTTCTATGCATATATATTTTTAAAAAATATAAAAATGAGTCATACCATAAATACTGTATACCACACTTTTTAAAAAAATGAAATATTTCATGGACATCTCACACTCAGATATATAGATCTGTTCTAAAGGATTGATAAGATGTGCTATAATTAGCAGACTAGGTTGTTTCTAGGTTTTTAAAATAATAGCACTAAACACCCTGTATTTCTGTACATTTTCAATTACTGAGACTCACATGTCCCCTTTTAAAAATAGGGATAATTATAAATAATAAATATTGTGCTAGTTAAATAAAACTCTAAAAGGGGAATGTATATGTCAGTATTTCTCTTCATTCTACCCATTTTCTGAAGTATGGAAATACCATGTTGTCATGGAATGTTACTTCCTAATAACTGAAGCTGATGGGTTATAACTCTGTGCTCCTTACAGATGACTGGTATAGCCTGGACTGTGCCAGCACCTGTGGGAGAGGCTGTGTCTCCCAGTGCAAGTCTGGGAAGTGATCCCCCCATGATGAATTGGGAGAGGATTACAGACAGGCTGAAAACTGCTTTTCCACAACAAACCAGGTATCATAATTTTTATTTAGTTTGAGTACAGATCATACACTACAGTTTCCATAACCATAATTAGGACAATGAAACAAACACAAACACACAAATATATAACCTTAGTGTGGCCTTAGTAAGGAAAATGAAATTTAAAGAAATAGTGTTCAATATAAATGCTAAACCTCTTCACTGAATTTATTAGTCTTAAGTTATGAAAGATTTTTAAATTTAGGTTTGATCCTTTATTAAAAGTACAACTAGTCATAAACCTATCCAGTTTTAATGCCACCAGCTGCAATAATTATCTTAACCTCTTTCCAAAGTGAATTTTAAGTTGATTGTATGCTATACAAGCCCAAACATCAGGTTTTACCCTCCTTTTTCCTTAATTTTATTAAGGCTTTTAATTTTTGTTAGAGAACACAGTTAAATGCAAGAAATAATGATTTTTACTGTGCTTTTCACAGTGCTGACTTTAGCAGAAAGATATTTTTCTCCAGAAATGAAGTTTTTTATCTTTACTTTTATATTCAAGGAAATAATTCTAGTTTTTAACCAATATTTACACTTGAAGCCTAACACTTTTATTTAATGAACATATTGTTATGCTTCAGGATTAGATTATGGTTTTATAAATATAGTGAGTAGATGGGGAGGAAATCGGAGGGGGAGACGAACCATGAGAGACTATGGACTCTGAGAAACAAACTGAGGGTTCTAGAGGGGAGGGGGGATGGGTTAGCCTGGTGATGGTTATTAAAGAGGGCACTTATTGAATGGAGCAGTGGGTGTTATACGCAAACAATGAATCATGGAACACTACATCAAAAACTAATAATGTAATGTATGGTGATTAACATAACATAATAAAATTTAAAAAAAGAACTGTAATACGTTTGTTATATATATATATGTATAAAATGAATAGTAAATCAAAGGTAGTTTTACAAGGCTGATGACCTGACACTTCATTTGGGAAAGAAAATATTGCATTCTGCTTTATCCTACCAAGAATATATTCAGAGGCTTTGGGTCAAGGGTCTGTGATAGTGGAATTGAAAAAGAACATATTAATTAATTGTGTGATAAAGAAACCTAGAAATATTTTAATGTGTCTTTTAGCTTCTCTGCTCTGTGAAATGTTTGAGTTTTACAAAAGTAAAATTATTTACAGAAGAGAGACAGACCTATAGTAACGTAGTTAAGAAGGAGTATTTAGTTCCTGAGTAAAAGCAGTTAGAGACACAATAAAAGAGCTTAGTACATAAGTAAGTAGGTAACACACTCAGTTTTCATACAAGCTTTCAAAAACAGTTAAACTTTCTTTTTGGAAAGAATATTAAACTTTAGGAGTTTTTGTTTTGGTATAAGATAAATGTAGATAGACTTTAGCTCAGAGATCAAAGGGCCACATCTATATGCTGCTACATATCAATAGGATTTTGTATCTTGTGTAGGGGGCACACCCTCAAGGCAGTAGGAAAAATCACCACTGCTCTTTCCTGGATCTCTTCCAGGAAGGAGCTTACGGATTTCTTACGGAAATTGAAGGACATTCATGGGAAGTCCTTATCTGGACTGACATTTGATGAAATTGTATACAAGATTTCCCAATTTATTGACCCCAAGAGATCACAGGTAAAAACAAAAAGCCTTTATCTGCCTGCCCTTCTGTGTAGTAGTGAGTGGTCTTAATTATCTTCATAACGTGTCTATAAATCAATAACCTATAATCACATTAAACTATTAACAATTCAACTTAACAAATGACATTGCAAGTCTTTTTGAAATAATACCTGATCATTCTAGAATAAAACTGACCCTCTTGAAATTTCTTCTAGGTTGCTTTGACTCTAAAAGAAGACCTTTTTTCTAATTTTAATTAAAAGAGCATATAATGTTTTTTTTCCTTTATCTGGCTCTGAGTATACAAGTGATATTGCTAACATTTTGTTTCAAGATTTCTTACAAATCTAATTGACTTTTACCCTTTTGCTAATTCTCACTGTACCCATGTACCCCATTTTCTGCGCTGTTCTATTAGTTTTCACTGTGTTAGAACACTTCTGGAAAAAAAAGTATAATAATCTTGTTTTCAGAGCCAAGGAAAATCTGTACCAAATGGTAACTGTGTTTCACCCAGCCACACTCCTCCACAGTCTAATACTGCCCAGCCCCCAAAACCAGCCTGGAGGCCCCTCAGTTCACAAGGGCCTGCCTCATGGGAAGGAGCCAATAATTTGGTGAGACTAAAACTGTTGATTCTAAGTACATTTAAATTTGAGAAAAAGAAATGAGCTGAGTTGAACCTTATGTGTATTTTCCCTAGGATGATGAGGAGGAAGAAGAAGAGCCTTGTGTGATCTGTCATGAGAATCTCTCTCCAGAAAACCTCTCTGTTTTGCCTTGTGCTCACAAATTCCATTCTCAGGTAACCCTTTAAACTTACCTTTTTATTTTATTTTTTATTTTACTGATTATTTTTTCAATTAAAAAATTAAATGTCATTTTAAAGTCAGTTTAATATAGAGAAGTAATATGAAATAGTAGAAAAATGACCTGTACACTACCCTGAAAACTCAATATTCAAAGTCAGGTTAATATATTTAGATAATAGAAGATTCAAACAGGGGCGCCTGGGTGGCTCAGATGGTTAAGCGTCTGCCTTCGGCTCAGGTCATGATCCCAGGGTCCTGGGATCGAGTTCCGCATCGGGCTCCCTGCTAGGCGGGGAGCCTGCTTCTCCCTCTGCCTCTGCCTCTCTCTCTCTCTCTCTCTCTCTCTCTCTCACTCTCTCACTCTCATGAATAAATAAATAAAACATTTTTTTTTTTTTTTTAAAGATTTTATTTATTTATTTGACAGAGAGAGACACAGCGAGAGAGGGAACACAAGCAGGGGGAGTGGGAGAGGGAGAAGCAGGCTTCCCGCAGAGTAGGGAGCCCGATGTGGGACTCGATCCCAGGACCCCGGGATCATGACCTGAGCTGAAGGCAGTCGCTTAACTGACTGAGCCACCCAGGCGCCCAATAAATAAAACATTTAAAAAAAAAAAAAGATTCAAACAGTACCAATAGGTATGTAATGAAAGTCTAGCTTTTCTTTTTTTATCTTTTTGAATATTTTGCCGTTAAATCAACTAAGCGAGATTCATGCTGCCTTACTTGAAATCATATACATGTATCATCAGATATTGCTGTGGCATGAGTTCCACAGACTATAACCTGGGGCTTTGGAGTACCACACAGAAACACTTACACCTGTTTTCACCATACCTAGCCCCAGTTTGTGCTGTGCTTTCTCAGATCTCCATACACCTTACAGGAAAAGAGGAGACCATGATAAGACTGAAATAATACAGAGTAGTTCCCTTAGAACTGGAAGGAATGTTAACTGACTAGCGATTCAGTGGCAGTTTAGCAACAGTGTCACTGTACTTTGATTTGCTATAAATAATGGATAGTGTCCTGTCTCCCTGTACTGATGGCTCCCTACCATTATAAAGCATAAGATTTACCTTAACAGTCTGGGCTCTTATATTTGCTCTTTAGATGCTCAGGTTTCAGTTTTAATGTTAGAAAAATATGAGACTGGCATATCTTTTGTTGATTTTTGGCATTTATATAGATTAATTCCTGGTGGTGTTGCTGTGCAAATGTTATTGATACACAATTTATGAACCAAGTCTTCTGGTGCAAAGATGTTAATTTGACCCAGGAAAAGATAATCTTACATAAGAAAGTCTTCTCACGGAAGTGAATAGTAGCCAGCTCATTCAAACCATATCTGTAAAACACGATTTCAAAGATATGTGATACCTAGTACAGAATTATATTTTCTATCTACTCTGATATGAAGAAATAGACACAGACTGGCTAATCCCAAAAGATCAGGAAAGATACTTAGTCATCTGAAGTTGTTAAAGTCCTACCCATTTAGAAAACAAATGTTTCATGAAACTTATTATTCTTTGCCATTGCCCATAGAATAGAAAGCAGGTAACCTATTCAGGTTACTTTTTAGGGTTACAGTTATATAGTGCCTATTCTTAATCCTTTCTCATCTGATCTGGCTCTCATTAGTTATACAGGTAAAATTGATTTGTTTTGGGAGAGTTAGTATTCAAGCAAATGACATAACAGATAGTTCATAGCCCAAGAATTCAAGCAAATGACATAACAGATAGTTCATAGCCCAAGAGTACCATCATTGTCACCAAAGAGCCATCTGAAAAGTGTATCCATCATCTAGGGATTTTAAGTTCAAAACACCATAAGCACTTGAGAACAATATATAATAAAATAGAGGAAAAATATGTAGCAGGTTTCCTTAGCCTCCTTGTTAGGAAGACTTGCTAAGTCATCCTGAAAACTGGGACTGGGGAAAGGATCCTAATCCAGTGAACTCACTGAAAGGTGTTCTGTTACCAGCTATATTACTCAGTGAATCACAGAGAAGGTGCCATTATTGCAGCAGTTGGCTTGGCAATTTACTAGATAAGGTAACTGATTATATAGAGTAACATCTGCCTCTGCTAGGCTAAATCAGAGAGACTGACATGAATATTTTTGCTCCTTAGTGCATTAGACCTTGGCTGATGCAACAGGGGACATGCCCAACCTGCAGACTCCATGTTTTGTTACCAGAAGAATTTCCAGGTCACCCCAGCCGGCACTTGCCCAAGATCTGATCCAAGGGAGTGATTTGCAAAGGAAATTCAGTTATCAGGTTCCAGAATTTAGTTTTGCCTTTTATTATGTATGAGCTGATAGTGTGAGTGGTGTAAGCAGTGTGCTCTTTAGTATTGTACAAAAGAAGCTAGCTAATCTCATCAAAGCTGTAGCCAAAGAGGACAGGACAAATCTTCAGGACTTAGAGCTGAACTGAAAGGGCTTAAATTTTAAAAGTTACATTATATTTGCCCCTATCTTAGTAAGCATTTTCTTCCAGTGTAAACATCATTATTAGCACATATCTTAGGATGTTTTTGTCTTTTTCCTTCTTATTCCACTTATCCTTTACTGTCACCCAATATAGGCTACATTTTAATTTCCTGAAATCAATGTAAGAAGAAAAGCAGAATAGCAAACAAGTAGGAAAATTCCAGATTTTATTTTTCCTTTTAACTTTTAAAACTGCTTACAAAATACATAATTGAAATACTTAAATTTTATCCCTATCTTCCCCATTCTTCTCTGGCCTCTAAATATGTGCCCATGAAGAGATTATGAGTGACTTGAGGGTGTGGACCATACAGTGGTGTGTTGGAGCTTAGCTAATAATAGTTTGTGAGAAGTGACTGTTGAAGTTTCAGGAATTTTGTGAGCCAGTGATCAAATTGTTCATAGCTTGAAATCTGCATAGTGGGAGTATTTACACCATAGAAATTTGTAAATGTTATAAGTCAGGGCTTCTCTTCCCAAGAACTTGTTAAACATTTACCAGTACACCACTGGGACCATGTCTGATCTTCCTATGTTTCTCCATGCCTTGCACAGTAGGTGTAGCATAAATATTCCCAGAATCAGAAATCAGGAAATAGAAATGAGTTAATGTGTAAATTAAGTCACTTGCTCAGTTGAATAATTGAGATCTTATGTTTATTTGTTAACATTGTCATTGGACCTTACACTTGAAGGATTTGTTTTCTGCCTTAAAAGTTTCTCAATTTCACTTTGTCATGCTGCAGGGTGTGGGGGACTGTACGTAGATGCTTCTTATGACAAAGTTAATATTCACTGGGCTAAGCTGCCATCTAAAGCTTGTCAGTAGGAACTTTCTTAGAGGTCAAAAACCTATTTTGAAAATAGTATTGTGTAAATGCTGTAAGTGTTGTACATGTCTTTAGTTAAAAAAAATCTAAATTCAGTTACCATGTAAGATGTTACTTGGTTCATATTTGTTTCCATAAATTAATGAAAATGAGACTGAGTGTTGTGACTCTGTCTATTTCAGTGTAAATGTATCTTGAAGTTACTTTAAATCTATTTAAAACTGCTATTTCTGTAATTGTATGCTGAATGTTTTCTTCTATAATGACAAGAGACTGGAAAATATGGAGGACAATATCCAAAAATGAAGGAAGGCAGTCTTCTAGACCCTTAAAATGCCAAGAATGTCTCAGAATTGAAAAATTCAGAAATTCTAAGGCCTTTAATAATTATCTTGTCTAACACCTTGAGGTCATGGTCCTATGGCAAATTATCTTGTAAAACAAATGTTTCTTAGTTTGTTTACAACTATGATTTCACTTCCATGTAGGAAAGATTTTATCTGTGTATCAGTTTAAATGTATCCTGATATTTAAAACATCTATATCTGTTTGTGTTTTTTTTCTGTTATGACAAAGAGTAGGAAAATACTCAAGAAGGCAGTCATTGAGACTTGTAGAATCATAGAATGTCAGAGCTTATGGGGTCTTTAATGATCCTCTAGACTCTCCCTCATTTTATAAGTACATCATGCCTAAATTCCCATGGTTAATTAGTGGCTGGGCCAGTCCTACTTTGTTAAGGTCCTGGCACTTGGTCACATGCTTTCTTCACAAAATCAGGCTGTAAGACTTTATCCGTGCTGACCCTGCCATTCTTGGGTCTAAAGATAGGGCCCGAGGACTCAACACAGTAACTGATAATGTAGTGAGAATGTAGTAGGATTGTACTTTTGAAGTACTCTCCAATTCTGCAGATGCTGAAGATAATGGTATTGTTTTATTTTTTATTGATGAGCAAATAATACTCACTGTCAATCCTGTGGCTGCTGAGAAATCTAGAACCCCATCCTTCCCAGAAATACAATGAGGCAATATTTACATCAAAAACAATCTGTAAACATCTAGTATATCGTTGTAGCTACTGTAAGATATATCTTGCAATGTTTTCCCTCAAATTTATTTTGTCCGTATATGTATGTATATATAAAACACTTTCCAGCTATTATGAGATACTTTCAAATGTGTTTGTTACCTCATTTGATCCACTGACAATTCTAAAGTGCATGTTTAGTGGATATTCCTTATTTTACGGATGATAAAACTAAGGCCCAAGTAAGAAAAATAACTTATCCAAGGTCATAGCTACAAAATGGCATTTTGAGATTTGAATGCAGATCTTTTGTCACTTAGTGTTCTCTTCTAGTACTTCAGAGCTATATCCCCATTTTGGATTGACTTTGTGCAAATAAAAGTAGTTTTTTCTTCCTTGTAAATACTTGTCAAAATAAAATGAAACAGGTGGTAAACCTACTGATTTTTTTGAACTAGGAACATGGTATTGAGTATATAAAAATACATAATAGTCTGACTTTTCGTTCAGATTCTTGGTTTGCTTGGGATGGTTCCAATTAATTTAATGCCTATTGTTTTGACATAATAGTGCCCCCTCTCACTCTCAGCAGTGCCCCAGTCTTGATGATGAATTATATCTTATAGTTAATCTCACCTTCCCTGAATTATTTTTACTAGATTCAAATTTAGCAGGAATCCTCTACATTTATTAAATGTTCCTGGGATGCCTTATCATATAGCTTCTTGGGTAAGACTTCTAGGACTACAGTAACTAAGGAATATCCGATGTATAGCCAGATGAAAATAACAAAGATACATGGTTTCTGATTTTCTTGAGTGGGCAGTTTTCAGAGTTAATGGACTCCTATTGAGTATGGATCCTGGACCACATCACATTTACCTGCTCTGTTTATAAATGCTACAGATTCCAAGAAGCCATTTGGGAATCTGTGTTTGGAATGAGTGTGCCAGGTATTCTGAAGTGTGCTAAAATTTGAAAACCATTGGTGTAGAAGAAACTGGCTTTCTCCGGCAGATCTATGTTTGAATTGAACTCCCATCTTTGGAATGTTGTGTAATCATGAACAAATTACTTTTACCAACCAAAACTTACGTAAAATGGGGGAAAAGACTACTTGCCTGACAGAGTTAGTGTCCTTAAATGAACATTTATTAGTCTTCATTCCCAAACTAGCAAACCTTCCATTAGTCATTCAACGTGTTGGAATTTACTCCTTGATAAAATTATGAAAGGTCTTTTATCTTCAACTACCCTTATTAAAATGAATGGAGGATAGAAAATTCAGAGAAGATGGCAGAGTAGGAGGAGTCTGAGCTCACCTCATCCTACAGACTGCTAAGATAACAGCTATACCTATGCAGCTAACTCTGAAAATGACTTGAAGGCTGGCAGAACAGACCTTTCATAGTCAATTGTAGAGAAGAGGCCACATCAAAAAGGGTAGGTAGGAGGAGTGGAAAAATGGTTGGGAACCAAAACCCCTGTGAGACTAACCACAAATGGGAGGGACACCACAAGCATGGAGAAGCAAAAAGGATCAGACCTCACACTATGTAGCCCAGGAACAGGGGACCCACATTGGGAAGGCAAGTGCCCATAACGTGTGGTTTTGAAAACCAGTGGAGTTTAACTTCAGGAGCTTTTAAAATCAGCAGGGCTTAGCATACTGTAAAAATTAGCCACCTTAACTCTGGGAGAGCAGGAAGGCAAGGAAACGGATTCCCTGCCCATAAAGAGCCAGCTTAATAAATAACTTGCCCAAGACAGCAGAAAAGCAGCCTTTGAAAAGAGCCTGGGGTATACGTGAAGGAGATTAATTTACTAATTTCAGAATGTGCACTGGAGGGACAGGGATCTTCACAAGATTTCGCCAGGAAAAACAACTGGCAGGCACCTTTCTCTTCTCCAGCCAGGAAGACCAGACACTTGTGTGAGCCAGTGTTCACACTCTCCACCTATCTTGGTAGCACTGCACGCCCTGCCACTGGGTTTCTCCACAGACTCACCCCATCTAACCCACCTCCCTCAGTAGGCATCCCACACCCTGTAAGCCCCACTGACCAGGATCAGCAACATTCCAAACTGACTCCTGCCTTGAGGAGAGGGGGAGATAACGCCACACACCAGTGTGCCCACAGTTTCACCAATTGAGCCTCTTAGCTGGCTGCACAGGAAGCAAGCTCAGCCACTTCTGCGCCTGTTCCTGTGGCAGAGAGGCTAACTGCAGTTGCTTAGTCTGACCGCAGCCCACCAATGAAAGCCTCTCAGTTGGCCTTGCAGGGAGCAAGCCCTGCCTTTTGGTGTGCCTGCAACTGGCAGAGAGGCTAATTGCAGACAGCTACCCTGACTGCCAACCCTGCCTAACACGGTGGCCTTCAGAGGCCTCTCATCAGTACAGGGACCAAACCCTGCCTAGTGTGCCCGCAGCAGTCAGTGGGTTCATTGCAACAGGCTGACAAAGACTAAAGTGGCTTAGCCACAAAAGCAGGGCACAAGCAGCCCACATAAGAGACATTTAATGCCAATGGATTAAAAGAATTAATATTGTTAAAATGTCCGCAGTACCCAAAGCAATCTACAGAGTCAATGCAACCTTGATTAAAACACCAACAGCACTTTCTACAGAACCAAAATAATACTAAAATTTGTATGGAGCCAAAAAAGACCCCCAAATAGCCAAAGCAATCTTGAGAGAGAAGAATAATGCTAGAGGTATCACAATCCTAGATTTCAAGATACACGCTACAAAGCTATAATAATTAAAGCAGTATGGCACAAAGATAGACACATAGATCAATAGAATAGAGAGCCCAGAAATAAACCCACATTTACATGGTCAATTAATCTACAACAAAGGGGGCAAGAATGTACAGTGGGGAAAAAAGTCTCTTCAATAAATGGTGTTGGGAAAACTAGACAGCTACATGCAAAAGAATGAAACTGGGCCACCTCCTTAACATCCTACACAAGAATAAATTCAAAATAGATTAAAGACCTAAATGTGAGACCCGAAACCACAAAACTTCTAGAAGAAAATACATGCAGTAATCTCTTTGACATCAGCCTTAGCAACATTTTCTAGACATGTCTCTAAGGCAAAGGAAACAAAAGCAACAATGAACTACTGGGACTACCAACAAAATAAAAAGTTTTTATATAAAACTTTTTATAATAAAAAACTAAGGAAACTATTAAAATGAAAAAGCAACCTACTGAATGAGAGAAGATCTTCACAACTGATGTATCTGATAAGGGCTTAATATCCAAAATATATAAAGAGTGTATACAACTTGACAACCAAAAAATAACTCGATCAAAAAATGGGCAGAGGACCTCAATAGACATTTTCCATAGAAATATAGATGGCCAACAGACCCACAAAAAGATGCTCAACATCACTAATTATCAGGAAAATGCAAATCAAAACTACAATGAGTTATCACCTTATACCTGTCAGAATGGCTATTGTCAAAAAGATAAGAAATAACACGTGTTGGTGAAAATGTGGAGAAAAAAAATCTTGTGCACTTTTGGTAGGAATGTAAATTGGTACAGCCACTGTGGAAAACAGTATGGAGATTCCTCAAAATATTAAAAACAGCAATGCCATATGATCCAGTAATTTCTTTACTGAGTATTTACCCAAAGAATACAAAAACACTAATTTGAAAAGATATATGCACCCCTATGTTTATTGCAGCATTATTTTTAATAGCCAAGATATGGAAGCAACCTATGTGTCTATCAATAGATGAATGGATAAATATGTGGTATGTGTGCGTGTGCTGGAATATTACTCAGCCACAAAAAGGGATGCATTCTTGCCATTTGTGACAACATAGATGGACCTACACAGTATTATAAGTGAATCAAGTCAGACAGAAAAAGACAAATACCATATGGTTTCACTTACATTTGGGATCTAAAACAAAACGAATGAACAAACAGAAAACAGACTCTTAAATACAGAGAACAAATTGGTGGCTGCCAGAGAGGAGGGGACTGGGTGAAATAAAGGAGATTTAATAGGTACAAATTTCCAGTTATAAAATATTTAAATCAGTCATGGAGATGAAAGGTACAGCATAGAGGATATAGTTAATAATATTGTAATAACATTGTATGGTGACAGTGACTGCAGTGATCACAGTGGGTATCAAGTAATATATAAAATTCTTGAATCAATGTTGTACACCTGAAACTAAATACAACATTGTATGTTAATTACACCTCAATAAAAATAATAAAACAAATAAAACTAATATAATTATTAGTTCTACTTCCAGGGACAGGTGGTGACCACAGAATTCCAGAAGATCTTTCTCATGGCTGACTGTCCGTATATCAGACTGGCTGGACTCACCATCAATGTCCAGACTATTGCCCAGCACCTCAAGTCCTGGATGAACCTGTATGAGCTAAAGTATGGTTGGCAGATCAAGCCTCGTGAGCATAGTGGCCAACCTCCTCTGAGAAACAGTTTGGCCAATACTACACTTTGGGTTGCTCCCAAAGATCTTTAAGCCCTTCATTGCTCTCTACATCTCATCAGCTGCCCCATGATGACTGACGACTTTGTGGTCAGCAGCATGTGCAATAAACAAATGTATGGGATGTATGCATCTCTTTGGGAGTCAAACATGAATCCAGAGCACCTGCTTTAAACCGTAGCACAAGCCATGCTAAATGTGTGGACCAGGATGCAGTGTGAGGCATGGGAGTCATTGTTCACATTTGTCCTTTTGAAAAGGACAAAATCACCACCAGGAGACTAAAAGCCCAAAGGGACTTATTTTCAGTCCCCAGAGCCCACTCCAAAAAAAAAAGGGGGGAGGGTTCTTACACACACACACACACACACACACACACACACACGCCTAACATCTCACACAAAAATTAGCTCCAAATTATTAAAGACTTGAAGACCTGAAACCAAAATACTCTAACAAAGGCAGTAAGCTCCTTGACACTGGTTTTGTCATTGAATTTTTTTTATCTGACACAAAAAGCAAAGGCAACAAAAGTAAAAACAAATGGGGCTACATCAAACTAAAAAGCTTCTGCAAAGCAAGGGAAACAAACTATCAATGAAAAGGCAACAAACTGAATGGGAGAAGATATTTGCAAATCACATATCTGATAAGGAACTACTATCCAAAACATATAAAGAACTTACACAACTCAAAAACAACAACAAAAACCAAACAATTAAAAAATGGACAGAGAATCTGAATAGACATTTTTCCAAACAAGACATACAGATGGCCAACAGGTACATCAAGATACATGGTCAATACCACTAATCATCAGGGAAATGCAAATCAGAATCACAGGTATTTCACACATGTAAGAATGGCTAGTATCAAAAAGACAAGAAATAAGTGCTGGCATTCATGTAGAGATAAGAGAACCCTTGTACACT